AATATATTCATCGTCGCGATGTGTCAGCTACGCTATCCTGGTTACATCCGATCGAGTTGGTGGTGTATGCATCAATGCACCGACTTTGGCCATATGAACTGCCAGTAATCTTATTCCGACTTTAGCTTAGCTTTTCTTTCTGCGCCAACACGGGGATTTTCTTGTGGAAATATTATAACCCGATGCAACGCAACCACTGTACTGATGGACCAGCCCGGGTAAACACGCCTCGCCATTATCTCGGCTGGAGCCTGACCCTTTGCAGTAGAAGAACACAGGAGGGAGACGTTGATCCGTCAGGCCTTCAGGTGCGTAGTATATCACTTCCATACGGTAATTTCTAACAAGAAATAGGTAGCAATGCTCAGCGCGGAAAGCGTCAAGCTCCATGACAAAGCGCCTTCCGGTTGTCGCAATTGACGGCATTTGAAGTCCTCACCGGCAACCTTCATATGCCGGGCCCGAACAGAAGGACAAGATGAAGTCGTCGATGCTTTGCAACCAGGAGACGAGAGACAATTAGAGGGTCCTCCAATGGTAGGCTTCTAATGTTCCTTTCGCCGAGATGTGAGTGATTGTTTCCCTTCTAGCTCTTTCGATTATTATGACAGGCGATCTGAAGAGCGTAGACGTACGATGATCTGTTTTCAGCGATTGTATGAGGAATATGCCCGCAGGCAGCAGTGATTCCGAACAAAAAAGGTACTCTCTGCTCCTCGATAGTACTCGTGTATTAATCGATTATATCCAGTACAATAAGGACGAATGTGCTTTGAATTTGAAAGTGCTTGTAGTTCTGACGCGCTGCGGGTGCGTGCGTACGGTGTCCTGTGTACAGCCTCTGATTGAGAGTCCGACCTGAGACTTGCTTCCTTCCTTTCCTACCTTCACTGCGCTCCCGCTTCATCGGTCGGTCTCATGTACCCAATAGCTATCTCTCGCCACTGTGGTTATCTTCTTTCGAATATATTCCAAGGACTCAGCCGCGACGCGTAGCCGCTCAAGCAGTACCAGTACGTCGCAATAGTAGCAGAAAGGCCAATCGATGCCAGTTAGGATGGCTGAGAAATTCACTATATGTGAACCCGAGAAACTTAGACCTCGTCCGCTGGTTACTGATGTGACTTGTGTAATCTAGTAGTTCATTACACGAGCATGCCTTCGCCGCCTGCGATCCCGTACGATAATGTCATCATTCTCGTCGACGACGCATGTATATGAACCCTTGGCCCATGGAGTGGATGGAATCTCCAGTAAGCTTTGAGGATGGAGCTGGTGAGCCCTTGTCGTTCTCGAAACTCTCTCCTTCTCATCCTTTGTCATTGCAGAGCTCTGCTTCGATGAAAAAAAATAGGCCTAGCATCACTGGATCTCGACGATTCTCTTCGACGTACATTTGCTTTCAATGTGGGACGCTGAACTTTACCTTGCAGTGATATCAGAACAGTCGACCATCTTCTCCCATTTGGTATGACTGACAAGCTCATTACAAGTGAGTTCGTGAAACTTAAACCTCGCACACCGTGTACTAACGTGCTCTTGTATTTCAGTAATTTCTCGGAAAAGATCGACATCTCTCGCTTGCTCCATGCGGTTATGTTCGCTACTCGCGTCGGCCATGTATAACATCTTGGTGCCAAGGCGTTGAAGGTAGTGGGCCCTTTTCGTTCTGAAGACTCTTCTTTCTCATGCTTTGATGCTGCAGAAGCTTTTGCCTTATGATACGATGAACAAAATTCAAAATTGGCGGGGTCAGAGTAGCTCGCCAGTCATCGACGAGGCTTCCGGAGATCCAAGGATATAACCCTCACTAACCTTGATGCGGGACCATGATGGCCCATGCCCCATTTATCGAAGGCGACAACAACTTCGCTTTGTGTACATCATTGTACGTTGACGTCCTTTCGCTTAATGACACCCTTTCCGACGCATCGCGCAGTTGATTAGATTATAACCCTGTGTATCGGAATTAAAACCTGCGATGTTTTCAAAGGTTCTGCACGCACTTGACACAACTATGACCGAAGAAACCAAGAATGGAGATGTCCAGCGCAGAAGGATTTACAATCCCACGCCACGTGGATTGCTCTGTGTTCCGTTACTTGGCTCTCTAAGAATTCTGGTGGCGGGATAGGGTCGCTCTCTGCGTCCATCTGCATAATCGGTTTGGAGTTGCTATTCACTTCTTCGCGGGTCCTACGTGATTCCTTTTTCTCTATATGGATCTAATCCGTTTCATTACAGTTCGAATTAAGTGTCGCTACTTGGATTTCATTGTCCCCGCGCGTTCATGTTGGTCGTACGTCCGAGTTTTTGAACATTCCCCCCTCCCCCAAAAGCAGCTAGTGTTACTGGGTGCATATTCGACCTAGAGATACCAGTGCTGCTTCCTCGGTTTGCCCATTTTTCTTCGTTCTCGCTAATCTGTGCTGACGTCAAAGATTGACCCAAACGAATGATTATCTATGAACGTCTATACCCGAAGGTTGTCTGCGAACTCGATGACCGTCGCGCACCGTTATCATGGACGAGAAGGAAAACATTACTGGGACCTTTGATAACATAGATATGTTCATTATTCGACCGCTGTCTCGATATCACCGTATGTATAGCAGATTGTCGACGTGCGACCGCTTTGACTACCAAGTTCATGCCCTGGTTCAGCTTCAAGTCTCGTCTCGAGTGTGTCAATGTTGGTAGAGATTGGTTAGCACTGCTCGGAGCTATACAAGGTGCTTTCGTTGGCAGGAGGAAGGTACATTTGACTCAGCACCTTTCTCAGCTCAGATGTTTCCTTGGGCATGCTTTACGACTTACGATGCATGTGTTTATAAAGCCATGAGGTCTGTTACGTGTCAATGACCGTTCTTGTGTATTACACGATGACGATTGACTTGACAGTGCCCGTTTTCCTCTGGTTTCAATACAATTTCTTCGAACATACGTGCAACTCTTTCAAAATTTCTCGTGTAGATGTAAATACGCAAGGAATCAACGCTCCACTTGCTGGCTTGGGAATACTAAGGTTCTTCCTTCTACGCGGTAAGTATTCCCATTTCTCTAGATTGGTTGATGAATTCTGATATTTAACTAGCGGTGCCTCTCCTTGTCTTACGTCAGCAAGGCCCTTCACAAAGTTATGGTCCGCTAACATTGTTCCATGTGCACCGAGCCTGGTTCGTGGCGGAAAACTCGCACGGCACGGCTGCAAAGTGCTGTCTCTGACGCATGGAAAATGTCTTATGGCACGGAGAGGTGTCTAAAGCAATCCCTGAGAAATTTACACGCGTTTAGCTGATGGCTGCTCCTGCCAATAACCAAAGTCGAGGTACCCGAAAGAGACAATCAGCCATGCATGGTACCATTCCTGTTCTCAGCGTCATTTCTATATACACTGACTATCACTCCGTATCATAGCTTGGTCATAATAATGTACAGCGTGCAGCTTAACTTGGCTTTCCTGGTTATCTGAATTGGCGCAATTGCGAAGTTCATTTAACGTTGCTGACAATGCGATCAAACGTCTGTATATCATAATGAAACGCGGGCTAGTAATGTCACGAGAACGTTCTGATAAATAAGCATGCTTCGGACCGCAAAGTTGACTAGACGCCAGGAATTTGGTGGTTCCGTGGTGGTCGCCAGAAGTTGAGAACTGGGGGGCCCGTTCCTTATCGTATGGTCCATCAATGTTGATCGAGAAACGCATACACTAAGTATGGTGAGTCATGTTCTTGCTAATGCTCGCGGTTAGTCCGCAGTTCAATGTCATGTGCGGTGGGTGTGTTGTAGCTTCGGGGGACTATACGGCCGGTGAGAGGATGGTTCTGTTGGCAGATTTTCATAACTTAGATGGCTGTTCCGTGTTTCTGCATTTTCGTGGTTCATAATACTGAATTTCCTTAAGCGTACTACTACCATGCTGCTCACAATCGGTCGTTTCACGAAGAACTCGTAGTTAAGATAAGGTAGCAATGACTAGACTGTGCATTAAGGAATACTTTGAACAAGGGTGGAAGAGCGAATCACAAGAATGAGGAACAGGAAGCTATCGTATCGCGAGTGAAGTAGTTTTACAATTAGTTACTAGTTAGTCACAGCGGAATGTTCAAGTACGACCAGTTCGAGACACACAGAACAAATATACAAGAAAAATGGGAAAAAGGATCCTGAGATAAGTATTTCAGCTACATGGAAAGCGGCGATAGTCATAGGAGACGATGGTTGGAAATTAGGCGAGGCGGAAAAACAGGGGGACTTTGAACAAAAGCAGAAATAGCGATAGAAAACGATGGTCACAAATTGGGAGAAAGTTCGCAGCGCAGGAGCGCGCGGAGCAAAAATGACATTTAGTATGGGACCTGAAGACAAGGGGCCGGTAAGTGATAGGAAACTAGAGAATGGAAAGAGAAATACACAGATTTAGATCCAGGACGTTTACTTGAATGGGCACCCTGGTGCATGATCACCCCTCCATCCGCAGTGGCAGCATTGTGGCTCGTTGGGTCTACCGTACATGAACATTGGCGCGCCCGACGACGGCGACTGCGAAGTTATGTTGGACACTTTACGGTCGTATGGATGGTAGTCCTTGCTGGAGGACGTCGAGGAGAATGACGATAAAATGCACATGATGAAATGCAAGATAAGAGGACAAGAGGGCGGTATTGATTTAGATGCAAGGCAAGGATTGACTGAGGGTCGTTTGGGAGAAAGAGGTCTGCCTTATATCAGGTCCTAAGAAGGTATCCAGATTTAGTACTGGTATCAAAGAAATATAATGTGTCGCGCGGCACAGAAGATATCGGGCTTGGCTAAACCGAGATCTCTGACTAACCGATGACGGCGCGAAAAGTTGTAAGCAGAGGGACATATTCCATTCTAGCTAGTAAAGTGCTTGAGCCGTTCCAGAAAAAGACATCGAGTTCGCGCGTCAAGGACGCAAAAGCCTGACATAATCTTCCTACCGTAAGAAAGACATGTCTTCAATGTCATTGATCTGGGCAGCAACGAGGATACTTCCAGAGCATTGGATCCAAGAATACCAAGAGGTCCTGCAGGAGTTGCGGTGTATGAAACAAAATGAACCAGAACTAGAGGGGAAAAGCCAAGAATATCTGTAGGCGGTTGGTTGCCATATACGTCACAGTTTATCATATGTCGTGTAGTAGCGTTTGTGAAAGGCCTGGGTGTCGGGTGTGGCGTTAATATTATGAGCGAGAAGTTAACCATCTGCAACGGACCGACAAGCAATGCGAAGCCAGGAATAGAAAAGAGAAGAAAAGCCAAAGCAACTTGATATTACAAATTCAAGGTCCGTGGGATCGTTGCACGCGATTCTCCCTATCAATGGGCACCGCCACTACGTTCTCATCAATTTTGAGACGACCTAATCTTGAATTAACTCAAGCTTCTCCTGGGATATATATGGGATCTGCGAGGATATGAATAAATTGAATCGAAAAGCGCTAGTATTCACTGGGAGCACGGGCCCGACATTACTTTCCCTAATGCTTCTTTGCGATCACGCAGTTCGGATTTCTAATGCCGAGAAGACTTGGAAAGTATAGACATAGTAACACATTCCGACTTTGTTGAGATTTGCATCTGATAGGGCAATGAATGTGGCCGACTCAGGGTTTGGTTTGGGCCAACATTGTCATCATGATTCACTAACGGTTCCGGCCCTTACTCTTTCTTCCAGAATCTTCCGACATTCAAACCGTCGCGGCTCAGTAACGGTACCGGCCTTTCGTACCTTCTTCTGAGGTATCAGTCTATTTTCGGATTTTCAACTTACTGGTATGATTCGTCAACGGTACTGGTCCCCCAAAAATTGGTATAAGACATATGCTTCTGATATGCATCTCAGGACCTTCAATTCAGTAGCTGACGGCCGATTGATGGTATAGGACACGAGCACAATGCTGAGCTCAACGACATTCAATTGAAGGCTGCGCATAGACATAATATAAGACGAGTGATTGGAACTCAGCTGTCATTTTTTACGTCCCTAGTAACGATACGGGTGCTTCGTGTTGCCTTGCCTTTGACCAACCCAAAAAGGATGTTTTTGTGCATACAAGGTCATGTCCTTCCTGGAAGAATTGTACTTAAACCTTGGAGCCCCACGGGGTGATCAAGGAATACTGGAAGCAGCCGAGTGAGCTTAGGTGACCGGCATTCATACTCAAATCATTTGCCTTGACCCAAATCTACTTGTGTAAGACGGCGAGTCACACACTGAGGAAAATTTGCCTTGCACCGAGATCCCCACGTTATCAAATGACCTCGGCTTGAGAAGTGATGACTCATTTCTCCGCATTTAACCACCTTTTTTTCCAGCTTCGGCAACCCACATGTGTCTGGATCCCATTCAAATTTCTAGGTTTTAGAATGTATGTATGTATACCTCGAGCGATACTCTGGTCCTTGACCAGTTCTCGCTTGGTATTTATATTTCCTGGGAAATGTGCATCTCCCCGCCTCCCACGAGATCCCAGATGGTTGAATATCACGCGTGGGGTATATATCACTTGAAAAATCATTTCTGATTCTGATTGCAAGCGTGAAGGCTTGCATATTTACAGGACTGCGTTCAATAGAACCTTAGTGCGGTCCTCAACTTCCGGTGTAGTCATCGATAGCATCCTGGAGCGCCTGTAAAAGCTCAACGCCGTCCTCCAATTCAGTCTGGTCTCTTCTGTTTTTCATTACCGAGGATCGTATGATAGGACTTCTACAAATGCTTTCCCCATTAATGGAAAGAACTGAGTTGATAAAAGTGCCCATGAAATTAATTTAGTAGGTAGCATCTGCGTGAGGATGAAGCTACCTCCGTTCTTGTCTATTGCCAAGCGTAGTAGCCTCCGTTAGCAAGACTTTAAAGTTCAACGCGAGAGCAACCAATATTTGAAATGGAGAGTGCAGTTAAAGCCCGATCGTTTGAAGTTTCATCTCTTACAAATACCGCCGATTGAGTAAGGCACAGTATGAGGCATTTTTGCGGTGGAAGTTCTGGAAATTAAACCCTGGGACGGTCTTCAAGCCCTAAGCCCCAGTAAATCATCGGTTATCGTTCCGGTAGCAGTTAGGGTCTCATGGTAATTGTGATAGGACTGCACTGGGTACTGCGAGGCCATCGTTCCGCTCATATTGCACAACGTTCAAGGACTGCAGTTTTCTGTTACACGGGTGTAAAGTGCAGTTGCTATCCTGCTGTAATACTTATCTCTTTTACGACCCAAATCGTTGGCCTTGTTGCAGTTCATTCTTGTGCGTAGTACCGAAACTCTAATTGAAGGCCCGATCAAGCGCGCTCTGTAATTTTAGGTCGTCTCCTACAGGAACAGTGAGCGCAATTCCATGGTTTTCTCGACCTGGGCTGTGACACCGTTGAGCACAAGCGTCTTCTTCGCATCGTCCGTATTAGTATGGCTGTCATGGAACTTTATTTTTCCGGCCCGTTTGATTACTCAAATCAATATTATCCAAGTGTTCCTTCGCTTATGGATCTATAGAGTCTGCGGGTTAACATGCCCCGGATGTATCGCGCCCAAGAACCTGCTGAGATAGAGAGTAGATGCCAGAAGCCGCCTGAGACGGGAATATAGCAGTTACGTTCCGTAATGTCTTGCATATTCTAAATAGTTCACAGCTTCACCGTCCAATACGTTTATAGCGTGCAGTCCTAACGTTCGCTGGTTAACTCTGAGTTTTGAAAAGGACGAGAGAGTATTACAATGCGTAAGGACATGCGGACGAAGAATCGCCAGTGTGGCTATCGTTCTGACCTGCTTGTACGATTTAGATAGTAGTGATCATTGGGTATGCACCGCTCAAATCTGTGAACCCTGCCAACCGGCACTGTGGCAACAATGTCAATGGAATGATGATTCTCCTAGCAATAATTGAGAGACGTAAGAGCATGCACACAAGCTGCTTTTTTGACATGAGATTAGGATGTCTGGGCAAAGGACGGGAGTCAGGTGTGTGAAATAGTATGGCCAAAAGAGGCTATTTCCGAGGCTTCCGAGGCCTGCATCAAATACATATCGACATAACATTTTGAGTCTACGAAGCTGGTCTTTTCTGAGCTACCTGAATACATAACTCAAACTATACACTCATCAGCTACTGAGAGACAAGATACAGAGCGACGAACCTGTAGTGTGCATCACAACTCTTCGACGGTATCAATACCTGGCTCCAAGACAACGACATCTGCGGCCCTGCATCATCACCGAGAAACGTTTTGATATTTTCTTAGATAAAGGAACCAGATCCGCTCCTCGCACGAATGCTAATCATGTGTGTAAAACCCAGGCCAAAATGTTGAGTCGAAGTATCCCCCAATGAGGGAGCTTCAACGCGTCAAGCAACAAGCAAGGGTCAACTTTGGTACTACCTTCATTCTAATTTTTAGCGGTGTGATAAATTTTGTAGGAACGATCTTATCGAGGAAGGGGGCGGTCGACGGGATGGAAAACGAAGTGCAATGTGGCTATGCACTGCAAGCTGGGATTTTTATTTTGATCGCTATTCTTAAGGATTAACATTTGTCCGGTGTCGGGATCTTCGGCCCGTCGGATCGGTTATCAAGAGAATAAAAAGCCTGGACCGTGGACGTTGTGAGCTGACGGAGCTTGCAGGGCGCACATAAGGTGCTGACTAAGATGACGGGCTGATACAACACTCTCCACCGCAGCCAGCATCGTTTTTGCACGAAATCTCTACACTGAAGTCTTCGACTTTCTACACTCAGATGCAAGGATTCGAATGCTGAGCTACCATGGGTAGCACAACTAAGAAATGACATGAATGCAACAGTATTTTAAACCATAACTGAGTCCACTTTCTGAAAATGACCACTCTGGTGAGATACTGGAACGTTTACGTGAAATAGATCTCTACGGTGATGGTAGGCGAATACGGGATTAGGCGAATACGAGATGTGTTACAGGATCGCTTTCATAGAGAAGGGATTGGTTTAAGCCGCGGGCTAAGTCTACTGTTCAAAGTGACTGATGAGAGGGATTTTGACCGTTAAATGGATCACAAGGAGTCAGACTCAAGAGAGCGGTCGGGGGGTCCATTTCAACACTAAACTAGAAGGTATCTCGAATCGTCCCCAGTAGACAAATGCCATGCTTGTGGCATCTTTCCAGAGGTCTCGTCGAAAGCTGATGAGGAAGACAATCAGTGTCGGGGAGCACGTAAGAAGAATTTTGAGAGAGGTCCGACGAGTGATGTACAGGGCCTGGCTTGGCCTGGCTTTTAGGGCTTGGGCTTGGCTTAAGGTGGGCCTGGCTTTCGAAATCATAAGCCCGAGCCCTGAGCGCTTGAGCCCAAGCCCTACCGGGCTCGGGCTTGGCTCAGGCTTAGGCTCAGGCTCAGGCCAGGGCTTGGGTAGTCCGACCTGGTCCGACACAGAGCACAGAAAATGTTGGGATGTTATTCGATTGTCGGAAAATGCACAATGAAGCATCCGATACCACCCGATTAGCATGGTATGCCGAATGCATAAGCGGTGGTTCGGCCATTGCCGTATCCTTCCTTTCCAGACCATCAATCTTCTAAATTTTCAGCACGAATCCCGACTACCCAAACTACATTAAGAACTTGCACATAACTAGCGAATCAATACTGAGCTCTTAATATTTGGCTTTAACTCGGAATTTGGCTGTTTTAACTGTCGGCGAACGCAGTGGGAGTAATGATGAGGACGGAAGCCACGCGTCGGACCCTCGGCAGTACCCCGGACACCTGGTGGCACAGGCCCTCAGGGAGCTGCAATGTCAAAGCTTCAAAGTACTTGCGAGGTTCATGACATAGATGAGGAAAAAGCGAAACTGGCGCCTATATGCAGAAAGCCTACTCGGCACGTAGATCCGAAGTATTTATGATTATTTGGCGCTCCTTCCCCTTCTAAGTTCTCTCCATTAACCTAGATATGTCGTTTGTTCCCTTCTGTGTTCCTTCGAGCTCACTTCCCCCAGATAGACTCAATGGAAATTTGTATCTCTCCATTCTTTTTCCTTGTCCAAACTCGAGCTCAAGAAGACACCAACTTTGCACCAACTTGAACGTACCCAACAAATTGTTCATTGCACTGCGACTTAACATCAATAACATCGCAACTACCGATTTCATCGCACAGACCACGAGTAGTGCTCCGTCCAACTTTGCTTCAACTTCTACTCCAGAAAGGAAATTTTCTCAGAATGGCGCCGTTCAACAAAATCAGTTCACCGATAGACGAGTTTAGACAAGCACACCATCCTTATGATCGGATCGACCTTGAGCTCTCGGACTGGAAGAAGGCTGAACTCGCCTGCGTTAGGTGCGCAGTTTATCATTATCATAGGGCGGCTTCTAACGACCAACTGACAGCCCAAACCTTTGTAACAAATCATCTTCAGTCGCTACAATTCTAGATTTGCAGCTTCACATTCGGTCACTGTTCACGGGCGCATGTTTCGGAACGGAAGTACCAGCTGAAGTAGTCGATAACGAATGTGAACGAATGCAATAGGAGAAATAGGTGCGTACTCAGAATTTTCAGTGACATAGGAATGCTTCAGGAAGGATAAAGACCACGGCAACTTGGAAACGAAGGCAACTAGAGGCGGATGACCTTCTATACGAAGCTTCAAACAAAAACAAACGTCGAGATCACAGACTGTCCCATCAAGGATAACAACAGGGTTATCGAGGGAGATATCTGACAGGTAGGATTACTCCTTGTTCTATTAGACTAGCAGCTCATTGTCGCTCTCGAAGATTCGAATATTCATGAACCGGAATGGAAGGAAGAATGCAGCTGAAAGCATCACGACTCGACAAAAGCATGGATGTGGCAAAGATCTCCTATGGTCGCTTTTGACCAGAACGATAGTATGGCATGGAGCCAGATGCGCGCGCAGGTAAAACTAACAGTCTGGAGATCGACTGCTGGAGGTACAGACGATATATGAATGGGATAGAGGGAAAGAGGAGGTTCGTGCTTGAGGTCTTGAGAGTCGTATAATGGAACTAAATGCATTCGTTCGTGAGCTAACCGTCTTTCTCTACGATTGATCTCCCCGTGATCCTTTTTCTAGAGGAGCACGCCTACGTCTCACTGAGCTTCATCCGATGTCGCCTTGGAATACCTATCTTGCTGCAGCTTTCGAACTCTAGACGTGAAGGACTGTAAAATGATGCTGTGGTGCAAGAGCCGAGTAACATTCAACCGCAGCGTCAATTGGTCTCCGCAGGAGGCTTATAGGGCGGAATGACCCAAAGCAAAGGTTGGCGAAGAACCCGATACTGTACGCGTTTCAGGTCTGACTGGTACGTACAGACACTACCATGAGGGAGGTGAGGAGGCGTACGCGTCTGGTATCGTCTTTGATTCCCCTTTGGCTGGTAACGACAAACAGACGGTTCGGAGCAGTTTCAGTGCTGGCGAGCAACAAATGTGATTTTTTGGTTCTCTGATGGTACTCTGGTATTGATCAATTACGTCCAGTATATGGAACTGCGCTTATCCGAGCGGACCTTGGAGAAGATCAATATGCCGCGAAAGAAAATGCTCGTTCTTTTCCGAGCGCTTGAAGGAAGGCCCACCACGTTGATGCATATTTTCCCTTCTCCGTTCGAAGCAGATGCCGTGGAGAAGATAAATAGTTTCGAATAATGGCACTCTGTAAGTGTCTCAGTAGTACGATGTTCATCAACAGTCGAACTGATAGCGACAGTTTGTCCAGTAATAGATCAGCAAGGAGATATCATGCTGTATCGTAAGCCAATACCAGGAAAAATCCGTGTGAGTTGGATCGATGGTACAAGTCAATGCCCAGTTTCTTCTGGCTGCAGGCCTTGCAGAACGATGACGGTCTTTTGGACTTGCTTGACAGTCTCCGAGAAAAGAACTGTCTTCTTCCTTCGATGTCTCATTTCCTGGCACCTTTTTCATCGCTTCACATATCTTCCCACGTCATCACGACGGTCACAGTTACCTGATCTATCTTTCGGCAGTATTTCACAGTCAGGCCGGCTGCGACAAGTTTTAATGGTGCTAGTGCGGTCCACATTCCGCATTGATTGTCGTAACACGAGGACAGCGTGACGGAAACCTTTGGTTGCGACCACCCCTTAGTCGGCATGACCTGAATCTCACGATCTCACGGCGGTCCTAATTTCCATTTGTCTTTGAAAGGGTGAGCCATACATCGCCGCTCTGTGGCTTAGTTTCTCCTTCGTTACCCGTGGGCTGACACGGGAATAAAATATAGTCTTGGTTTCGTCTTCACCTGGTTATTCCTCTTGCATTGGCGCCAAAGACAACTTTAAAGCTACCATTAGTATTCTGGGGCTCTAGGTACCAGCGTCAAGGATATGAAATTCATCTCTTTCATATTTGGAGTCAGAAACGTCTATGGAAGAGTTTCCACCACCAACGGGACAATACGCCCCAAATCCGAATTTGCCCTCGAATAATGTGTCGTCCGCCGCTGTGCCGGCTTTTTAAATGGACAATGCCCTACAATGCCACGCAGATGTCTTTGCAATTTACGTTTGTTTTGGTCACAAGACCAGCCTCAGCCTCCAGTAGGAATATTGTCTTGTCTTATCATCGTATCCCCCATGTCGCAGGAAGATTTCCCGTCTCGGCTTGGCTCACTCGCGTATGTTCCAACGGAAGTTTTGTATCCTGCAGAGCCGGAATCTGCTGGGAATGATCTCTCTTGGTCACCGACTCAAGAGCAAGCGCGTTATTCGTACGTCTACCCGTGGCTCAAACCCTTCATGTAGAACTCACATGTTCTCAGCGACGACGGCGATTCGCCCGGTATTTAATGTCTCTTCCAGTCAAGGCGATGCACCGGAACATCATTCCCACGTGGATGACATACCGTCTTGCCTGGAGACTATCATTTTGCGGTCTGCATGCTGCCAACAATGCCGAAGAGTGTATGGACCCCACTGGGTGGAATATTAGGTCTGTCATTTCATTCATAAGGTGTCACTTCGCTCACTCTCGCATTTGAATTCTTCCTCGATCGCACTTTCACCTAGTAGACCGCTCTACTTCCGGACCCACGAGGACGATTACTTGGCGGAAGCAACTCGACCCTTGTATGAGTGCGTGTCTTCTTCATCCAACAAGTTATCTATTGACACGCCAAACATAGACACGCTATGATGACAGCGTGTTCAGATGTTAACTCGTTCGATACGTCTCGTTCGACCCAGAAGGACGAATCCCTGTTCCCCGGAACGACCACTGCTGAATCAGCATATGATTCATTCTCTACTGTCCAACCAAAGCTTCGCCCTCGATCATATTTTCTTCCTATGCTGGACTATACGCCGTTCACGGATGGATACCGAGAAGCATCATCCTCGCAGATCATTCTCGGAGAACCTTACCGCAGGATCAGTCTTCCAATCAGGCCCTTGCCATCGGTGCCCAAGTGGTACCGTGTCGTGTAATGACGATGATGATAACGCGCGATTTAACAGTTTCGGGCGTATCGGGCAGTACGTCAACACTGATTGTCATATTTCCAATGAGCTGATCGTGACAATGCAGATCTCCAACCGAGCGCTCCAATGGTGCGCCAAGTGCTTCAAGTACTTCAAGTAAACCTCAGTACGTGTTTCCCCCGCGGAATCATATTTCATATTCATCAGTTATTACAATAGAAAAACATCATACAAGCCGAGAGTTCCTAGCCCAAAGGAGTCAGACCGGGACATATGCGCAACTGCCAGCCAGCCATTCCTTCCTTCACTGACGGTTACAACGCAGGGACCCGCCTCCTTCCTTGGCGCCAAAATTGTGGGTTCTTCTACCATTCTTAAGTGCGCAACCGCTTATGTGACTACAATACAGTGCCGATGGAAGAAACAAATACGTTCTTTTGTCTGAATTCCAAATCGGGCGACTCCTCAAGGTGTATGATGTCTCCTCAGAGGAAATACCGGTGAATTTCTACGGCATTAAACGAATACATACCCCGGAAACCCTGTATAATTGTCCCATGAAAGCCTGCAAGGCGGAATTCACCCTTGACCAACTCGATGATCACTGCCTCTCTCATCACTCCACTATCTCTTGCGATTCGGCTTGCCCGAGTCGGGGAGACCGAACGGCTATAACCCATACCAGCCTCTGTCGGTGGTTTATTAGTTGTGATGCCCATGAATTCACGGCTACGTATCCAGCTTCAGAGGCTAGCAAGCACATTATAAGGTCACATCTTCTCCCCGACGGAGTGCAGTGTCCTCGTTGCGATAGTTTACATGGAACCAAACGGCTTCTATTTCAACACTTGGAAAGAAAGGGTTGTAACAAAAAGAAGAAAAACACGTCGACGTAGGCAACAACTGCGTTTTTAATCCTTGATTTAGTGTAGCTCCGTCCTGTATCGAATAGTACCCACTCCCTAGATTACTATATTTATTACATGTTTGGAATATCTCATCATATGTGAAAGTGGTATCGTGTAATCCCAGATATGGAGCTAGCGTTGCTCCGTCTCGGGAGAACGTAAAATGACCCGAAAATTACTTAGAGGTCGACGAGATGGGTAACCACTTGATAAAAACTGTAAATGGTCGGCCGGAAAATTGCACACTGTGGATAAACCACGATTGATATTTAACTTGGAGCATGACTTCAATCACCGGTAGATCCCCTCAGCTTCGCTGCCCTTTTTCTTTGTCGGAGAAGGTAATGCCTTTCCACGACTGCTTCTATCACCGAGAACAAAGCACAATAGCTCGATTCTCTTCCGCGGGCGTCGCAGATACAAGCGGAAGTATGCTCGTGAACATGCTATTATCTTCACATTGTTCACATGATCAGATAATATCCCGTGTCAATGACAAAAGATACGCAATGAACATCCTCCTACAATCTAGTGTTAATGGTGCACCGCCCCATTATCCCTATCTCCCAAGGAAGTCTCTTCCTTGATCCAATTTGTGAGATATTCCAAGGATTCCTGTTCATAGAAATGATCTGTCCCAACGTACATGAACTGAATGTGAAAACTGCCATTCGTCAGGTTCCAAAGACGTGCCAGGTGATTCGGAATATCCGCGTGCACCCAGAACTTCGACTGAGGCATACTGAGCGTGAGCCGTTCCAGGCCAGCGTCACGGCGAGCGCGTACCATGGAGTAGATTGAATCGTCTTCAAAGAGTACTTTTGATAGTCGAGGTAAGTAGCTCAAGCTAAGCGTCCGTAATGAGGGCAAAAGCCTACAATTGGCCAACTCCTCCACGGTGTCATCCCAATCGATGGTAAGCACCAGATCCGTCAAGCTCGTGCTGCAACAGAGCACTATGCTCCTAAATACTGAAAAAGGGACCGGCTGTTGAATCACTAATCGTCGCAACGGACAGTTCGACCTCTCGACAAATGAACAAAGGTCTCCGACGTCGTTGTCGTATATCGGATGGTGCGACTCTGTAGGCTTGGTGAAAAGAACGAGTTCCTCAAGTCCTGGCATACTGCACCAGAATAAACTGGCCGGAACACTGTCGACGAATGTCAACTTCCGAAGTCGTGCGTGTACAACAGTGTTTGGAAGAGGATCGAAGATCATCTCGCTTTTGCAGTGGAAGGAGAAAGTATCAAGGTTAACTGCGCCATCAATGCACTGATGAAAAAGCGAGGAGGCGCCCGCCCGGGATGGCTGGTGTATGGAGAGCTCAGTGAGCCGATGAAGGGGAAGAGATAGGCTTAGGAATTCCAGTCCGTAAAATTCAACTGTCCGTAAGGCAGCTGCGGTAGAGAAAAATTCGGAAGGCTCCCCGTGTGTATCGCCAAACCACGTGTGAGTACCGGCTTTGAGGCGAAGAGTACGAAGGTTTGGAATGTTTCTAAAAACATCTAAGAACTCTCGAAACTCCCAATAATCCGCAGATAAATCACATGTTACCCAGCGAGACGAAGTGGAGATTATGTGCTTCCAGAGGAAATTGACATCTCCGATCGTGGGATGGTGAATCGTTAACTGGATACTGAGGTTCGAATTCTTTGACAATTCTAGGGCCCTCTGGAATGGAACACGATATTGCAGTGGGTGGATCTTTGGATTTGCACCGGTGAAATTGAAGGCCAACACGGACCACAGCGTTGGAGAGTTCAAGGCGATGTTTCTCCACGAGTTGCAGACACGAAGGAGAGCCCAGGGGCGCATGTAACGGCGAGGAAAGATGATCACCGATGCCATGGGATGCGAACTTGAATATACGAAGGAGTAAATCATCTGGTAGACGCCGAATAGGAGCGAAAATAGACTTGTGATTGTCCAAATCGCGCTGAGTGTTGTCGAGTTCACTCTGAAGATTAGATAAGAGGGACTTTAGAGGGATGACCTCTTGGCGTCGAGATAGGACTTCGTTCTCGAGTAGTGGAATCTTGCAGCGGATAGAAGTCAGACTAGATGAATCCAGGTCGGCGGCTGAGCGCCCATCGCGAAGGTGTTCGTGAAGAACCTTGTTCGTATTGTGAGGTGTAATCTTTGCATTGTCGATATCTAGACATGGATAGTAGCATTGCTTCATCTACGAGAGGTTCAGTGTCTCCCACATACGATCTTCGAGAGACTGGCTCACTCTATTAGCGACCATATGGATCAATTCAAACTGCACTTGGGTCGACAACACGCCTTCCCTCAAGCAGGATGACCTGGTTATACAATGGATCTGTAACGGTGATTAGACAGGAATTCGGTACGGCACAATTGTATTACTTTGATAGTTTCCTCTAGGGACGAGGATATCAAATAAGCACCGCCTCCTTGGCTGGTCAAAGAAAAGCGAGATTCTGACAAGAAACACGACAACCGCAAGAAAGCAATGGTTGATCAGGTAACTGGAAAACTGAAGGCTTCGTTCCGCTCCCTTCTCGAAATAATTGGGTGGTGGAAGTATTGGTTTGAGAATTATAAAGGCCACGTGAGATTGGTAATGCCTCCCCTGCCGGCAACTGCCGAGTATCCACCGACTCCAACAGAATCCAGCATGAAGTCCCATCGTATAATTCCACATCACACATGACTCGGGGTCATCCAATGAATTCAAGCAATGTACATTGCAGTGCTAAGCAAATTTCAGACACCATTTGACTTAGACCGGATGGAAGAAGAATTGTTATCTAAAAGGCGATCGAAGGTATCATCATTAGTCGGTAAACGTTGGGATTACATAGCGACAATGAAATTCTTTCGCGTATAGGGTCATTGCATCCGGAGACCTAAACATTTCCTAGAGCAGCCACCGCACTCGAAAACGCAGCCTGTAAAGAGGTCGCCGAAGCTTCAACAGCGAGCTGAGAGGCGTCATGTGCGGAAGCAGAAGCTATCATACGAATGAACCCCAGTGGAGATACAACGATGAAATGGTACACGTACGATACAAACTTGCAGCAATCGTATTGGTAGGGTTGCTTCCACCGCCGGTGTGTAATCCAGGGTCTGATGTGGTCGTGTTACCCGTCGTAGATACCGCTTTTCATCAATGAGTATATGCACACGCAGGAAGTCGTCCAGCTTACCGATGGTAATATATCCCAATAGTCCATCACCGTAACTTTTGCCTAGTTGGACGATCTCGACGACGGGATACCACGCCGTAGTATTGGATTGAGGATAAACTTGATCGTGGTCATTCGAGGGACGCCTAGTTTGTGAGTGCCCTGTATACGGAGACGTGTTATGAATTGCGTAAGTCAAATCCTCGTCGAAGAAGAGCTGTCCGACGTGGACTTGCTCTCCTCCGATCAACGTTCCGTTATCCGCGAGAGTTGCATCTATGTGAGCAATCACATGTACATGGACAGCTCTAGGACTGTACCAGCCAGGGAAAATGGTAAGAAACTCCGCTGAAAAGGCACCATAAGAAATGAAGAAGAAGGGAAGACAAGCTGTGGCTCACCGATCCCATTCTCATCTGAGACTTGCCATCCACGAAGGAAAGTCAAGTCATCCGTCGTCCCATCATCTTTCGTCGGTAGCGTGTATTGCATCGTATCCGGGTCAATACCCGTGTACGACGAATAGTAACCCGTGGAGTTACAGTGCCAGAATTCGAGAAATACCCCAGGGAGAGGCTCACACGTATCAATGTCGATGATACCTATATCCATCCACAACGGAACGCCGGGCTCTACATCGAAAATTCAGTGAAATATTACCGCACATGGAGGAAATTTTTACCGCCGTCACGGATATCCCGACGATAAAGCTCGCCGTCGATATGGTACGGACCAGACGTGACTTCGGGGTTGATCACACACGTGTTATTCGCCAACCTATCAAAGGCTGTTAGGAAGGACTTTCAGTGAAGGGAAAAAGGAAAAGAACACATACTCAGTGAAAATCGCCCGTTGCTCCAGGGTCGAGCGTTTCGCTATGCTTTGCTCACCGTGCATAAGGTCCATGCGCCTCTCCAAATCCGGAGAGCGCTTCGCCTTTGTCTCCCGCAAGGACCGCGAGCAGTGGGAGAGGTCTCGGGTCTCCTGGCGCTTATGCTGATGTGTACGATGGGCAGCGGCAAGCGCAGACAGGCCAAGAACAATGAGGGACTTCCACAGCATTTTGTCGGTAGTGATTGAAAATGAAGGGCCCATCCGTTCGTTTATGTAGGGAGCAGGCGAAACCACGGAGGCATTTTCTCTGATAGAATATACGACGCGCAGCAGTAGCAATGTGTTCTGTATTGCAACAAATTCGATTGGTCCTTGTCATACGGCAGCCATGCTGCCGGTACGCTCTGTCGGACTAGCGTCATATGTCGGGTTTTCGATTCGCTAGCAACAAGAGAGGATGGATAGCCATGAGAGTTAGCAAAAATGAGGCGTTTCAAAAACAAACGGATGCATCCCTTGTGATCCAAAATAAGCAGTTGTATTCTGGTGCTTAGAACCATTTCTCCGGGGCCGGAATGCGTGTCGCTACAAAAGGGGACAACGCGACCTTCCGCATGGACCCTCTAACAGTAAGATGTGTAGCCAATTGAGATGCTCCAATATCAAGAAGGGGGAACATCGGGACAACAGAAATCAAAGCAATCCCGCCCTGCAGAGATGAAGAAAAAGGCGAGAGGTCGGACACGGAGCGACTTGGCAGTCTATTGACCCTTCGTCCTGGAAATTCCATTAACAACCGGTGAATGTAAATGACAGTGGATAACGTGAGGTTACATTCCTAGGCGATGCAAACACCACCGAAATTAAGTCGATAACATGACTTTTTGACAAAATCTTGGGCCATAGCAAAATGAGGTGTGTTCATATTCAAGCCAAGTCGTTTCGAGGATAGAAAATATATCGGAAACTTGCGAGACGACAGCCACACCAGCAACAACCAGAGGAGACAAAGATGACAGATACATCCTTTCTTCTGCATAGGGTAATTTTGCGCATGGAACCAAATCGGAACAGGAGCGAATTTCACGGCTATGGGTGGGGGCGGCTTCGACCTTGGATATCGATGACCAGTAAGTTAGCGCAGAAACTTGTCGACTGATTAATGCTAGTAGTTGTTGTTGAACATGATGGTCAGTGTCAGAAGAACCGGGCCGTTACCCGGAACGGCACCAGCCGACCCGGCACGTCTCCCATCAATCACAATGCCGACGGTACGGCTGCCACACCACGTGGGTACCGCAAACCTTCGTCTAGATCCAGAGTGTTTTCGCCTCATTGAACCGAGCATCCCTGCAAACTTCAACAAAGGATCAAACCTTTGCCTTGACGGCACATCATGGAATTACCGGCTCTCTTCCGGTCGATATACGGTGGTACCTTCCACCATACCTAAGTACTTAGTAACCTAACTCACGCCGCCTTACAATCAACCAGACCGTCAGTCGAATACTGAAGTCGATTCAATGGTACTTTACTGCATTTCATTTCAGCTACATGCAGCTCATCGTTCCATCCTACGCCTGTTTCAGAATTTTATCAGAGACAGGATTATATCTCTCCTCGTAACACAGCTGCACTGAAAGACCCTTTGTCGAGATATCACAACCACTGCCGGTATTTTCTTCCCCATAGTAGCAATCGTTTTTTCCTGGGATAGAACTATCATCGATGCCACCGACATCTCCCTCGCGTGCTGAATTTGCAGAAGCACCGCCTTTGGCTTCGGATTGTGTAACGGACGTCGTCTTCAAATATTGACCCACATTCTCCTCCGCCTCCTCTGAGGGTTTCTCCGACAACGTCAAGATCTCCATTAAGACGCTCCATCTGTCGTCTGGTGTACAATTGTTCACCGGACTCCACTGGTCTTCATGACCGTAATATGCTTCATCAAGGCCGTACTCATCCATATCTCCCGCTGGAAACTCCAGTGCTCTAGCAACGGCAGTCATCATCCTCTTCTCTATTGCACTGCACAAGTCTCGATGTGCCGTCCACGCATCAGCATCATACTCCACATGAAATTCGACAACTCGAAGGCATCCAGAGCAACGCGCGCCCTTTCGGGAGAGGCTCGACAGGCAGAGCCACTCTTCTTTAGTCAAGAAGGTCTTCCTCATAGTCGCATCTCCGCCTTGCAGGGTTAGGAACCACTTGTGTATAAAAATGACGGGATTGCGTAGATCAGTTGTGTTGTGAGTCATGTAACGGAACGTTCGCGCTTGCGAAAATGTCGGCGGGCTGATGGCCTCCGATGAGGACGTAAATCTCCTGATTCCTGGTGCTCTTTGCCACTGATAAGTGTGAAGACTGAAACTACTCTCGGCGAAGGGTACCTTTTACACCTTGAAATAATATCCTCTACATTCTCTGTATTCTCCGCGGGATGAGAGGCAAAATTCGTGAAAATGCAGAGAATGGGTTGTCGCAAGTAATTTAGCGAAAGCCACTGGTGACGGTATACGCTGCTGGGGTAGTTCATTGAGAGTTCTGTTCTCGTCACTGTTGCTACCAGAAGAGCCTGTCGTGTCGCAGCTTCAGTTGCAATGCCGAAGAAGCCTGGATACTTAGTTGATGTGAAAGGAAGGATGAAGCTGAAGTGCCACTCCATCGGTTCATTTTTATAGTCTATGAGAGCCAACGAACAAAGGAGGACAATAGAAGGTCTATCCGTTTCTAGCTTGTCTTTTGACAAAGGCCCATGGTGGTTTTGCTCGCTCAGAGGGTACATATCCAGAATACCTTAGGAGATAATCCATCGTTTACCAGACACCTAAGTACAGTCACAAACGGGAAACGTCCCCGCAGAATCGAGTCATATACAGGTATCATTCAATCATATGAATACGTAACTATAAAATACATGACTGTGCGGTAGAAGCTTCGTCAAAAATCATAACATCGAGCCCTTCGTCTACGTACCTCCGCAACGTCCGATGAACCATATCAGAGTAGTACAGGTCTCCCCATCCATACTTTGCATGTATCTCAACACGCCGCAACTGCGCAACTCGCGCGCTCTGTGGTACGTTCCACCGTGACTCTATCATAGGCATAAATGGTTCGTGAGTGAAAGACTGTCCTCCGCATTTCGATGTTACGTCAGTGAATCGCAACTCGACTAGCTTGGAGACAAGATTGTCATCGTCCTTTCTCACTCGAAGTGCGATGAATGTTTCGCACGCGGCCCAACTCTCCACCACGACGCTCAGTCGCGTCAGGTTGGAACATATCGCTCCAATGGAGTGAAGGCAGACAGTGAAATTCAACGATAGGGAACGGAGCAAGCACCGGGACCGTTGAACCAAGGTTTTGACGCTCTGCATGTCTGAAGAAGAGAAGGGCTGCGCGTTGGAATGACATCCGATTGTGAGATGTTCGAGATTCGGAAGAAGCAGTCTATCTGCGATTTCCTGGACTGGTCCACATCGAAAGTGCAGACGGCGGATACTCGGAAAGGTAAGCGTCTTAGATCTATGGCTGCTGGAAAGGATTCTGAGGGAAGACGCATGCGAGATGGTAAGCGCTTCTAAAACTTTGGCTCCGGCAAGAATGGCGAAAAGATCTTCTGTAGTCTGTATGGTGCCTTCCAGCAAGGCTAGCCTACTTAGAGGCAAATTCAGAGACGACAACGGAATCCCTCTCAACGATACATCGTGGAGTTGTGGGGAACGTCCGAGAAGATCTCTTGTTCCCACAGGCACAGGTCCGCGATCCAAGGTGACCCTGATTTTCCGTAACATCGGAAGGGGACCTAAACGATCGAAGATCTGATACGAAAGGCGTGGTATATGTACTTCTACCAGGGACCAACGAGATGAGTGCGCGAATAGGAGATCCAGTATGGAAAGGAGGCTCGGAGAGATCGAAGAAACTTGATTGTCGCAAGATACTAGGATTGTGAGGGGAGATCGTTGGGAGCGTTTGAGGGATGTGCGGACCATAGACACAGACTGCGAACACAATCTTTTACCGTTGCTGGTATCGATGGCCACCCTAGACCACAAAGTTGGGAAGGAGAGATATATAGACCTCCAGGAGGAGCAGATGCTACCGAGAATCCATGGGGTAGAATTCGGGTTGATAGTGTCAACGGGGAGGAAATGGAAGATGTGCAGAAGGACATCCAGTGGCAGACGATGTATTGGAACAAAAAGTGACTGGTATGCTTGAAGGTTACGATAAATACTGCTCCTCTCCTTTTGGAGACGCCCAAATTGGAGATCGAAAGTTGAGACACAATTCTCCGATCTGCGAACGTCCTGGTGGATCATGGACAGAGCAATGCTGTCGAGGGCAAAGGAGGATTGTCCAGCGCGAAGGAGTCGGATGATGGAGTCGGTGGGAAAGATATCTGCATCTACGTCAATGGGTCTGGTCTTCTGGAAATGATGGCGGCGTGGACAGATAGAGACGGATGGCATACTCCTGATCTAGGATCTAATATGAGAAGTGCAGGTAGAAAGGGGGCCAAAGAGCTCACTGTTATGAAGACACTACCAATGGGATGTAGGCCGAACGTTGGCGGTTGAGATATATGTAGGAAAGCGATAATAGGTACCGGCAGCACATTTGCCTCATTCAAGGTGCCTGAGATCAGAAAGGTTGACGGCCAGTTACGTCAAATCCATATAATATCCGAAATAGCGCAGGAACATCGGCGGCTTCAAAGGTCGAGGCATTTCTGAGCTATCCGTTTAACGGAGGAACATCAATGAACATGAGTTCACTGGAATGGCGCAGATCTCAATGGCGCATAGCATCATGATTCTTGATCGTTAGACAGTATGAACGTTGGACTTTCTATAGTAGATGAATATAGGTGAGGTCGCCGGAGCTGGTTTTTCCTCGGTGTTCTAGAAAGTAAGAAGAACACCCTGTAGGTAAGTTAGCGATGATCGAAGATGTGGTGATTATATGTCCGGCGATATACCTTTAGCGCCAACAAATACTCCGGGTTTTTTTATACAGAAAGTTCTCCATGGATGCAAACATCCTGACAGGACGCAATTGAAGCAAAGGAGAGGAGCAAGGAGTGTAGAGATGAAATCGCTTACAGACTCCAGAGGATGGCGAATAGGATTTTCCGCATTTCGTGTTGAAGGGCACATACGGACAGAGTTTCTCTATTCATGTGAAACAAAGACCGGTTGAATGCTTGCCTACGCATGCCATAAGGTTTCGACCAACGTAAGTAAGAGCACGAGTGCTGTTCCGGTGAATGGTTGTTACCATACTTGCGCAGCTGGTCATGCACGTCGTAGGTCGGATCTGCCAACTGTATCAATAGCGACACTGAACCATCGTGGCTAGTGTCAGAAGCAAACACCGAACAGGGAGAGGATGCAATAAACGATTTGGCCCTTCCTTCTGCGAACAAGATCCAAGAATACCGGCTATTCACATGGAGCTATCGTGGGACTCGATTCGGCCATCCGGATACAAAATTGCGTGAAAGGCCGTGCGTTACGAACGATCAAGAGAAAAAAAAATTAACAAGCAGCAGAAAGATATACCGAAGTCGTCTTTTCACAAATAGCAAGCGGAACCCGAACTTTGGCGATTGTCGTGGCCGTTGCGGAACAAGGTTTGTTCGGCCCATCGGACCGATCCCGAGGTCTGGTTAACCTAGGTTGGGTGCATCCACTACAGAATCTCCTTCGCTAAGTCGTGAACACTTTATTTCCTTATAAATATGTCAATCGTAACCGTTTATCGCAACGAGAATCAACTTTGTAGCACCGCGAGTGAAATCATCTCAGCCATTCTATGGCAAGAGCAACAGGAACAGCAAGCATCATCGCAAAGGCAACGCAAGCCAGTAATATCTCTTTTGGCCCCGCCTTGGGCACCTCAAATTCCGGCATGCTCATTCCCGTGTTGTTTTTAATGTCTTCCACTTGTCAGCCACGTCAAACGTCTGTACGAAGCAGGTCTACGTACCAAATTCATTGAATCGACTCTCTTCAACTCCAGGGCTGACAATCTCATCGATATCTTTATGGGAAAGTCATCGTTAATTGCGAGGTGAGTATGGGTACAGAGCAAACCCTTACCTGTTTGCATGACAGTGAGGAATGAAAGAAGGCTCGGGGACTGTGCTATCTCTCACTGGCTGCAGTTTATTATGCCAGGTAGACTGTCACGTACTCGGGGTCCGGTGCTGGCATCATGAACTCCCTGACCTGAATAGATGAGCAGAATGAAGGCGGCACCAAACGGCTAGGTAGCATGATGTTTCTGAACGTGAAAGTGCACTGAATATATTGACGGGATAGGATCCATCGAAATGGATACAGTGGTCCAATATGAAGGATTTCAGGGAGGCCCAAGTCGAGATCCTCATTGAAAGCTCCCGCTGCCCAAATCACGTACCTCGTTCCCGCGGACCTTGACTAAACATATCACGCCATAGAGAACAAATGATTATATTATTTCCTGTAAACAAGACCACTGGCAAACGTCGACAGGTAACAGAACAAATCACTGTCACAATCTCGTCAGCCTGTAACCATTCCGAAGGGAGACAAATCAACCTACCTGGAAGTACATCTTTCTTCCCTGCCCTTGGTGCACCGGCATAAAGGACTTGCGATACTTCTCAAGTATTTCGGCAGGCGTTCCTGTACCTGTATCTGAAGAAGCACTCCAATCTTCGTCTGGTCCTAGATGCGAGTCGGGAGAGAAGTGATTGTTTGCCCGGGAGCAGACCGTGTCCGCGTCTGAGCATATGGAAGATCAAAGAAAACGAGAGGACCACGGCGAGGAGACTCACAATAAACCGGCGCCGGGATGGACACCGACCGAGTCGATCTAGCATAGACGTAGCAAAGGGCGTTCATGAGCGTCTGAAGGTTATCAGGACTGTGGGATCAGGGATCAGAAAGTCAGTCGTGTATTACCAACATCAGACGATTTCAAACGTACGTCATCTGATTCTCCTGAAGTAGGCGAAAAATGTCAGTGATAATTGACTATAATTGACGAGAGGTACTTACATCATGTAAAACCTTTGACACCAAAACATCGTAAACACATGACATATTTGAAGTAATAATCAAAACCTCACCGAGTAATGTGTAGGCCGACTGGTTCCTAACAGTCCTCCATGACTCAAGAGATAAAAGTTGAACTCGGTTGGATGGCTGATACCTCGGTCTACGACGGTCCCGCAAGGCAATGCCTTTCTGGTCTCCGTCTTCTTCCTGCTGAAATAATCCTAGCGGGTATGGAAGCACACGAGGGATCAGGACACGAATACGGGATTGACGCAGTACATGAGCAGTGAGTACGTAGTCAATCGAGTAAAGAAGAGAAAAGCGTAGCTACGAAAATTTACCGGTACGTACACGTGACTGATTACCAATAAACACGCGAGCCACGAGCTCGATATCCAACACTTCCCTTGTCGGAAAGAAACTGCTCATGCAAGACGTTAGCGACAGGAAAGAAAGTAAGATTATCCCTACCGGATGTGATGACGCTTCCTGACAATGATGAAGGTTATTTTGGCGTCTACATCGTGCGTCTTGCACGCCGCTTTCAATAGAAGATGAGGAGTCGCCCTAAGAAATACCTCTAGCAACGTACCTTTTAGTGCGGCGAGCTCTGTTGACGATGCAATCAGCATATCATCCCAACGCTGGGATATCACGTACCAGTATCAAGAACTTCTTTCTCGGATTCCGGAAACACCATCTAAAGGAGTCGGTGAATACCGCGAGCAAGCATCTATGCATGATCGTCTCACCTCGGTAAACAATGATTCGTTTCGGTTTGATTTGTGCCTTCTTCTCTATAACCATGTGGTAGTCACAATAGTCCTTGATCAATTCCTAAACGATTTGCCCATTAGCATCCTCAAGCACATCAGCAAAAGAGGATTTCCCTAACCTTGCACATGGACTGGAAATGCTCGATGATCTCCTGTCGTCCTTTCTGAACATGCATCTCTACAAAAAAAAACGTCAATATGGACGTGATAAATGCAACTACAAGCATCAGACGCATTGGCAACGTATCGCGCCGTATGAGTCAACACTACCGACTGCTGCCGTGTAGGACGGACGGTCGTTCGCCCCAGGAGGAGGGTGCATGACATCCGCACCTAATGGTAGATAAGTAACATCAACGTAGGGCCAAAAAACAACTCGCCGATGATCATGGTCGGGTTCCGTACATCAGTTAGAGCAGGCACAGACGTGGGCCACGGGATGAGGTTGATCCCGCCCAGCTTGACATTCAACCTAGAGGACGTTAAGCATAAGAGAGCATAATGAAATCACGTACTTCAAGCAAACGTTTGCAAAGTATTGAGGTTGGGCGTAACAGCACATATGCCCGACCATGCATTGCGTGGGAATACCCACCTATACAAAGGTATCTCGGAACGGCGGTGAAACTTGACTGATAGAAAGACGTTACAAGACAATCACCGAAACTGAGATGAACTATACATACCAAATTTATGACACGCATCAACAAAAGCCTTGGTCATATTGACGCACGCTGCATTATCAAAATGCTTCTTCACCTCGAAAATGATCAGTGACCACTTGGGAATGGCCTTGGGTTCGAATAGAATTTTGTCGGTCCTGTGGCCATGCTACTTAGTAGAGTAGAGAACCGAGAAAAGTCAAGCCTAGCTTACATGTTCCATTTTCCATCCTTAGGTGTCTGGAAACAGAGAAGTAGTCAGCATGACAAGAGGGATCCGAATAGGTAACCTACAATCTCTCTTTGACGACTCTTGTTACTATACTCCAAGACGGGAGGAGCCAAGATTCGTGCATCAACCTCAAGGGGCTCCGGAGAAGTTACGGCCATGCCAAAATGACGAACGTACTCCGACTGGCCATATGCCAGTACCTATGACAGGGTCAGCCATCAAATCTGATGATTCACTTGGAAGAAAACATAAACAGACGTCGAGTCCTTGTTTGATACTCCTCAAGCCGTCAGGCGGCTCCATCGTTGAGAACTTTCGAACCTCCTTAATGATTTCGCCTGATATCTGCTTCCGCATAATCTGTCCAGGCTTGATATGGCAGAGTTCGATAGGTATGAAAGCGCCGTTCCCAACCTGTTAATGGATCAGCCCTACAGCCAATTTCCAGATATTATTCCGTACATACCTCAGCGCAAATGAAGTCCGGATACTGCAGTCGCACGTTATACGTCCTCCAAAGATGGTCCACGACATTCATCGGTCTATCCTTGGGGGACGTAAACTGTATGGCCTTCGCTGTGTCGAGCGACAGCTTCTTCACGACTCTTTCGACATCAGGCCGTCCGGGTATCCTCACAGTAACGCGCACGCCACTAATCTGCCGACCCAGCTTTCGGATATCACCCGGCGTCAGTCCAGGACCTGGAATGAATGTCCTCTCATTCAGTGTCGCATTGCTTCTACCGAGCATCTGGACAAGAATCGTGGTGAGCTTGCCAGGCATGTACATAGATCCCGTCGAGATGTCGATGTTGATAAACATTGAATTCCAAGTGGGTCGCACAGATTGGAAGTACCCGCGCCACAGCTGGACGCCGAGCCCGACGTTTGCACTCTCGGTGTTTGTAAAGAAGGACGCTATGTTGAACGGATGGTTGAGGTACGGTTCCATGCGTACAACGACATTCAATGCCTACGTGAAAGGACATTGTTGAGCCACTCAAAGCAAGAAAAAGAACAAGATGCGCACCGTGATCACCGCAAGGACACTGTTCTCCTGTGATTGTTTGCCTGCAATAAACCGCTGTAGGACCCTATGCACATCGTGAGTTAATGGCGAGAAAGACAGAGGCCAAATATCGTACTGAGGGTTCACGACTGCAGCCTCTGTGAGTTTGATCTTGTATATTCGTGGTGTGGTTACGCCTAATCCAGTCTGTCTGGTCCCGTACGGAACACTGAACTATAACGAATAATTCAGCCACTCGCCACGTACTCCAGGCATCGATAGCACACCTCAACAGAACGATTATCATTCAATTGAAGCTTCTTGACGGTAAACGCAATTTTGCGTCCGTCATAAACCGCGCGAGGTGTAAACACCTCTGGTGCTACGTCCGTCTGGAGGAGCTTAAATAACTCCATGTTGAAACGAGCCGGAAGGGTTGTCGTCTTGTCGGACGAGATGACTGGAGCACCAGGATTATGACTTGACTTTAGCGGCAGAAATCAAGAATATGCATACCGACTATCACGAGAGATCAGCGTGAATTGAAGAGTAGAGAATGCGAAACTCACCATCGTATTGGTAAATTACACACTCCGGCACTGTCACCGCAAAGGCATTGATCTTGATTTTAACCCTCCTATCAACAGCACCAAATTCTGCTCATTTCACCCCGATGGTCGTGATATGGTCGCCACTGACGAGAGCTGGACCGACTTGGAGACGAGATTGAGGTGCACCATGGCGCGCACCGCCACGCAGGCGGCGAATCGCGATCCCAGAAGGATGTGAAGGAGCTTGGGATACTTTTGGAGGCATTGGAAGGAAAGGATGGTGATGGTTGAAAGAGAAAGACGCGTCAAATGTAAGTGGGAGAAAGCTTGCTTCTTTGTTCTCCGCTTCGAGTCAGTTCAGGCCCAGCTCGGACCGAAGCGCCTATTTCCTCACGTGTTTTAGGGAACCGAAAATGACGCGAACTTGGAGCGAAGCTGTTCTGAGACGTCAGGAAATATTTCATTCGTGTAATAGACGCAGGGTGTAAATAAGACATGGGTGTCAATGAATACAATTTCATCAACATCTTCAAGAGACGATGCTGAATGTGAGATTGTAAGAAGGTACTAAAGCCTGGTGAAAGGGACAATAATGTTATCAGAGACCAGCTGAGATCGATTTAACACATCTCATTCGATCGATTCTTCCATCCTCACCCAAAGACCATCCTGAGAAGGGATGATTAGCAATAGCGTAAGACTACACAAATGACATCAGTTCTACCTTTACACTCAATATTGCGGTAAAAGGCGTAAATGCAATCTTATCCCCACCCATAGGTGCAGCGGTCTTCGCAGGTCCAATATTTGGCGGACTCTTCTTAGCTGCTTGAGCGTCCAGGACGAGACTGAAAGACAAGTATTTTTGCAGGAGTCGAATCAGGAAGTACGACGCCTCGTTATAAGCGAACTAAACAACGCTCATCTTTAGAATTGTTAATATCTTTCAAGGATATTCTCACCTGCTGGCCCATGCATATTCTTGGTCCCACGCTAAAAGGGAGGAATATGGATGGATTCGGAGTCAAATACTTGCCCAGGCGTTCGTCGAGGAAACGATCGGGATCAAATTCGAGAGCTACCATTGAGAGCACGGTGTTAATACGGGATGATTTCTAGCCAATTGCTCGTACCATCCGGTCCCCATAGATCAGTACGTCTATGCATAAGGAAGTGAATAAACATCACCCTACGAGGAGTAAATTCAATCTTTTTCTCATAGTAAAAGCGAACATGGAATCTAATTACCTCGAACCTTCTGGAATGTAATACGGCGCGCCTCCCTTATTTGGAAGAGTAGTTGCGACCTCCGTTGTGCTGATAAATGGAAAGGTTAAGACCAAGTGGTAGGAATTCAATTTTAACAAACCGAATGTTTGACATACTAAAGGGAGGTAGTTCCGTGTTAGTAATTTCCATAGGATAACGGCTCATATAACACGTACACAGGCGGATACAGTCGTAAGGTCTCTGGATCCGGAATTCAATTGATACCTCGAAAGATAGGCATATAACAAGCCAATTCGTACCATTTAGAAACGCGCGTAGATACTTCATATCACGAATGTCGTCACTGGTAGGCTTTCTAGCACCCACTTTCGCGATAACCTCAGAACGCAGGCGAGAAACCATTTCCGGATGTTCGCACATCATATATACTGCGAACGTGATGAGCGAAGCGGTCTGAATGTTCAAACTCGTAAATATACTTCAATTGTATCATGTTGATTACTTACAGTGTCTCTTCCGGCAATCAGAATATCCACCAAGCCATCTTGGATGGATTTCTTGTCTGAAGGCAACGATAATTAGGACTTCTTGGGGCTGCAGATAAAAAATTCACATACCGTTGGTACTCTGTACAAGCCGGTCAAGCAGGGACACAAACTCCTTTTCATCTTTCTCCACGTTAGGCGCATTTGTCCCCCTACTCTTTCGCTCGAGCGTGTCCACAAGCAAAGGTTCAAAAAACTCATTGATCACTTTGCGTAGGGGTTTTAACTTGTCTGTAAAGAATTCACGAAGCGGCCAGTAGGGTCCCATCAAGACGCGAAGGAGAAGTTGTCTCTGTGCTTCTGAAGATGCTCTGAGAAAGCTATCTGACGGATGATTGTCGAGCGGGAGAGAAATCTTCTGCTGAGATCCGGGCGGGTAAGGAAACTGCGCGGATGTCGAACCAACATCCTTTCCACATAGATGCTCAGTAGCTGTATCTATCGTGAAACGAGCCGCAGCATCCTAGTTTTTTTTTGTTAGACAAGCACACATGCAAGCAAATTATTGAGGAAGTACCTGTACATCTACGGGATATCCCTCTCTCAGTCTTTTTTCAATTTGCGTGAGGGCGCTACTAGTATGCCTCTCAAAGATATCCAGGTCAGAGATACGTTCTTTGTTGAAGAGTGGCCGCAACATCGCACGACGAGATCTATCGAGATATTCAGCATTAGGTCGGTTTAAGTATACTCAACTAAAACTCACTTCCAGATATCACCTGTAACGCATTAGTGGCAGTCGGTATGAAATTGAAGAAAACGCTCTCACCATCTGAATTGAAGATGCCGGTACCCAATAAAGATTCTGTCATAGAAAAGAAATCATCTCCTGACGGTTGTGTTGTTCAGATAACACCGAACGTGAGGACACAGATGAGCAGACCTTTGGGAAAGTCGTGGTGTTGAGTCGACAGGATCGCCTGTATGGAGAATAAACCATATTATGACGTGGGCCGTAACCCTGATAACCGCCTACCTTGAGGTGCTCTGGCTCCATTGTAACGACCTATGACTATCTTTAGTGCTGATTGAAGGACTTCTCTGGGACTGTGCTCACTGATTTGTCCAAGATAGAGGTATATGAGTAGGTATACCCGTACTCTTCGCTCCACGCATGGATAATATCAACTAGCGATGTATACATTAGTTGATTATAGCTTCTGACAGGGAGTTCGGAGCGACATACGAGGACACCCTATTTCAAAACCGTGCACTAGGCGCCGCGAGACAGAGATCCTGTTCTCCTGTATACTGGGCGGGATGATGGCACCCCTTTCAGCGACATGCCTGGTCACAGCCCTGCTTATGAAGTAATTGCGACCAAGGGAAACGATCAACAACCCGACCCAAGGTGCTACAAGGATAGGCCACGACGAAGACACTGAGTCAATCCTCTGCCCGAGAACACGGCGAAGGATCCAGAAGACAGAAAATAAGACAATAAAGAGCGGGGAGGAACGGAGACAGAGGAAAACTCCGGGTGATAGATGGACCGTTGCCATGAGAGAGAAACGTCGATGAAGGTGTTTTGAGATCCTTACTTATAGAGATGAATACCACGAGCACACCAGCTTCTGCCGACACCGACTCTATTGCATCTACATTTACCACGTCTATAATCATCTACATGCAGGTCAAATGCAGATTCCGTAACAAACTAGAAGGAACTTACGCGCAGGGTGACTATTTTGAAGATTTTCCCTCTCCATCTGCCCGTAATGGCCGAGAGCGGCGGACATTATGTTCATAGCGGAAGAGATCTGACAGTGGATGAATGGTGCACGATGCACGACAAAGTGACTCTGGAGTCGAATCCGGAAGCTATCGAATTCCAACCACGGCGCTCAGAACTGTCACCAGAAGACTTGTAGTCTAATTTATACGTTCAATGGAGCAAAGACCATAGTAGTGGAGCAAACCGGTCATTCACCCGTGAAAGAGAGACTTGAACAGCAATGTTTCATTTCAGTGGAGTCGCACGAGAAAAGTCCTCCATTATCGAATCCGAGGAACGTCGAATTCAGAAGTGCGGTAATTGAACGGGGGCGACCCCGTCGACGATCACACTCCCACGACCCTTTAATTGAATATTTTGGTTTTACGCACCTTACCAGAGTTTGATATCATTCCATGTTTCTGACGCGCTGCATGGCACCGCCGCTTCTTTGGAATTGATGTGCAATTAGGCTGTCGTCGTTTCCAATCAGATGGCAATCTTCAGATTGATTGCGACCCGGTCCTGACTGAGGGAAATGCGCCTGCTACAGCGGCGATATTGACACTAACCATGACGGTGTCAGCGGCGGCTGTCGCATTGGGAATGCGTCAATACCAGCGAAAGATAGCCCGAACGACGCACTGCATGGATATCATATTCTTCCAAGGGCTGATGCGGGTGGCAAGTCTAGTGAACATTAATCGTAATCGGCGGACGTGTCCAGCATTCCGACCCACATGGACATGTCACTCACAATCAAAACCTGCTTGAAGTTCAATTTCGGACATATGCATTAGTTTCGCGTACGCACACCTTCCTCAGCCTCATGCTCGGCATCTAGCCTCTTATGAGGTACACAAGCAAATTGCGCGAGCTCGAGAGCTGAAAGGTTCCTACAGGGTTAAAAACGTGGAAATTGAATGGATATAGTATAGTGAGAAACATTATTTTGAGTTCAGAAGACGCGAAATTCGAATGAGGTCAAGAAACCGAACTGCCGCCTGAAGAAAAAAACTGGCATAAACAATACACCAACAACTATTGCCAGAATTATAAGGAAAGGACGGCTCACTAGCAGGATGTTAGTTCTTATCTTATTCCCCCAAAACCACCTGCAAAACCGAGAAAGCGGCAGTTTCCCCTCGGAGAACGCCTTTTGTAATGGCGGCAGTAGGGAAACCGCCGACTCCTCGGCTCAGACGGAACCGATGCTTAGTCAGCACATAGTTTTGGCTTGGCGCTGCGCCACCACTGTCCCAAGCGACCATGACGGTTTGCCCGCGGCCTGTGACTACTTCCAGTTCCTTCAAAGTCTTCGAGCGTGAATGCGTTGTCATCTTGCTCAATTTTTTCTAGACCTGTCCTCCGAGCCCGCGACAGGCCACGTTACTAAAAGTTGGACTTGCCCCAAGCAGGCAGTACGCACATCGGTCGGCGAGTTATCATTCTCGTACGGAACTCTTATAACAAATTGAATTTATTTTTGTGTCAAGCACTTCTACCAACGACTAGATTCTGAGTGAAGGATCACTCTGCCATGGAGTTTTGCTGAGAAATCGAAAGTCTTGCCGAACATGGTGGCCTTTCCCCCTACCGCCGAACTGTAATGATTCTATGTACTCTTCCGCCCCCTGAGCTCCAGAGAATGGACTACGCTTGCATATGACTGTGCTGGAAAGAATCAACTTTGCTACTCTATGATATTACATCCAAGCCCGCGCCAAGAGTCTTTACTCTCCTCAAACGTCAAACAAAACAGTCCAACTTGAACTATTCTTAAATCATCTTTAAGAAATTCTGCGGCCCATGATAACGCACAATTCTCCTCCTCTTTCACTGCCTTCAGCAAAGCCCAGACATACGCTGCATACTTGCCCACCTCCTGAGACTCGTTGAGCACACGGTCGTACCACAATTGTAACATATCGACAAGCAGTGTGGATCGTGGTACCAAAGGAAGACCCTCCTTTATTTCGTACGATATCCATTCCTGAGCCATGACGAAATGGACTTTGCTCAACTTCCATTTCCGCGCCCCTCGACCGCGTCCACGAATTCTATAAAAGAGGACCTGGGATTTCGTATCTGATCCTGGGACTTTTACCCTTCCGGTGTAGAACAGGGAATGCTTCGATAAAAGACGCTCGATGACTTTGATGTCGTCGTGAGAGAATACGGTGATTTCAGTTGACTAGAGCAAGGTTTTCAACATCTCTGAATGGAAAAAGCAAGGTGCAGAACTCACATCGGGCAACGGTAATTCCGCATCATTAGCCTGAAGATAGGATGCCACCATGCCAGAGACGGCGCAATGATAACCAGCATCGGATAGCATCTTCATCGTCATGGTCGCGGCCTCGAATACTATATCATCCCTTGGATTATGTTCTTCTTGCTGGATCTGTACCGGCGCTGTATCAACGATTGGCTTCTCTTCCTCAGGTGTCACAAATCCCAGATTAGCAAAAACACCCTTCAAATCTTCATGCACAGCACAAACACCCTTCACCAACTCATCGAGCCGATTCCTTTCCTCCCCATCCAAAAACGCCTTCCGAAGATCCACATTTGCCTTTGAAAGATCCTTCAGCACAGGGACGATCTGCTCGTACGTTCGTTCCGGGAGCCCGTAGTCAGCCAAGATCGCGTTCCGCAAGCGTGGCTGCGTTAAGTGGGAGAAGAGGGTGATCCCGGGGTTGTAGATAGGTATTCTATCTTTCGTTGAGCCGTACGCCAATGTCGGATTAAGACCGAGGCTTTCAGGGGATGGGGCCTGCTCGATGAGGATTTTGCAGGTCCGCTGGGAGTTATCATCGGTGTAATTGAACGTGTTGTTGTTTCGTTTCACGACTCCGAGTTTTTGGAACAGGTCGTCTAGCGTCATTCCGTTGCTGGGGTCGACGTAGAACCAAATGTCAGTCTACGAGAGTGGCAAATAACATGTTAGCATGAAATTAAGGTTGTATAAGGACAAGGCTTCTTACCATTGGTATCACAGGAGCACCGAGGATAAACCAAGATACGTCCTTTGGACCTGAAAGATAGCATGAACATCCTGACTCTTGTATACGCTCCGAGATATTTCGAACAGCAGACAGGATGAACTTCAATAGCTTCAAGTCCCCCTTCTTCAACTGCCACTCCACACTCTGCTTGTTCTGTTTCCCAGGTCCTTGTGGATAGCGCACAGCGACAGGAAATTCAATGAGACTGGCTATCTCGTCGTTCGTCATAGTGGCAAGTAAGCGTTGAGAAAGTCGAGGTGCGAGGGATGAGTCAATGTAAGAAAGCAGGTAGCTTCGAAATTTTAAATACGTGAGGGGAGAACAAAGACAAATGGTCCCGGGCCGGTAGTCAGATCTGGGTGGCATGGAGCTCTGACCAGGGCTATTCTTGGAGGGTTACCTTCGCGAAGGCAATTCCTGATCTTAGTGAGGCATGTGATTTTCAACAAGTTTTAAGTCCTTGAAGTCCTCGCAAACAGTCTGATATGACTTTCGAAGCGACACAACCTTTCCAGCATGCATCACACTAACTTTGGAGCAAATATCCCTTACCTCGGTGAGCACTTTTCATTATATCGAGAAAATGTATAAAAACACGAAGAGCAAGGTTTTGGAAAAATTCTCGAAAATTGGGCAACAGCGGCACGTCAGTCAGGTGATAATGCATGTGTTGAGGTACGTATGCACTAGGGTTGCGCACGAAACCCTAGGTTTTGATACACCAGGGTTTCACGTTTATTCCCGGTAACTTACCCCCCCTCACCGGAGGGGTTTTCGTCGAGGTAACTTACCTCTCATGTGACAGGTAGTTGAGCGGGACAATTCAGTACTATTATATACATATTTCAATATAGATTGTATATTTACATATGGGTGGTCTTTACAACTGAATCACCCATCTTTATATCAAGAAAACGTAAAACAAAACACGAAGACAAGGGTTTTGGAAAAATTCAACAATCGCGGCGCGTCAGTCATGTGATACTGCACGTGATAGGGTAAGTAACGGTACCATAGCAAAACTACCCCCTTGGGGTGTGGTCAGTAACAAAACAGCTAATTAGCCACCCTGGAGTTTTCACGCGCAACACTAGTATGAACTATTGCAACTTTATGCATTATTCCAAGGCATAAAACGATATCTCACATTAAAACCGACACCAGCAGGATTTGAACCTGCGCACTCAGAGAGTAATAGATTTCTAATCTATCGCCTTAACCACTTGGCTATAGTGCCCCACAAAGGGCTCGGTTTGTATTCACCAGGTACAGCAATTATTTTTCCACTCGAATGACAACCTTCCCAACATGCTTCTGAGTCTCCAAATACGCATACGCATCGACAGCCTCCTTGAACGCGAACACTTTGTCAACCACCGGACGCGTCGACTCGGGACGGGCACATAAGAGGCGGACTATCGCCTCCTGCCTACATATCATTTCCGAAGGTCAGGATACCCAAGTATATAATTGAAGGGACGATAATTCCGCTCACTGTACAACAGACCCTCCAAGAATCCCCCGCAGGGTGATACCCTTGGTGATACACATCCCAATGACGTTCGCTACCGCAGGCCCTCCGGTGTTGTGCGACATGAATCCAATCAGATGGACGTACCCCGCGTAACGTACGGCCGATATCGATTTCAATAGAGTTCCCGGTCCCCCAACCTGCGGCACATTGAATTCAGGAAGTGATAATTAAACGCAAGGACCGTGTCATACGTACCTCCAAAACATGATCAACGCCTCTCCCACCTGTCAGCCTCAGGACTTCCTTGTCCCAGTCCGGCATGGTGCTGTAGTTGATCGTGTGGGTGGCACCGAGGTTCTTAGCGATTTCTAGCTTGGTGTCGGAGGAAGATGTTACTATGACTGTTGCACCGGAGGCGACGGCGAATTGCAATCCGAAGCTACGTGTGTGAAGTTACATTTATGATGAATGGGGAGGGGAGAGGGAGAACGTACATGGATATGCCGCCAGTTCCAAGGATGAGGACCGTATCGCCTGCTTTGACTGGCCTCGGACCCATGAGCGCGTTATACGCCGTTACAGCAGCACAAGGAATCGTCGACGCCTCTTCATAAGACAAATGTTCCGCTATCCCAACCAAGCACTGAAAAAGAATAAATTTCAATGAGAACCAGAAAATAAACGCCAATATAAATCTTCACATGATCCGGGAAAGCCCTGTACTCAGTCAACACCCCATGCTGCTGGCCACCAAGCATCATGCGCATCGTATCTGCATCAACGTCCCCATCCAAGAAATCCGTTGTCGGACTAGCGCAGACTCTATCACCCACCTTCCAGCGCTTCACGTCTGCGCCAACGGCGACCACCTCCCCAGCCATATCTGAGCACGGGACAAGCTCGTCTTTCAAGTCGGGTGTAGGGTACCGGTCCATGGCTACCATCAGATCGCGGTACTGCAGAGACACGGCGTGGATTTTCACAAGGACTTCCGTGGTCTTGGGGTGGGGAAGGGGTACGGTGCGCAAGACGAGGTTGGTGTATGACCCTCGGGTCGGGAGATAGTATGATCGTGTAGTTGCTGGGATCTTAGCTGACATCGTAGGGGTCTCCGGTAGAATTGATAGGTACTAGATGAACAACACAGTCCATATTTATAAAGCAGGGCCATGATTGTGATGAAAGCTGACGAAGCGCAGAACTTCGTAGTGATCGGATGAATAACCAAGTCTGTTGCGAGACAGATTCCTGGACTGGTAGAATCATAATAAATGTTTACGAAACGGAGATACAAAAGGGGAAGGAGAATGCTAGTTAAGGAAGGAGATACCGAGACTAAGCCGCGGCAAGAGTCCCAAAAGGAACACGCGTCCTGGCAAAGGCAAAAGCGATGCGTAAGCCTGGGATCCGATGACGCGTAATCCCCGGAAACGGCGGAAAGCCTAGAATCATAGCTAGATACTGTATAATTTCGATCACATCGAATGTCACACGTCCTGAGCCCGCATCCGTATTCGTAAAAGAAGGGTATGTCACAGGTCACAAGGGCCTCATTCGGATAGGTTCCGGGGTTCCAGACCCCAAAAAAACCCTAAATTGAGCTATAAATCATGTAAATAGCGTAAAATTCTCCAAAGGCGCTTCTTGCGCGGTTCTCAAAGGATCCTGATCCTTTTACGGTCGAAGATCTGCCCAAAAAATCAACGTTTGTTCGGGTTCCTATTCGTACTTTTTACGAATGTCACAGTCCCAAATCCCCCATTCGTTCATTCGGCAAGGTCCAGGACCGTCACAGGTCACAAGCCATTCGCTCTGATCGAAATTATACAGTACTCATGTGATGCAGGTATGGTCCTATGGAGCTCGACTGTTACCAACAGTTTATTTTTAGAACGCAAATATTCGAACTCCAGGCGTGGACATTCGATGATTGAAGGTATTTGTCTCTTTAGGCCGAATAGCTCTGTAGGTAAGAGTCAGGAAATAGCATAATATCGGTCGTGGATGTACCACCTCATGCGAGGCAGCAAAATAAAAATTATTCACACTCTGGGTCTTAAAGCTCAAAGACGGTTCTGGAAAATGCAACAAGAATGTGCCAAAGGCACAGTACTCAGAACGTGAAGCATGGTTCTCCGAAAACAACAGGATGCGGAGAGTGTAACCGTGGAAGAGACGACCAGTAACCAGCATGCAGCGGCAAAGCTCGAAGGCCCAAAATACCGAGGCGGCACCTCAGACCTCAGTGACGAAACAGAAAGGCGACGACATGCTCATTTTTCACCTGTTGGAAGCAGCACAGCCATTCTTTATCCATGTACAAACGACATTTTCGCATTCCATAACGCCACGATAAGAAATGAAAGAGATGCGACGCGACCAAAGGCCGGAGACGACGACAGAAAAAGTTATCGGAGACAGTATTACCGTAACATTTACACCGAACAGGTCCCTACATGCCGGCCAATTCTACTCGTTGCGCTTGCAATAAGCAGCAGTGATCTCAAACTATCGCTACCAAGTCCTTGTGTATCTCCAATTATCATACGTCGACCTCGGCATGCGCTTAACCAACGGAATGTTCGTATCAATAACCCTGAACGTTTCATCTGGAATCATCTCCTCCTTTACCATCTCCTCCAACAGATCCCTCAACCACACCCTACACCCGTTCCTCGTCGAGCGTCTATCAAACACCACATCCTTCGCCAACTGTAGTATCCTATCCCTCTCCTCCCGGCAGAACTCCCCCAAGAAGAAAGGCGTGTCTGGGTCTTGCATCGGTCGATGGAGACGTGCTAAGACTTGAAGCTGTAGTCTCCTGGGATCCCAACAAGTTCGATGACTTGTACGACGCGAGAACCATTGAGAGTGCCGTTGTCCCAGTACATAAGGACATGGCGCTCGACGCCGTTGAACGAGGATCCTGCAGCTTCGACAAAGACCTCCTTATCGGATTCATCATCTGGCCGGACACCATGCACGTTTGGTGTGATGTTCCGAGTGACTCCCATGAGCACGAGTATATGTGAGTACGAATTTATTTAGATGGTGGTGGTTTGAGATAAGTTTGTCGGTGATTGCCGGTGTTGTACTTGGACGAAGAAAATACCCAGTGTCGCCTTTTAGAACTTCGAAGTATATAAACACAGAATAACCCACTCGGAGCGTGTTGGATTTATAACAATGCTAGGATGAAAGTTTCCAGATTCAGATTTGACGCGACAAAAAACATCATACCGCCCTAACAATCAGCAAGATAACTCGTCAAAGCATCATACTCATCCTGATCAACACTAAGCCCATAATAATGTTTCACAGTAACCCAAGCCCTGACATAAGTGCACACGTAACTCTCCAGAGGGACCATCCATTCCGCAGGGTCTATAAAACCAATCAAAACTATCCTCAGGACTATTTTGGCTGTTTTACCTTTATCACCTTTAGCCTCGTTGAGGTTATCAGTCACCGCTACGAGCTGAGGACGCGTCACGTCATTGGCAAAGGCCTCTCGCTGGGCGGCAGTCCAGGACCTCGCGCCGGACATCCATGCCTGTGAATTTGTATTTGTCATGGCAACGGTATCAGATACGATGACGTACCTCTTTCAATGGAACGAGGTGGTCCTGATGATATTCCGAATGTAATTCACATATGCGTGCTGAGAATTGAATCACTCACGATATCAAGATCACTAGGCAGCGTCGTCGCAACACCATCGTATGGTGATACCCATCTTCCCGAAGTTGCAGAACAGTCGGAGGCTTGTACGATGCTGCTCAAGGTTCAATCACTTTCATACATTCTGACGGCGTATACACATACGAGATCGCATCACGAGCCAGAACAGCTGGGAGGAGTAGCGTCTGTCAATGATATCACTGGCAGAGTGAGAAAGACAATGGGTACTCACTCTCCCTGGTATCGCATTTCCCTGAGACTAATCATGAATGAGATAAAATGGTACCTACTTGTCTGTGACAGACTCGACTCACTGATAATCCAAGTGTGGAAATAATCCCGTTCGTATGCCGGAGAGTTGCTCTCAGCCTCGATGGTCACTATACAGCTATCATCAATCCAGCCGCAGGTGCAAAGGAAAACATCCAAACTTACATGCTTTTAGGTACGTTCTAGCTGTCGAGGCGCTTACGGGTGTAGGCAAGTCGCGTTTCAAGTTGATAGGCGTAGCTGAAGCGAGGCTAAGGCAGAGAACGAGGAGAGGTGCGAAGGGAAGCATGTCTCGCTATTGACTCTGCCAAGAGCAGTTGTCCTAATAAATTGAGGATCACCGCACATGCGTTGTCGAAGCTTCTTAGCATGCTCTGCATATACATATCGTTATCTCCACGTGGTAACCGAGTGTCAATTTGTATAGGATACGAGGAGCACGAGAAAGTGCTGTACCACATGAGCGGCGCCACGCGTTGGAGAGATTCACACATGTGGTGAGTCGTCTGGTTCACATGCCAATAGCACTCGTACATGAGAAGTCAATAGAGACAGTCAAAATTACACTTTAGGAGAGCAAGCGATGGGCATATATTCCCTTCTGAAGTGAGCACTGAGAAATAGAGAAGAACAGCGATGATGTCGTCTCGAGTGATATCAATAAGGTAGAGAGAGACGAACAGGGTCGCTATGCCGTGCTTCCACTGAGATACGGTGATCGAGCCGATACGGTAGGAGAAAGACCCGACTGGCGTACTCAGCCCAAGGTGCAGCACTAGTCCAGTAGCAAATCAGACACGACGATTACTGGTGGTTGGAAAATACACAAGATGCGATTCGAGGAATCATATTAGCGGAAAATTTGAAGTATGGCTTTTTTTAGGGTTATCTGGGTTGTAAGAACGGCGGGAGAACGCGCAGGAGCCGTGGAAGCAGACAAGCTGGTGGCAGGAAGCAAGGACTCGAGCGAAACCTGCCCTAAAGCTCACGTGCTAGCGACACGTCCCACTTGATCGATTTTCAAATTTGTTTTCGACCCGCCATTCCATATTTTTGAGGCGATAACACCTGACCGACTGTGTCCACCAGGTGACCCAGAATTGAGTAGTATAGTACGCATACTGTGATTACGATAAAAACCAACTGTGCCCTATGGATTCTGTAGTCCGTTTGGTTCCACAGTACCGCCAACCTGAACAAGTAACAGGTTTAGGTATGAACTTCGGACCACCAACGCGTCCTTCTCACAGATTTAACGGTACCGACGCGGCCGTTACCCGTAATTCTAAACAAGGACAATGAAAGGATCATAACTGCCGTTTCAACTTACAAGAAGGCAATGCGGTTATGCAGACGAGACGGTACGTACTCGCTCTCGTAGTTCTCTTTACAACTACTAACTAGTATGACAAGATGTTAGGTTGCATAGAAGGAAGTCAATTATATAGGCCTGCTACTGCACCAGCTCTTTCCCTACAGACACAACCAGAAAATTAGGTATTAGCAGCAAATCCGTATCGGGCCGAATGCACAAAGGTACCAAGTGCCGCCTAGCATTCATAAACACAAAAAAAAATTGCTTATTCAAACCAGAAAACTTCGTGAACATTGTTCTTCCGATGCCGTACTAAACCTTTTAAAAGCTCTACGACTTATCCAATAATGGACACTTCGCCAACCAAACAACAAACTAGCATTGTGCCCTCAAAACATCAGTAGTGGCATCATGCCAGCCTTTAAAGCTGCCACCCTTCACCTTCTCATCGATCACCCCCACCATGTCTATCCCCCCCTTCATCTTCAGTCTGCTATATGCATTTCACTACGGCAATGATCTTGGAAGCGAGCCTCATAGGCAACGTCTTCCCACTTTGTCCTCACTCTAAATGTGACTGACCTCATTACTCCCACTCCCCAGATTCACGTCCCCGCCAAGCGACTTCGACCCCACCACCTCCGTCCTTTCCTCATCACAGAACAGCACTATATCCTATCGGTACATTCACGATACCAAGCTCCTCGTCATCTACAAGACCATGTACGAGTACGCGAAGGACCCCACTGAGATTCGGATCTGGCAGCTCCAGCACGACGAATGGGCAGATTGCCATGAGGAAGAGGAGGGGGAGGTGTCGGTTCGCTGTCTGGGGTGCTCGGAGCTCGTGGTGTTCGACGTGTGGGAGGCGCATCGGGATGGATGTTCGGGGATTGAGGATAAGATGGTGCGAGCGGTGATGGCGGATATGGTGAATGAGGAAGAGGAAGAAGAGGAACGGAGACGGTGCTGGACGATCAGGTCGCTTCGTGGGTCTCCTGTCGCTGAGAACGCGGACGCAGATGTTGAGATTCAGGATGATGAGGTGCTTCAGAGTAAGAGGAGGAGCTTGGGGATGCGGTTGTGTTCGGCCCTTGTACGTTGACATTTTCTTTTCGTGTTTTTAGTCGTGACACTAACGGGAAACGTGATAGCATTTCATCGGGAATAAGCATTCGAAGGAATGAGCGGATGAACATGTCGGTGAGCTTGCGGACTTATGAATTAAAAAAATGTTGTATTATTTTGATATGTGGCATGTACTTGTATGAATTATATGTAGCTCTATCAGTGTATAAAGTACAGTTCTTCTGGTTTCTTGGGAATCTCAAGGTCTTCCGGCCCATGAACTGTCTGTTCCAACGTCGAAGCGGCTCTCGTAGATTACCGTCTCAGTCCAGAAGAAGGACAGTAATATAGAAATTATACGCTTTAGAGTGGATTAGAGCCTGGCCATCGCATGCCCTCTATCATCTATCAGTAGTAATATCGCGTCCGCTGCATGAGAAGATCAGGAAGCGCTCTAGGGGTGAAGGGATGACGGACTTACCAAAGTCCTTTGGTTTATCCTGGGGTATCTGCATCGACGCGTAAGAAAGTGTATAACGAGACAAAGAGAATTCTCAGTACTCACAAAATGGCTAGTGCCGGGTATCGTCATGCTCTTCGTATTTACCGATCGTAGCTCTATCATCTTCTGCGTGAGGTACGGGCCGATTATTCTAAAACCTTCATCAGCAAACAGCCCCATTGCGAGAAGATAAACGAAACACGACGTACCCTCCGCTCTCAGGCAGGACCCAGTTCAGCTGTATCCCCGCGTCTAATTGGTGCAAACGGCTGTACACCATGGAAGGTGTGATCGGGTCCGCATACAGAATCGTCTCGTTGATCGACGAAGTCTTAAGATGGACCTGGGAGTCGACCTCACTCTCTCGCAGACCGTGATCTATCAGCCTGTCAAACGCTGCAGGATCCCAGCTTTGGTACGGTCTGTATTGTCGCAGACATTCTTCAGCGATGGTCCTGGAGAGAAGCCTCAATTTATGGATGGAGAGGAGGAGAAAACGGGCTCCATACCAATTCATCCACGTTGATTGTCGGAGTAAGGATCCTTTCATGAATGAAGTCATCAATTTCTTTCCGGCACCACTGTCGAAATGGCGAGGAGGGACGATTATTGGGTCTATGAGGATTAAGGAATGGAAGAGTTTGGGGTATTGTAGCGCTGCGAGTGCACTGGAATGGGTAAGGTTGAGACTTCGAAGCATAGCAGAAAGGTTCTCACGAGACGCAACCTCCATACGAATGTCCCACCAAGACGATCTTTCTCGACGAGAAACCGTTCCAAACGCGACTAGCTGTCTCTGTCTCGTCTATTCGTATTGAAGAGAGGTCGTCCGGCAAAGGGCTCCGGCTGACCCTGGACGGGAGATAATGTTTGACAAATTCGACGAGATCTCGCGTATCGTCTTCCCAGTTATCTGATATTACAGATAAGTCCGAATCGTGATTCGCACGAACACATAAGACTCACAGGCCCCACTTAGTTTCCCGGCGTTCAACACCCCGCTATCACCCTGGAAGACGCTTTCCCACATCCACACCTCATCAACAAGCTCTGGCGAAGCAGCGATCAGATGTTGAACTGCGGGTTCATACGTCTACACCGCGTTAACTACCCCAAGGTTCAAAAACATTGGCGTTAGGACGCACCTCTTTCGGTATCCCATTTCCAGGAACGAACACAAACGTCAATCCCTGCCCGACGCGATTGCTGACGTATCTGTTGACGCAATTCCAGAGGCGATGCGTGTTTGGCGTTCCGAATTTGAGAATCTCGCGTCGACCTGTTATTATCGTCTCTACCGCCCGTGAGGCTCTTGCTCTATCCACAAAAATAGGTTGGTCGATGTGCGGTGTGAGGCGGGGGCTGGGGGCGGGGATGATATGTGAAGAGAGCGTGTGTTTGCCGTGCCTCTCTATTCGGGAAGTGGGGAGATCAGTTGGTGTTGACGACAACATGGGGGGAGGGGGAAGAATGATTTACCTCAAGAAGGTTGGAAGGCGAATCATAAGTACTTCATAGAGGCTGTGAAGATGCGTGACTCGGAGCGGTTTTTGTTGTTTTTTCTTGAATTGATGTTTGAGTCAAGCCAGGGTCCTATTTGCGGCTTATACGGGGCCGGCATTTTGCGGAATTAAGTAAATGATTGGCTGATCCGACGGGTTTGCTTGCCGGCCTGGAAGACAGACAGAATGATGTGGATGGATCGTGTTGGAAGTCGCTCTGTGAAAGGGATTGCGTGCGCACCGATTGGATAGTTGGAGGGAAAGCAAATCTGGATTTCGGATTCCTGGACGGTGCCGCCCTTCGCTCCGTGGTACGAAAAACATGAGTCATTGCGGCAGCTATTAGTATTTATCAGGCCGTCGACGTCGCATCATCATTAAGACTCAGAGCTGTGCTAAGCCATATGCAGTCCAGGTAATCGCAGCCCTTTCTTGATACTTGTCGTTGTCGCGTCTTGGTTATAATCAGATCAGTCATCAATGTATCTATCTAATATCTAACACATACTGAATGCTTTCTTCCTTATTCACGGGCGTATATTGAATGAGCATGGCCTGATTTGGGGTCAACAGAGGATCAGATCCAACAAGACCAAGTAGAGTGATTACCGCACCAACTTCTTCTCATCGATATCACAACACCGGACGCACACATCACATCATTTGTTTAAGGAGGGTCAATAAATACCTGTGTTTCAGATGATGAAGTGGTCTAGAAGTCTTTGTGGACATGCTCCACGGTCCACGGATCACTTCGTCTTAGTATTGCCTTGTATTTTGTATGTGAGGCATAGAGTAAGTCCGCCCGAGACTCTTGGAAGAAGCTGCATTGTATATGGAAAGGAAACATGGTGTGAGAGAATGTGAGCTATCTTAGAAAGAAACGAGGCGCACAATTCTGGCAGAGGTAAAAGAATCGGAGTTGGATCGGCACGGAGACGAGTCAAGGAACGGCAATTTAAAATGTCGCCGAAGTTCGCAGCTGAAAGCGGTGATTTCCGATTAAGGTAAAACGCTCTGCATTTTACCACCAACCTGATTTTCAAACTCGACGTTTCTGGCTGGCTATAGGTCGGTTTCGTTTTTTCTTGCGGAGGTTTGAGGTTATTTACGCATTATACAGGACCTGAAGCCTACGCGGAGTGAAGAGAATATTTGGAAAGCTGCCGACAGCAGCGCTGCGGGCGGAATGAGAACTCCGAGTGATTATATCGGTGGTTGCAAATCAGCGACTCCCACTGTCCAGAGCCTTGCCACGTTCCCCTACACGCGAAGCTCGGGTCCGTCATTCGAGTAATCTCACTCAATCTCATGATCGATATCGATATTTTATCTCCGTGCAGATGGATCTAAACGAGAAGCTTTGTGATATCATAGCGTCGCACCGTTTTCGGGAAAACTGCACTAGAATTCGTTGCAGCAGTTTCAATCTCGAAAAAGCTCTTCTTGAAACATAGGAAAGGCAATAACTCCTAGTGCCAGTGGACGAACTAGCAGTATAATCCGATGGTATCGCCAGAGGATTTACTTATAAACGGCTTCCTTACCACCATCGTCGTCGCGCTTGTACACAATGGAAAGTGGCTCGTCTATGGATGTGATATCAATTGTCGCTCTTGCGCTGGAGGGTGTCCTGTATGGTACGTAGCTTTCTGCTAGCCAGTGGTATCTAGGCTTATTGTTAATCAGGTCTTTCGCTCTTGATGTTCTTAGCCACGGTATACGTTCTGATTAAACGACGATGCCGGGATGTCGAGAGCAGGGGCATTAACGCGAAAATGATGGTCACAGCCTGTGCCTTCTGCGCATTAAGTACAGCAGTACGTTCGGCACTTTCATGGAGACCTCGTCAATCTTAACTTTATGCAGCATATGATAATCGACGTACATCATGTACTCTCTGGCTTCGTATACAAGGATGACTTGTTTGAAGGAGGTCCAGCGGCATATTTCTCAGATGTCAGCGAAGCGGGGTTCCTTCTCAAGATCTCAATTTACTCGGTGCAGACCGCTCTAGCTGATGCGATAGTGGTAATGTAATTCTGTTCTCCTTTTTCATGTCGTCTCTGACTCGAGTTAATAAGATATATCGTTGTTATATTGTCTGGGGATCACTCTGGGCTATTCTCGTTCCCAGTATAGGCTGGAGTTCATTCGTAGGTCAGTCGCGACTGATTGATCAATATAGAGATGATGTTAACGTGGTGACCCTCTACAGCATGTGCAGTCGGAACTGTGTATAATTGCTCTCTTAGCCACCAACAAGGCGTATTTGGACATGAGATCGAGCATTGGATGCAAGTTTTCTTCGTGTCGACTTTAGCTACAAATATTGCTGCGACGGGTGAGTAAACGCCTGTCGTTCCGAACCTCTAGCCATGATGAATCTGCTAGGTCTACTCGGCTATCGCATTTGGTCAATTGACCGACATATCGTCTCTCAGAGGCATGGAAGAGGCATCCTTATGCCCTCGCTATTGATCATCATCGATGCCGGTATATTATATTCTGCATCTCTAATTGCCGCTATAGGGTGCTACGCCGCAGAGACTAACGGTCTTTTCATTGTCCTGGACTTGGTAAGGCTGATTCTTTCACTGTTCACTTTTCTTTGACTCCAGGCTTTCAGATATCACCGATCATCAGCGTTGCTTTCTATATGATTATAATCCGCATTGGCATGGCGGCTGCTGGCCAGGTGAGCGCGAACAAGGTCACACGTCGTAGTACTGGCGTTCAGCGTTCTCCGTCTCCCTGGCGTAAAGACGACATCGCGATGAAGCCACTGCAAGTACGCATCACGCAGTTTCACGAGAGCCATATCGATAACGGTGAAGGAGATGTAAAAGATTTAGAGACAGAGTATCCCTATTCGGAATCTGACTGGACTACTATACCCGTCTAGATTCCGGTTGGTTAATGGCTTTTATTCTTATCCGTATATACTACTGAATTTCTGAAACTAAGTCCGAAATACCTTCAAACCTAGGCTTGATGTCAACGTTAAACGGCAATGGATGGACATTGGCTGTTTGGGTGAATGCCATGGTATCTATTGGGCCGGACTTGCTTATGTTGAACGCCCAGAGGATCATAGCAGCCGTGAGGAACAAGGATCTACGCGAGAAATTTAGTCAAGACCATAACAAGCTGAAGAGACCGAGCAATACCTTTCGGCGACGTGAGAACCTGGGCAAACGCGACGGCCAAAACCAAAGGTGAATGGTTTGTTATCAGTGTTGAGAGACGAGTCCGAATCTCGGATCCAGCGCTGGGGAATGAATTCGTTCGGAGAGGGATAGACCTCTGGGTCTCGCGAGATGCACCTTTGGGGGTGTAAAGGCCAGCTACAAGAGGGCAGGGATAAATGTGACGTACCAGTGATTACCGATGACAGCCGCTCCCGCTGGGATCACGTATCCTTGCTGGGGAGTTCCGTAATGTAGTACGGAGAAACGAGCGAGTTGGTGAAACGCACCCAGTAAATATCTTTGGTTGCCTTGTGGGCGAATCCTAGTAGTGAAAAAATAATTAAAAGGGAAGCATAATCGCATTTGACTACGTGGTCGTACCTGAAATGCTTACGGGTCGCCTAGACACGTAAGTTCAGCTTCCGAGTCAGGCACTTTACATATAGTGACTGACCATCTCGTACACTCCAAGACGAATGCTGAGACGCACGGCAAGAGTTCTTGATCTCCGAATGTCGGAGCTATAAATCATCGCGTTCAGTAAGCATAAAGAAAGTGATTCCGTAAACATGTACAGCGTTGCTGTCCCACTACCCTGTCAATCTCCTCCTGCGCCCATTTCTGCGCATCCGGGAAGGAAGCACAGGCCATGATCATAAAACTGATGGCGGCTGCTGTCTACATGGGATATCAGAAACAATAGGCGTATTATGAACTTGGAAAAGGACTCAACCGTATCCGAGCCTGCACCAAACATCGATCCGGCAGAGTACGCAACCTCATCATCGCTCAACCCGTAGGTTTTCTGATTCTGGAGGAGGTGCTTTGCGAAACTCGGGGGGAGTTCCTCATCCTGGCATGATCATAATGTCAGTCGTGAACGCGGCTCGGGGAATCTGGCGTACCTGGATCATCTTTCCTTTAACGTTCCCGAGTTGTTCCCGGAAGAGCGTGAGTTCCTCTTCGTGGTGGCGCTTGAGATGGGAGAGGTAGCTTGGCACATAAGCGAGGATAGGGAAGGTGTCGACAAGGTAGGTCCCAGGACGGACGGCTGCACCCAGACGGAATAAGCAGTTGTTGACTTGTTGGACTTCGGGATCGGTGTAGCTTGTTGGCGTGGTTTTGCCGTAGGTAAGTGTCATGATGACGCTCGCAGAATATCTGACATACGATGAGTTAAGTTTGTTTAAGGGGGTAATGCAGCCACCTCTTTGCGTGCATTTGATGCTGAGATGGGTCACGGAGTATGTCTGCGATAAGGTTCTTGGCGTGGCGCGATTGCATGTCTTCGTATGTCGCTGCCACTTTTGGCTGTAGTTGAGCGTGCAGAGCCCTGAACGTGGACATCAGTTAGATACAAGAAGAGGGGAAGTGGCTTACTTGCGAAGTCTTTTCAGTCTTTGCCCTGCAGGAGTTAGTAGGACGCGCATCCCCCCAGATAGCGTGTCTCCGGCTGCGATACTCCGGGGCCGATCAACCAACGACGCGCCTTCTTTTTCCATTATGTCGCAGGCAGCCTGGGGGAGATAGTCACGACGGAAACAGCACAATAATTAGTCAAGATGAATACCTGATACCTTCCAATGATTACAGTCGTTTGACCTCCTTGCTTCAGTGAGAACACAGGGCCATAATCCTGTGTCCATTCTTCGAACTGGAGAAAGGCACTGAGAGTATGTGATGCTGAGCATTGTGTGCCACTGAATGGAATGAGGGCTCACTCAGTGGGTGGAATACTGTTTCCGACAAAAGGTCTTCCTGGCGGACCCGGAGGTAAAGGCAAGTGACGTCTGTTCTTCGACTTCCAGTAGTAGAACGTCGCCGCCAAAGCAATTACAGAACAAAGCCAGATAGTGGGGGAGTCCATGTCGTTTGTGAAGATCGGCTGAAGGTGCTTAAAAGACCTGGAGAATTCCACGGTCTGACGTACGCTGTTCCCTCGTGATATGTCAGGTCAATGGTCCCATGACAGTTTTGATGGGAAGCGCGAACTCGAAGAAGCATTGAAGTTACCCGGCGATGTTAGCTATTATTTGCAGATAAGCGTGTCTTCGTCAGATTTGAATCGCTTACCCGTCGTGCCAGGGTAGCATGAGAGGAAGTGGCAGAAAATGAGATCCTTTCTTCATTGTAGTCTCCTAGCGCATAGTAGTTGTAAGTGGTTTATCAGGAGCAAGGTAAATTGAGCGTCCGCTTCCGTCGCAAACGAACCATTGCGATTCTTTCGTGGGTTCAATATGATTGGTGAAGAATTGAGCATAAGCACTATTACGGCCTGAGTCGGAATTGAAGTCCGGAGGCAAATCCTATTTATTCACAAAGCCAAGAAAAGAACCCGGAGCGAAAAATCTGGCGTCGAGTACAGCATCTGTCGGAAAGTAGGAGCCTGAAGGAAGTTGTAATGTTCCGCTGGAAATGTATTTCGTGGAAAGACGGTGCAGGGAACTTGTTGGCATCCTCAATGGGTTTTCCTAATGAACAAACTTGAAGGCCCCTCAAGAGGCAGGGAGCCAACACCGCTCTCAATGCGAGAGGATATAACACTTTTCGCGAGAGGCGAAAAAAAAACCTCGTTCGATGGCCCCGTTAGTCAAGACAACCTTTCGGCTATGAAGTTGTCCGAGTTGTAGAAGAGTAAGAGAGGAGCGTGGCTGTGTCTTCCCGAAACGGAAGTTGATTGCAAATCCTCTGACCTTCGCATTCTTGGACTCGAACGACGACCTTCTTTTCATTCTTGCTGAAATCCCTGAAGCTACGACTTCCACAAATCTTCTATTTTCAGCAGTGGCTCTCCTTCATACGCTTTCGTCATCCTGGATTGGTCTAACGGTAGTCGCTGAGGTGATTTGCAGTACAGTACGTACGAACTTGCTTTCCTATGTTCCTAGTTCTGTTTTTTTACCTTGTCATCAGGTATATTGCACCAGAATTAAATAGGGCTTTTGACTACACTCCTACGCTAATATGCAGTCAAGCTGGTCGTCCAGGCGTTTTGAAATGTAGAGTTTCTACTACGAATCTGCGATATTTGCTCCCGTTCATAGCTGGTTTTCTTCTGTTTTTTACGGGAGCTGGAAAATAACCCCGGATAATGTCTAGGCCTCCTCAGATGCGTTTTGTCATAATCGCAATGATGTCATCATTTCTAGACGATTATAAACACTGTGGATTACTCATCTACCCTGCCATTCAACCCTCCTTTGTTACTAACCCCCACAATGGTGACTCAGATACCAACCACTGCACGGTCGTACTACTTCCCATCTCTTGGATCCTACAGGAATCTCACCTTGCAGACTACTCCCCTTCCGCCTCTCAAGTCTACATATGTTCTCGTCAAAGTCCATGCTGTATCGCTCCAGTATCGCGATCTGATGATCGCCTTCAACAAATATCCTCGAGGTGGTATACCAGAGAACCTTGTTCCCTGCTCAGATATGGCTGGGGAAGTGGTTGCCCTTGGCTCCGACGTGACGCGCTGGAAGGTTGGCGACCGAGTCTGCGCCAACTTTTCGACGGACCACTTGGATGGAGATGTCACAGCTGAGAGTATCAGTACAGCACTTGGTGGAGGTCAACATGGGGTGCTGACCGAGTATAGGTCTTTGCCAGATTATGTGAGCTCCATGTTTTTGTTTCGTTTGCCGTCCTCATGCGGTGTATCAGTCTCTAGTCAGAATCCCAGAACATATGTCCTACGAAGAAGCGTCAACATTACCTTGTGCTGCACTTACGGCGTATAATGCACTTCTGGGCCCCAAGCCAGTGAAAGCAGGCGATACCGTCCTTGTTCTTGGAACAGGCGGAGTGTCCATGTATGTCTCCTTCATTTTCGCGGCATGTTTCTTATCATTCCTTTATATAGCTTTGGTTTACAATTTGCTATCGCTTCTGGCGCCAATGTGATCGTGACATCTTCTTCTGACGCCAAGCTGGAAATCACAAAGAAACTTGGTGCCACCCATACTATCAACTACAACACGACGCCAGACTGGGACAAGGAAGTTCTGAGACTCACCGATGGGAGAGGCGTCGACCACGTTTTGGAGGTTTGTTCCCACTCAAATTACATTTCGCTGGTATTGATGCAACCCGCAGGTTGGTGGTCCAGGAACCTTTGAGAAATCAATAGCGTCCGTGCGTTACGCAGGATGCATCCATGTCATTGGATTTTTGGCACAGAACTCGGATGCCCTTACCAGTATTATCGGGCCTTGTATCGGGAAGGCTATCATCATTCGTGGAATTCTGATCGGTTCTGTCGCACAGTGAGTTGTTTTTACGTCTTTTCCCCTGGCTGCAAATGATAAAACATTTATAGATTCGAGTCGATGAATCGGCTCCTTCGTGCTCGCCCCGAGTTGACGCGTCCTGTCATTGACAAGGTGTTCTCATTTGAGGAGGCGGTGGATGCGTATGCATATTTGGAGAGCCAGATCTTGAGCAGTGGACCGGGGTGTACGTGAAGGGAAGGCACGGTTGCGAGAGGGAAAAAGATTCTATAAGATATGTATGAGTATCAAGTATATATCTCAGCGTGAAGACGTTGGTTGAACGCTGTACTGTACCTATAAGATATGTATGAATATCAAGTATATCTATAGGTACGATTAGCAATAGTATAATAGAAATATAATGAGTATACACGTACATCTCAGCGTGAAGACGTTGGTTGAACGCTGAGATGCCGCGATGAAAGAAATAGACTAATCAGGTATGTACCGGTAATCTAAATATAGTCCGTGGCTTGCGGTTAACGCTCGCCATGCTCAACACCAGAAGCATGTTGGGAAGATAGTCATTCGTGTTAGTCCAGCTTCGAAGTGACGAATAGATCTCCAGAAGGGGTACAAAGATTCGTTTCCGTATTGACCTAGCGCTTGTATTAGAGAGAAATAAAAGCTTTCAGAGAAACAGAACATGCTAGCTTTGCAGATGTGTTATTGGGGTCCTGATTCATCATGGCTCAAGAGTGTGATTCCGACCGCTTATCCGTCAAGACAAGTTTTCGGGTATGGCGTCGTAGAGCTCGAAGTTCAAGTAGCTTGAAGACTGATGCAGGTGCTACTTAGTCACTAGGGGATCTTTTGATGTGGCTGTGCAACCCCGGAATAGAAGTCGATTGCAAATTCTTTGGCCTTTTCGACTCTTGGACTCGTACCACCACCTTCTTTGCCCTGTGTAGCAATTCCTATTGATATTTCTTCGACCTGCGCTCTTTTTCTTCCCAGCGATGGTGCAGAAATTCGTACCTTCAAAAAGGTCGTCATCCTGGGACCTGGGCGATTTGCAGTACAGTATGAAGCCTTATTGCCGTTGCCCCTCCCATCCTTAACCTTTCATCTGATCCACAGAAGTAGTATTACGAGGAACTCCCGGTTTTCGCCACTGTTACAGATTCGTAGGAAACGCATCTTGAATGTAGGATTCGTGGTACGCCTGCGACATCGTTCCCATTCGTAGCTGGCTTTCTGATTCTTTCTCAGGTGCTGGAAATAGTTTTCCTTCTTCAGCTTCGCTTTCTCACCATCGCGCCCCATGATGTCATCTTTTCCAGACCGGTATAAAAGCATCGAGTGGATTACTCATCGAGGTTGTTACCAATCCTCACGATGGCTGCCCCAGTACCGACCACAGCCCGCTCGTATTACTTCCCCAAGCTTGGGTCTTACAAGAATCTTACCTTGCAGACTACGCCTATTCCGGTTCTCAAGTCTACATACGTTCTCGTGAAAGTCCATGCTGTATCGCTCCAGTATCGCGACCTGATGATCGCCTCGAATAGGTATCATGGTGGCATACCAGAGAACCTTGTACCGTGTTCCGACATGGCTGGAGAGGTGGTCGCTGTCGGTTCAGACGTAACCCGTTGGGAGGTTGGTGATCGGGTTTGTGCCAACTTCGCGACCGAACACTTGGATGGAGAAGTCAATGCCGAGACTAGCAAGTCGGCGCTTGGTGGAGGACAGCATGGGGTGCTGACGGATTATAAGGCTTTCCCGGATTATGTGAGTCGTACGGCTGGTGTTTTAAGATGCCTTTCTCATGCAGTGAATCAGTGTCTTGTCAAAATCCCGGAACACTTATCTTTTGAAGAAGCGTCGACTTTGCCTTGTGCTGCGCTTACTGCGTATAATGCACTTTTGGGTCCCAAGCCAGTCAAAGCAGGTGATACCGTTCTCGTACTCGGAACTGGCGGTGTTTCTACGTACGTTTACTTCATTTTCTGTGGGTATGCTTCTTATTATATGATACAGCTTTGGTTTGCAATTCGCTGTCGCCTCTGGTGCCAATGTAATCGCGACGTCTTCTACTGACGCCAAGCTGGACATTGCGAAGAAACTCGGTGCTACATACACCATTAATTATAATGCGACGCCTGACTGGGACAAGGAGGTGCTGAAGCTCACCGGTGGAAGGGGAGTTGATCATATTTTGGAGGTAAATCCTCTTACGTTTTTTGATGCAATCAGTTATTGACATGTTCTTCAGGTTGGTGGACCGGGGACGTTTGAGAAATCGATGGCAGCTGTGCGTTACACAGGATGTATCCACATTATTGGAGCCGTAGCGCAGCCTACGACTCCGTTGACGAGTGTCGTTGGGCCATGTATCGGGAAGGCTATTATCCTTCGTGGAATTCGAGTTGGGTCTGTTGCACAGTGAGTTACTTCCGTCTCCTTCCTCGTCGATAACCGACAATTCATTGGCAGATTCGAGTCGATGAACAGATTGCTTCGTGCTCGGCCCGAGCCGACGCGTCCAGTCATTGATAGGGTATTTACATTTGAGGAGGCGGTGGATGCATATGCGTATTTGGAGAGCCAGAAGCATGTTGGAAAGGTTGTTATTCGGGTGGTTTAGTTCACAGTTGAGGCTTTGAAGTTCGTTTTCGCTTTGTACAGATGTAATTTTTTTAGGATTGAATGGTATTATTTTGCTCATCGGTATCCTGTAACAATTTCGTCAACGATTACAATGCGCAAGTATGATTTTCCTTTGGTATAGATTCGCTACTCCAGCTCAAGTCTAGAGATCATTGAATCGTTCTGTGCTCTACAAAGTTCATATCATCTGACACGCGTCTGGACGCCGGGTACACTTATTCTTCCAATTTGGTTACGCAAAATCTGCGTTTTTGTTTCGTTTCTTGCCCTTTCGTCGATTTGACATCTACTAGTACATCTTTATTATATATTTATCAGTCCCAAAACTCCTTCAATACCCTGTGACGTACTTGGCTGGCAACTAGGTTACTTAGGGCGTCACAGGCGAGAGTGGTCTGTCGGTACGAGCCTGGACATCCTTCGTCGGGATCCTGACCAGCTATATATGTATCTAAGTACCAGGGCCTACAAAGAAGTGATAAGCGTATTTCACAAAAATAACGAAAAGACGGGGTGTAAAGGCACCAATGCAATTAAGGTGAAACGACATCTTGTACGGGCATCCGTGTCCGTGTAAGACTGGTAGGGGCACTTTCCTATACATTCCTACATTCCGTAGCAGGACAGCACGGTGTGAGTGCGAGGTGGAAGCACGCTTGGGAGTCGCAGGAGAACCGGTACACAAACAGCTCGGATACGCTCCTTGATGGAGATCTAGGGCATCCTGATCTTCAGCGAACGGATCACGAATGTACAGGGAAAGTATATCTACTGATTTTCGTCCGTGCCTTTACAAAAGGGACCATCACCTCCAAGTTCGAGGCAAGCAGTATGGCAAGAGGCGGCTACTAAAATCGTACGATAGCCCTGTGTTCTAGATAATGTCTACCCTCAGGCAAGTACCAGGAATCAAGACAAAAATGCGGTATCGCGAACATAAGTCTCGCCTGTTGAGAGAAACCAGTTCAAGCGTATGCCAGTACGGAAATGAAATCGTTACCTTTGTACGTATGTAGATGCTGTACCATCAGATTCAAGGGACGGGGATTTTGACTGCGAGACCGTTCATCGCATGAGATCATCCTATGATGAACTAATGAGCGTCATTTGTTCGGCTCCGCTGAGCGAAATGAACAACCCGTGCGGAAACATATAACCCGAGGCCTCTGTATTACGTCCGTTCACCTCTCGAAAGTATTTTAAAGAATACCTGGACTGACATGAAAATTATTTCAGCTCATCGTAGATGAATTTTGATCGTTTCGCAGACACTTTCACTTTAAACTTTTAAGATAGGCAGGGAGAAGGGAGAAGGAGAGAGAGAGTGCAGCTCACGTTGCCGTTGCGTTGCGATTCTCGGAGTCGCGTCCGAAAAGGCAGGACCCTGTCACTGTGGGACGCCACTGGTATCACGTGATGTCTGGCCAGTCCCGTCGCGATTTCTTCTTGGACTCAAACCACCATCTTCTCCTAGCAGCAGGGCACGAAATCCGAATCAAGAGCAAGAAGAAAGGCGACTCGCTGAAGGAGCAATACCGTCGCAAGGTACGTAATACCATGATAGGCGAAAAAACAACGTTAATGAAAGGATCGCCTGATGTAGATCTTGAACATTCATTGCACGGATTACAGGACACTGAGGCACCGGGAGAGCAGGGAAGATATATTCTGAGCTGAATTTCCAGGGTGCGTCAACATTCCGGCACTGTCTCGTTGCCATAATGCTTGATGTAGTTTTGACAGGTTCTAGCACGGATACCTCGGTTCAGTGGACGATACCGTAAAGGAGAACGACAAGGCGCGTAATTCGTGCCTTTGGATACAGGAATCGTAAAGCTGAGTGACCGCTAGATCACCGAAAGCAGTATACAGGAAGGTGCGTAGTACCTTGATAACGCAAAGCTTAACGACATGCCTCCTTACAGGTAATGCAAGATGCTGAAACCACGGCAATCAGGCATCCCGACACCCGGACGCGCCCGCTCCCTGTCGCGATCCCAATCATACAGCCATCTACATACGACACACGAAGAAGAGGAGTTATCTCGCGCATTTGAGGACGTTATGCGGGGGAGGCCACCAAGTATCACTTCTTATCCCAACCCCACTGTATCGTCGCGGGCGAAGACGCCGGTTTCGAAACCGCCGGGGAAGCTCATTGCATCGACCAGCAGACCCCCGAGTAGGACCGCAGGCCGACCACCTTCCACCTTACACGCTTTCGAAGAAGGCGATAAGGTGCGCATCGAGAGCCTGGGGTTTGAGGGGACGCTGCGATATGTGGGGGAGATTGAGGGTAAGGGAGGACTGTGGGCAGGGGTAGAGCTCTCCGGCGGTTTCGCTGGGAAAGGGAAGAATGATGGAAGCGTTGGAGGGTGAGTCCAAATGATAATTGCATTACTTCTTGGCATGTTGCGAAAGTTTGTTTCTGCTCGTTGACTTTCTGCTAAGTCTCGGAGTTGATTACTCTCATTTCCGTCTTTTCTTGTGACTTGGCCTACGTTTCCTCATACTTTTTACTCTAACTGGATAGCTAAAACCTCTTTATTTAGGAAGCAGTACTTCACCTGTCCGCCACATTGTGGCGTCTTCGTTGCTACAACAAAACTCAGCGCAGCTACTACAGGTGTGACGAGGAGACCACCTTCAGCACTAGCCGGACGAGCAACGCCGTCTTCGTCCGGAAGACCACCGTCCTCAGTTGGAGGACGCACTACACCATCTATCTCGAATGGCAGAATCACACCTAGTACCAATGGCCGGGTTACTCCATCGATATCAAACGGAAGAGTTACACCCTCAACCAGTTACACAAGGAAGCCAGCAGTGCCGACAATTACACCTGCTCCGCGTCTACCTAGAAAGAGCCTCAGTACAGTAACGCCGACGCCCGGTACCAGAGCTAGTAAATATGCCGGCATGACCGCTACGCAACTCCGGAGCTCGCCGCAGAAGATCTCTTCGCCCAGTTCGATTGGATTAGGGTCTCCTAGTGGTATTGCGAGGAGTGTATCATCTCCTAGATCTATTTCGAATGTTGGCGGCGCGCCGTCTTCACCGTTTGCCACTCCGAAACCTTCTTCAAAGAGACGGGTGCCTAGCGGTGTGGCGATGCCCCCTCCACCATCACCAATCAGGTCTGTATCACCAACGAGGAGCACCAGCGTTGGGAGCAGCGTGTCTCCATCTGTGACCGTCGATTTAGATGCTCGAAGTCGTGACATACAAGCGCGCATAGCTGAAATCTCGGGCGGAGGTACTGGGAAGGGTCTGGACTCCCCATTTTCGGGTTCGTTCAAGACTGAAATGCTACCCCCGGCTTCGAGTCCGGGTCCATCACGGACTAGTCCTCTCCCCAGGCGTTCACTGGGACTCACACCCTCATCTCCAAGTCCGAGAAGGTCGATGGCTTCTAGTCCTGCCGTTCGACCGGAATCAAGCATTTCAGTAAGAAGTGATGGGAGGATGGAGGCACTGATAGACGACAATGAGCGTCTACGAGCTGATGTGGAGCAGTTGAAGGCAGATATGGCGAAGCTGGAAAGTGAGAAGGCGGCCAAGGACGATGAGAGGGAGAAGCTGAAGCTAGAGATTGAGCGAGCGAAGGAGTTGAAGGAGGAAGAAGAGAAGAGGCGCGAAGAGATTGAGGGAAAGCGGGAGGAGCTGGAGACGAGACGGGAGGAGCTAGAAAAGCGGGTGTCAGACCTCGAGGGTGAAATACGCGAGAAGGACGTTGCTGGAGATGCCCGTTTGAAGGAGCTCGCTGACTTGGAGAGCAAGTTCAAGGAGGGCGAAGCCGAGGTTGGAAAGCTGAAGAAGGCGATTCTAGCTTTGGAGGAAGAGCGGTATGACTTGATGAGTCAAGTAGGCGAGCTTCGGGAGGCTGGGCAAGAGACGATCGCATTGTATGAAGAGCGACTTCGGGCGACCGATGTGCAAAAGTATGAGATGCAAGATCGACTTGCCGAGTTGGAGGCACGTATCCCTGCTGTTGCGCCTCCTACCATCACTCTCAGCGCCGGACAAGAGATCGACAACGAGACGCTGAGAGACCAAGTGCTGCATCTGCAGAAGAAGATCGCCGGCCTGGAGGATATGATCGAGGATGGGAGAGTTGCTGCTGAGCGAGAAGAGGGAGCATGGAGAGAGAGGATGAAGAAAGTGAAGGAGGAGAAGGAGGCGATGAGGAGGGAGCTTGGTGAGGGTAAGAGGGAGGCGGAGCGTGCAAGGACGAGCGAGGACGAGGAGAGGGGACGGAGGGGCGAGGTCGAGGAAGCGTTGAGGGAGAGTATGACTGCTCTTGAAGAAGCTAGAGCCGAGCTTGAAGGACTGAGAAGCGAGTTAAACGTAAGAACCCTTTTCTGTTCCGTGCTTCTTCCGTGTTTCTGAACTTGCCTGGTTACAGCAGCTTAATGGTCTCGACGACAAGGAGGAGCTCGCACACAAGAATGCAGAGTTGCAGCAAATTGCGGAAGAGCAGGTCGCCCAGCTTGACAAGCTGCATCAGCGATTAGACGACCAGACCCTCGAGCTCGAGGCGTTGAGGAAGAAGGTCAACCGGGAGGCCGTCGTTACGTCGTCGAAGAGCGAGATGAAGAGTGCGCAGGAGGAGATTAAGGGTCTGAAGCATATCGTGCGGGAGCTCCAGGCTGAGGCATCTCGTTTGGAGAGCGAGAATAAGATGCTTATTGGAGAGATGGAGGAGTTGCGCCAGGTGGGTTTTGTGTGGGTTTATTTTTGTTTCCTTGTTGATCATGTTTTGTGTAGGAGGTGAAGATCCTGGAAGACAGCATGGATAGGGAGGAAGAAGGTGCTCTTAATGACGATGTCGAGGATATGAGGAAGAAGCTTGCGGAGGCCGAGAAGAAGAATTTGAGGGTTACGAGTGATGTAAGTGGGAGTTCCTTGATGCGTTGCTGGGATTCTGATTGTTTTTTTGAGCAGCTCAATAAGGAGATCAGCGAGCTGGAGGCTTTGGTGGAGAGTAAGATATATCGAGAGGTGGGTGGTGGCTTTTCTTTCGATGGCGTTCTTGCCTTTCCATCAGGTCTTCTCCCTTGAAGGATTGGGATGTCTTGTTTTTCGATACTGTATACTTACCACTGTGCTCACAGGACGAACTCGAACAAGAGATCGAACGTCTCAAAGCCAAGCTAGCGAAGAAGTCCTCTTCCTCAAAACTCAGTGATAGCTCATCGCTACGCCGCGTTCCATCTACTTCGAGTCTTGTCAGTCTTGATTCGAATACAGTCGTTTGCGAGATCTGTGAACGGCCGGGGCATGATATATTCAGCTGCGACTTGCTAAAGGGGGATGCTCCCGCTCCCATCAATGGCACAAGAAGCTCGCTGAATGGGAACACGGTGGACAAAGGGCCATTCTGCGAAGATTGCGAAAGCTATGGGCATCTTCCGGTTGACTGTCCCCATTCTATGGATGTTTTTTGATGTATATTACATATGTTTCCCTTTTTCCGTGCCGATATTTCATCTCATTTTCTTTTTTGATACCCATCCACATTCATTTGTTTTCCATCATCTCACTTCATGTGTACACAGTATCACTCTCATTTGTTTCGCTTTCATAGGTGCTTTCGTTCCGGATATTTTATTCCTCTGCGCATTCTCTCCCCTCTGTTTCTGTTTCTGAGTTATAGGTATCTGTATACTCACTGGGTACATACTAGAGCAGTATAATTGAAAATAAAGAAGGACCTCGGTACGGAGGTTCCAAGTCGCTGCTATCCCCTTTTTTCTCACCTTTCTCTCCATAGCTATTTCGCCACTACAATGGGCTTCGCATATACCGCAATGGCGGTCCGGTCCTCCATTTCGAACTATCATTCTCAGCGCTCATCTTCATATCCGAAGTAGTACCCAGCTCTCATCAGGTTCAGTTTCACGCGATTGTCGTGCTGATACCATGGTTATAAGCATGGGGTTTGTTATTCGTCCACCCTACCATTCCCCTTCAGAACCCTCACAATGGCTACCCAGGTCCCAGCAACCACACGATCGTACTGCTTTCCGACCATCGGCTCCTACACCAACCTTACCTTGCAGACTACGCCCGTTCCAGATATCATCAAGTCCACCGATGTCCTTGTCAAAGTACATGCTGTATCTCTCCAGTACCGCGACCTCCTCATCGCTTCGAATCGATACTTTATCGGCAACTTACTCGATAACCTTATCCCTTGCTGCGATATGGCTGGTGAGGTGGTCGCGACTGGTGCCGATGTGACGCGCTGGAAGGTTGGTGACAGGGTCTGTGCCAATCCTTCGATGGAATACTTGGATGGGGACGTCGACGCGGATACGTTGCGAATGGCCCTTGGTGGCGGACGGCATGGTGTATTAACCGAGTACAAGACTTTCCCGGATTATGTGAGATTTGCATTGCTGTTCTTTTCCTGGTTCTCATCAAGGTTTGCAGTCATTGGTCAGAATACCGGAACATCTATCCTATGAAGAAGCTTCGACGCTTCCTTGTGCTGCTCTCACGGCATATAATGCGCTCATGGGTCCGAGGCCAGTCAAAGCAGGTGATACTGTTCTCGTTCTTGGAACTGGTGGCGTCTCTATGTACGTCTCTTCTATTTACCGAGCCTCACTATCTAAATTCATTTAGCTTCGGCCTGCAATTTGCCGTAGCTTCCGGGGCTACCGTTATAGCAACATCTTCCTCCGACGCTAAACTGGAAATTGCTAAGAAACTCGGTGCTACCCACACGATCAATTATAATACAACGCCAGACTGGGACAAGGAAGTACTGAGGTTGACGGATGGACGGGGTGTCGATCATGTTCTAGAGGTACGCGCTCGCCGCTTTGGGTATCTCTTACTGACTTTCCGCCTGTCCCGCAGGTCGGAGGTGCTGGAACTCTCGGGAAATCGATAATGGCTGTACGGTGTGCGGGATACGTACATATAATTGGATTAGTTTCACAGGATTCCCCGGAGCTAACCAACGTTGTCGGACTTTGCATCGGCAAGGGTATCAATCTACGGGGAGTTCTGATCGGTTCTACTGCACAGTGAGTAAAGTCATCATCTCTCTATCTGGTATTAATCCATATGCCATGTAGGTTCGAGTCGATGAATCGTCTTTTGCGTGCCCATCCAGAGTCGACACGACCAGTGGTCGACAAGGTGTTCTCGTTCGAGGAGGCCATCGAGGCCTACGCGTATTTGGAGAGTCAGAAACATGTTGGGAAGATCGTGATTCGTGTCGCTGCTGAGTCCACATTGTAATTATTCAAGCTGTACGAGAATAGTGAATAACCTTCATTTTCACACCGTGGTAGGGTCCGCTGATATTATTACCATCATCACGCGACATAGAACCGGTCCTTATCTTCGGCTTTCTCCTCACCCTTCGATCAGATGGAAGTATCTGTTGTTCTCACCTTCCATCTAACGCAGTCGTCATCATGTCACCATCTCATTGATGATTGTAAACAATATGAGGATGACTCATATATCTTTCGAACGTCTGTGTTACTAACCACCCCAATGACTGCTCAGATACCAACGACAACACGTTCGTACTACTTCCCCACTCGGGGATCATACAAGAATCTCGTTCTGCAGACCACGCCCCTTCCGGCCCTCCGATCCACAAATGTCCTCGTCAAAATACATGCTGTATCATTGCAGTATCGCGACCTCATTGTGGCATCGGGACAATACCGTATAAGCAGAGTGCAGGATAATCTTGTCCCATGCTCCGACATGGCAGGCGAAGTTATCGCAACTGGCTCAGATGTGACGCGCTGGAAAGTCGGCGACAGAGTATGCGCCAATTTCTCGACAGACCACCTGGACGGGGACGTCACTGCTGAGATATTGGATACTTCACTTGGAGGAGGGCAGCACGGGGTGTTGACTGAATACAAGGCTTTCCCGGACTATGTGAGCGTTTTGCTGCTTATGTTGTTTTTCTCACACTCATATGGGACTTTATTTCCAAATTCCTAGTGTTTAGTCAGAATCCCCGAGCACCTGTCTTACGAAGAGGCGTCGACTTTGCCGTGCGCTGCTCTGACAGCGTACAATGCTCTTCTAGGACCTAAGCCGGTCAAAGCAGGTGATAGTGTTCTCATCTTGGGAACTGGCGGAGTGTCCACGTATGTTTTACTTTAACTCTTCAATTCACCTCGTTTTATTGTTTTATAATGTAGTTTTGGATTACAACTCGCCGTCGCCTCAGGTGCTACTGTTATAACTACTTCTTCCTCCGATGCCAAGCTGGCTATCGCGAAGAAGCTAGGCGCAGCGCACACAATCAATTATAACACTACGCCGGACTGGGATAAGGAAGTACTCAGGCTCACCGAAGGAAGGGGCGTTGACCATATCTTGGAGGTAGGATCGGTGTATGTTTCGCCTTGAACATTTTTTACTCCGCTGCGAAAGGTCGGAGGACCGGGAACGCTTGAGAAGTCGATAGCATCTGTGCGTTACGCAGGATACATCCATATCATTGGATTCGTGGCGCAGAACCCGGCCGCCCTAACGAGTGTCATTGGACCTTGTATCGGAAAAGCTATTACCCTTCGAGGGATTCTTATCGGCTCCGTTGCACAGTGAGTTGCTTTGGACTAACACGCTTCCCTTCGCTACAACTTGAAATACTAAATCATACATAGATTCGAATCCATGAACCGACTACTCCGAGCCCATCCTGAGATTACGCGCCCGGTAATCGACAAGGTGTTCAAGTTTGAAGAAGCTATTGAGGCCTACGCTTATTTAGAGAGCCAGAAGCACGTTGGAAAAGTTGTTATCCAGGTTGAGAGCGAATAGTAGTAGTCTTGTTCAAAACTTTTGTATAACTAATTAAATAATGTAATGGTACTCTCTATCATTTAAGGTACTATAGCCAAGTGGTTAAGCTGATAGATTAGAAGACTATTACTCTCTGAGTGCGTAGGTTAAAGTCCTACTGATGTCGATAGTTCCATGCGTGTTGATACTTTTTAAGCCTTGGAGAGGAGATTAATACTCAGTAGGGCTAAAGCTCTAAAGGCTGAGGTGGGCTTAAATTTCGGGATCACACTCCCTTGACTACTGACCACCATCATCCTCTCACATTGGCTTGTTTGTACCCTTGTCGCAACACGACGTGTTCCTCCTTTGTACTTGGCTTCTCTTTTCGCATCTATGAAGGCATCGACTCCACTGCACAGGTATTCGATTCTTCAAGCTTCAACGGCGGTTATTCACAGGGAACACTTTCATGACAGCAGGTTTATGACAGGTTTTTGGTTGGATTGAGGATCGATATAGGTGCATCCCTTAATCCTCGTGGATCAATGTCTTTCTGGTGTCGCAAAGGTCGCGCAAGGTGACTATATGCTCCTTGATCGTTAACAGGACCATCTCGCATCTGCCTTGAGTCCGCTGGTTATTGCGAACCTGAGAATCAGAAAACGATATTGAATATTCTCCACAATACTACTGTACTCGTATTTAGGCGAGTTATTCTTCCGCCTTTGCCACTTTCTTCTTGGCTTCATATGTCTCTATGCTGCTGAAGGAAAAAAGGAACGGCGCCTACCGTATTTTACCATTGATTTGTGCAACGTAACTCGGTGTTGAGGATAATACTCGTGCTTATATCACCGCCTCTCAATGGCTCCGCTGGGTGTAAGGACACTGGCAATCGCAGATAGCCTGCTTATCTCAAACCACCATCATCCAAGTTCGTACTCACATATCCTAATCTTAAACTTGTGCTCATGGGCGTTACTCGTAATATCGCACCGAATGCGTATAGTGTCTGGCCCGACGACGAGTCCGATAAGGAGGTTCTTATCGAAGCTGCAGGATCTTCCTACAACGGCGTCGAGCGGCACGTCCTCATGTATTAAGACAACAGCAACTCTCAATGGTTCTCGCGTTGTACAAGTCATCGAACTTGTTGGGATCCCAGGAGACTACAGCTTCAAGTCACCCGTAGCATGTCTCCATCGACCGATGCAAGACCCAGATACGTCTCTTTATTCTTGGGGGAGTCCAGCTAAGAGGAGAGGGATAGGATATTAAACTTGGCAAGGGAGGTATGGTTTAAATAATAGGCCCTCGACTAGGAACAGATGTAGGGCGTGGTTGAAGTATCTGTTGGAGGAGATGTTTTCGGATGAAACGTTTAGGGTTGCTGATGCGGAGGTCCCGTTGGTTAAGCACATGCCGGAGGTTGACGCGTGTGATAATTGAAGATATACGAGGATTTCGGTACGAAAGTTTGGAATTGCCAAGGAATTGCGGCAGTCTTCTGGTTTCTGAATCTCCAATTCGGCAAGAACAGGTATTTCGGACTCCGAAATACCTGGACCGGACCTTTTGGACCTGGACCTCAGGTTCGAGGTTCAGGCAAATATGCCTGAACTTGGACCGAATCGGACCCCGGCCAGACTATTTCGGAGACAAGTACGTTCAATTAAAAGTCGAGCTCCATGCCTGATTTATACAAGTACTCTAGCCAATCTATTTTGGGTTCCCAGGGGTTACGCGAGGCTATACCGTCCATTTTGTGCAAAAATGCCCTGTAGTTACAGGGGAACGAGTTGTACACAAATCCCTATAACTACAGGGAGCAGGATTTGTGCACAGCTCAGGGAATGGCCTGTAGCACAAGCGCTCAGCGCGTGCACAGCCACGCCAGAGTTGTCACGCTTGGATTTCCCACGCTTTGCTACACCCTACGCTCCGCCCCTCCCGCTCGTCGTTGCCCGCCTCCCACTCTATTTTTCCCCTTTTGTATTGAGGCTGTATTGTTCATTTAATACAATTTATCCCAGTAACTACATGTGCTTGGATGCATTTACTGTGGGAATATAGCATTCCCAATCTGATAGTGGATTCAATTTTGGGGATAGTAGATGGATATGGTGTTTTTTTTTTGGTATAAAATGTGCACTAATGACTCTATCATGACTATATTTAATGCATGTATGAATTAGTGAAAAAAGAACATTTGGGGTGGATTTCCGGAATTTGCTGGACAACCCCTAAATTGACTGCAGCAAGCAATGGATCGCAATTGTACAGTCATGAAGCTCTTCCATCCCTCTAAAATCAAATATATTGGTGTCTATTGGCATTTATATATCATGTATAGCTTAGTTATTCATACATTCTAGTTGATTTGTAGATAAATATGAATTATAGTGTCAAATGCAAATACTCTACATCCTTTATCCCATAGTACATGTTCAAATGAGAATACAGAGTCAATAAAACCATGGATTTCATCTATTCTGAGTAGTATATATCTGAAAATGTACCTGCCCTGAAACTGTGATACAATTTTATTTTGGTCAGACGAAAGTGCACGGAGGTCAAATTTCTAACAGTTCTTCTAAGCAATGAAGTGAGTAACAATGTTTCTATGAGAAGATCACTGTGGATCAGACACTTTGTTTGGATAGTATACTACATAATCTTGTATATGCAGCCCATTGTATTCTTTTCTACGGTGTATAGAACAGCATACAATGAGTATATGCTAGCAAATGAACCAAAAAGCGGTTTTTCAACTGTAAAATGCATATTAATCAAGGCTGGGATTCATTTAATATATAGGAAAGTATAGAACTATATTGTATAATACAATATCATTACATTCCGACAATTCTCGGGCCTTCGGGATGCAGGGATGGAGCAGAGGATGCATCCCCGGTATTCATTCCACTCGCTCAATCGCTCCGGTCCGTGAAACCGCAGAGTGATCGAGTGGCTGTGCCACTTCTTTTTCCGCTTCTTTCCCTCACCATACGCGGGACGACGACGGCAGTGGTGGCCAGGGAGGTAACAGCAATGACATGAGCGAGGAGGCCTTTAGCATGAATATCCAATGACTAGATATATTCCTTTATTCCATATATCTACTTGTTAAATAATACAATATTATTTTTATACAAGCCATGGGATGGGATCAGATTTTGCGAAAGGGAACAGGAAGCATGGGAAAAAGTAATCAAGAGACGATGCATGTGGTTCCTATCACTGGCTGTGATGAGAAAGGCAGCCCTATAGTTACTTTTGTATTGGATTTTATTTTTGGCTCGATTGTAGTATCACTTTGCTTGTCGAGCACAGTGCCTAAGGACTCTAGCATGTCGAAGGCGACAGCGAGCTCGACTGCTCACATAATCACACACCAGGCAGTCACAAGAGGCATCACAAGATGGCTGACTCACCACAGCAGGGGTGTATAGTACCATTCCCTGTAGGGCTGCGCACCGTACCGTATACGGTATATGGCCATAAAGCCATTGTCCTAGACGGTCACGGAACTATCCGTATACCGTGCCGTATGGTCAGTTTCAATGCCTTGTCGGCGTCGGCACGGGTACATTACGGCCGTCTATGGTCGTTGATGACCGTGCGCCTAAGTATGAAATTGATTGGCTTATAAAGAAGTAAGTCAGACACCTTTGAGACTGCCAAAAATCTGTAAAACGCACCTAGTCTTATAATGAGCTATGCCACATTGAGTAGGGCTAGAGGTATCCAAGACTTAAAGGAAAGTCATGCATATTGTCTTGAATGTGTACGAAATTTTGATAAAACGGCTAATAAGTGAAGTTAGTAATGCCACGGAATTGAATGATGGATATTTTGTGTTGATTTTGTGTCATAGATTTGCCCTAAAAAGACTCTTGGTTGAGTCAAAAGTCAGATAACAAAATAAGCCGTATTACGACGTTGTATGGCCGTCTGTAAGAGCTCTTGCCGGTGACGGAACAACCGTATACTGTGCTGTACAAATGGTCAATATGGTGCTTTCGGCTTCGGCCCGTCTTCTGTATAACGGTTACCGAAAACCATACAATACCGTGACGGCGACGGTGCGCAGCCCTAATTCCCTGACCTGTGCACACAAATGGCTCCCCTGTAGTTACAGGGATTTGTGTACAACTCGTTCCCCTGTAACTACAGGGATTTGTGTACAACATGACAGGAAAGGTTGGTTACGCGTCATCGGCTCCCAGGCTTACGCGTCGATGCCAGGACGCGCGTCGCTTTCGGTACTCCTTGCCGCGTCTGAGTATTCACACGTACCTCCTTTTGTACCTCCGATTAGTACGCATTTATTATCTACTAGTTATGAATCTGTCTGGCAACAGACTTGGTTATTCATTCACTCACTACTAATTTCTATGCTTCGTCAGCTTTCATTATCATTGCCTTGCTTTATAAATATGGACTGTAGTGTTCATCGACTACCCACCAATTCTACTGGAAACTCCCACGATGCCTGCGAAGATCCCAGCAACGACACAATCATACTACTTCCCGACCCGAGGGTCATACACCAACCTCGTCTTGCGCACCGTACCTCTGCCGCCCCCCAAGTCCAAGCATGTCCTGGTGAAAATCCATGCCGTGTCTCTGCAGTACCGTGACCTAATGGTAGCCATGGACCAGTACCCCACAGCTGACTTGATAGACGATCTTGTCCCGTGCTCAGATATGGCGGGGGAGGTGGTGGCGGTCGGTGAGGAGGTGAAGCGCTGGAAGGTCGGTGATAGAGTCTGCGCTAGTGGTGCAATAGATTTTTTGGATGGGGATGTTGATGAAAATACGATGCGTATGGCGCTTGGCGGCCAGCAGCATGGGGTATTGACTGAGTATAGGGATTTCCCGGATCATGTGAGGATTTACATTGGTGTTTGTTTTCTGGTTCTCATTGAAATTTATTCTTTTTCAGTGTTTGGTTGGGATACCGGAACATCTGTCTTATGAGGAGGCGTCGACGATTCCTTGCGCTGCTTTGACGGCGTATAATGCGCTCATGGGCCCCAGATCAGTCAAAGCAGGCGATACGGTCCTCATCCTTGGAACTGGCGGCGTATCCATGTACGTTCTCCCTCTCCCCTCCCCATTCATTATAAATGTAACTTCACACACGTAGCTTCGGATTGCAATTCGCCGTCGCCTCCGGTGCAACAGTCATAGCAACATCTTCCTCCGACGCCAAGCTGGCGGTCACTAAGAAACTAGGCGCCGCACATACGATCAACTACAACACCACGCCGGACTGGGACAAGGAAGTCCTGAGGCTGATGGGTGGGAGGGGCGTTGATCATGTTCTTGAGGTACGTATTATGATCCTCGTTCCGAGTCTTTCTTGAATTCGACGTGCCACAGGTTGGGGGACCAGGAACTCTGCTGAAATCAATGTCGGCCGTACGCTACGCGGGGTACGTCCATATGATTGGATTCATGTCGCACGACACCGCAGGGCTGGGGATGGTGAACGTCATTGTGATGTGTATCCAGAAAGGTATCACTCTGCGGGGGATTCTTGCAGGGTCTGTTGTGCAGTGAGTAGAATCAACATTTTTTACAGTCTCGCGTATTAATTTGGTGTGTTATTCAAGGCTAGAGGCGATAGTCCGTCTCTTGCGTGCTCGTCCCGAGTCGACGCGTCCAGTTATTGACAAAGTGTTCTCGTTCGAGGAGGCTGTAGATGCGTATGCGTATTTGGAGAGTCAGAAGCATGTGGGGAAGGTTGTTATTTGGGTTGGGAATGCTGAGTAGACCAGGTCCATTATTTAATAGATGTATAGTAATTAATAAGGCACTATAGCCAAGTGGTTAAGGGGATAGATTAGAAATCTATTACTCTCTGAGTGCGCAGGTTCAAATCCTGCTGGTGTTGTATGATGTTATACATTTGTTTTCCCCTATCCTTGAATAAGGATATCAAGGGTCATACGGCCTTAGCAGTATGTAGGCTCTGAGGCTCTATCTTTAGGGCCGCTCACCAAACAACCAGGGGAGGGTTAAATTACGGTTTTGTACCGATCCCTGGACCAGCGAGGGGAGGTAAATTATCAGTAACTAACCGGTAACTTACCTATCCGAAACCCCAGTGTAACAAAATTTTGTTACAGTCCTGAGTCATAAGCTTCATTGGTGTCCGGCTCAGAGGTGCGAACAGTCGATGTGTCAATAAATGACGCTCCTCGGCGGCTGCCAGTTCCGGGATCGGCCGCCCTTGTACGTCCTCTTCTTCCATGATGCGTCAACGCAATGACGAGCTTTCTTTAATTTTCTTTACAAATATAGTGCCCACGCTAGTGCCAGAAGCCGAATCGTGGATCGTGGGTCCAGGCGCCCTTGACTCCGTCATGTACACCTTGTGTTCAGCATCTGACACACGCGATCTTCGTCCCTTCTAGTTCCGCCAACATCACTTGTTTAAAACTCACATCCCAGAGTTACTAGCACAATTTGTAACGCCCGATACGACATTTAAATGGGAGGCTTTCACTCCAAGAATACTACTGCCGACCTTGCAAGTGTTGCTTTTCAAGTGGATTCAGATGAGTACGAACAATGGAAGTCATACGACTATGTGGTAGTTGGAGGAGGTAAGATAATGTCCTTTGGTCCTTCCCCAGCCGTATTCTGACTGACTGTCGTAGGAACTGCTGGTTGTGTTCTCGCTTCTCGGCTGTCTGAAGACCCAAGTACTACTGTCTGTCTCATCGAAGCTGGCAAGACGTGTGTACATTTTCTATTCTTCTATTTTGAGACACTAAAGCGGTACTAAACGAACAGACACGAGTCCGACTTTCTGACTAGTATCCCTCTTGCATTCTCGAAATTGTTCAAAACTGGCGTAGATTGGGACTACGAGACAGTGTACGTTTCCATTTTTTTACATTTGTATTTTTTTAAATAAAAAATTGTATGGCCATTAGACCCCAAGAGGCTCTCGGAAGCAGACGCATCTATTGGCCTCGAGGGAAGATACTTGGTGGAACTAGGTCTATCTATTGATTCACTTACTATCTAAACCTCATCTCATTTACTCTCTTAGCGCAATCAACTGCCTCATATATCATCGATGTGCACCAGAAGGTATGATTCTTTTGTAGCCTCATGCTCTTGATTTGTTCCCGACCTTAAGGCTTTACCGGAAGATTTTGATGAGTGGCAGCGTCTCGGCGCGGAGGGGTGGTCATACAAGGACCTCCTTCCGTGAGTACGAGTCATTGAAGTGGCTATTCTGCCGACATTTAAATGGTATTATAGCTACTTTCGCAAGGCAGAAACGTTCAACCCGGACCGACGTCGTCCAGACGTGAAGATCAGTGACCACGGTGTAACCGGGCCTTGGCAAACAGGTCCGCAACACTTTCCTCCTGCTGTACGTCGGTTATTTTTTACCATTTAATCAACGTCTTAGTGGGTTTCTGTCGTAGCCCATTCACGAAGTTCTTGTTGAGACGTGCAAGGCGCTTAACATACCATTTATCAGGTCTGAATTTCTGTTTTATTCCAGGTCGTAACCTAACGAGTTCATTCAACAGCGATACCTCCTCTGAGTCTGGGACACTCGGCTCGACAGAGTTCGTTTCATGTACCGACAAGAATGGAAAGCGTTAGTCGTCACTTGTTTTTATTATACTTCGTATCTCTGACAACTTGTTAAAGGAAGCTCCTCAGCAACTGCCTATCTCCCACCATCTGTTCTCGCAAGACCTAATCTAACGGTCGCTACACATACCATGGTAGAAAAGGTTTTACTCGACACCTCGGCTACTACTACACCCCGAGCTATCGGCCTCGAGCTATCCAGTGTCCCGGGAGGTCCCTATTTCCGTGTTCGGGCAACGCGGGAAGTAGTGCTGTGTGCGGGAGCGGTGGGTACACCCCAGATCTTGATGCTGAGCGGTGTTGGACCACGCGATAGCTTGGAGAAGCTGGACATCCCGGTGATAAAGGATCATCCTGCGGTAGGACAACATCTCCTAGATGTGAGTTTCTCCTCATCGGTATCGTACGCAATCTCACGATGTTTATTCTTTGACTAGCATCCGAGCTGCGGCACAGTTCTCTTTCGCACCAAGGCCTCGAACAACCTGACGTGGGATTATGTCGGCTCCCCGTTAGTTGGAGCATGGGCGCTTATTAGGTGGCTTTTCACCGGCAAAGGACCCATGTCCGGAGTAAGCTTTCCAGGCGGCGCGTTCGTTCGCTCCGATGATCCGTCGTAAGTAACAGTGCCTATATTACATATCATGATTCGTTTAACTGGGCGAATGCATGTAGCTTGCGCAACACTGGTTCTCCCGTACGTGACAACACTTCAGGACCAAATGCACCGGACATCGAGATTATCTGGATGCCCCTTCTTGTACTCGAGGGCGGAACGAAGCGACCTCCGAAGGGCGTTACCGGAGTGTCGATGGTATGTTAACCGAGATTTTCCATTCGGAGTTTCGCTAAAGGCCATCAGGGCGCTATGGTAATGAGGCCTCTCAGCGAAGGCTCAATTTCACTCAAGACAGCTAGTATCTGGAACAAACCGCTAATCGATCCGAAGTAAGTCGTACTTTATAGGTGCCCTGCCCTGCTCGTCCATGAAATTCTTCTTAGATATCTCTCCAACGAGAATGACATGAATGTTCTTCTCCGAGGTGTCAGGTTAATTCTACGAATGGCTCGCTCGGAGCCGTTCTGCTCTAACATTGACTGGTCCAAATCGGATGGCTCCATGCCCTGGTTATATCCTGGAAATGCTGATCCTGATGAAGTAAGTTATGAGCCCTTATCTTCTTCCCAAAATCGTAAAATCTAATGTATCTCACAGATTAGCGATGAAGTTCTGAGAGCATGGATTTCAGAGAACGGAATGGGGACCTGGCACCCTGTTCGCTATTTTGGTTTTTCCCACATTCATTATTCTGATCGATTTCCAGGTTTCATCCGCGCGCATGGGCAAGGACATAGCGAGCAGCGTCGTTGACGCAAATCTGAAGGTTCATGGTATCGATGGCCTACGCGTCGTTGATGCGTCGGTCTTTCCGAATCAGGTATCAGGGCATCCGTGTGCAGTTGTGATTGCTGTAGCAGAAAAAGCTGCCGATATAATCAAGGCTGCTTAGCGCGCCTGTCAGTCTTTTCCTATCGACCGCCCTGTGTATTTAGTATGGCTCATCAAATGTAGCTTGATTCTTGGTGAGGGCCTGTTCGCACAGAACCATTAGGACATGCGGTACATCAAATGAATGTCGAGGATTTTCATTTCAGGAACTACACTGTACGAGATTTCTGACATGGTGAGTGTCCTATATCTTCTCGCTGAGATATTACCTAGGAATATTGCGGCCACCCGCATGTACAGGGATCTTGTATTATTTGCCTCGGAAAATGTCATGACGCGAGCACCTTCTCTTTTCAGCCTTCCGAGATCTCAGGAAAACCTCAAATACAGGTCCAGAAACATGGCTTCGCTACAATTTGCCTCTCGGAACTCCGAAGATTCAGATACAAGTCACTCTCGTTCCTACATTTTCTACCTGCATCCGATTTATTAAGCAATAGAAAACGCATACATTCAAGTCTGTCAGAGATGGGACCACTCCTGTAAAAATACGCCTTAAAGCATGGACCACCAAGCTCAAACAGATCGCAGGTCTGAGGTTAGATCAAGTGGTACATCGAAGTTACCTTGTGTGGCCATGTACGTTAGGACTTTATTGTTTGCCTTTTTCGATTATCTTAGTGCTTCACTCAATGTTGAATGGAGGTGGTGTCACGATGACAGCCTCGCTTTTTGTTATGGTTTAACAGAGAAGCAGACCGTAATACCAAGTGCGCAACGCCCAGTCTTCTGGGAGGATAGTCGAACGAAGGCAAGTTCGCCGTCTTTTCGTCGCATCCGACGAAGTGTTCTAGCCGAAACACTCATCAGCATCCTCAATCCTTCAGGTGGCATTATAAATTACCCGAGTTTTCTTCTGCTGCGAATTCAAGTAATTGACGTGGGCTGTAGGTTCCTTATCCTTCCTTTCACAGACACTATTGTTATTGTAAACGGGTCATAAGCCTATGCAACATCGAAGTCTGAGATCTTGCATTCATGTCTTCTTCTTTTCAGCATGTCTTGATCGGAGAACAAAGGCACTTGAATAAACACAATGGTCTTGAGGTAGAAGTCAAAGCCTTTGGCCCACGGTCCAATGGCCATCCCGCCATTTATAAAAACCCATCAAGCATCCTCGATTCATTCCACACACCCCACCTGAGACCCAAGCAACGGCGACAAAACTAACAATGCCCGCCGAGCATGATGAATACTCTTTTGAGGTTATACCGCCCTCTCCCACTTCCGAAGGCACAGGTAAGCATCATTTCCACAACCGATATTTTCTTTGTCTTACATTCCTCTGGTATAGGCTGCCATGAAGATAATTGCGATTGTTCGGAATGTCGGGCCGATCCACGAGAATGAAAAGTCATCGAAATGACATGCTGGGAGCGGTCTATTGTAATTTTGGCATTTTGGATTGACTTATTTGTCGTCGGACTGAGGGATGACCAAAGCCCAGCTACGATACTTTGTTGATAAGTAGTCATTTCTGTTCGCCTGTTCAATCAGATTTGTGTATGTTATCCCAAACTCCTGACGGATGGCAGCGACAGTCAACTTCACATTCGTATCTTGCACCCACCCGATTTCAGAGATTCGGTGGCGACGACACGGCGACTCTAATTAAGCTCTTCGGGAAGATGTCGCGTGCACGTCCGCAGTAACCACATCCACGCTGATATATATATCACGGACCGTTAAGCATTTCCAATCGCGAATATGTTCACAAGCGAAGTCCAGAAGGAGGCCGGTTTGCTGGTAAGTACACTCTAGAACTTCGAAATGTCTGACCGCCGCGGGTGGCCAAAAATTCTTCTGCCGACGGGATCGGGCATCAGATGCGGGCACATAGGCCCAGATTCCTCCTGCCCGGTAAGGGTCGATGTCTGCCTATGACAAATGTAATGTAGAAAGCTTGTACGAGTAAGAAGTTAGAAGAAGAGGTAGATCTATACATACACGAAACCGTAATTTAGAAACAAAGAAGAAGCGAAGATTTTTGTAGACCCAAACCTGGGGCGTTATACCGCATCAGCGTGGTACTTCCGTTCACTATCCTGTTGTACATTTAGCCAGCCGTGAATTTGAAGAAGGAAAAATGTTCGTACCTTATCTGAGCTTCTCGTCCCGTCCTTCCATGTAACTACGGATGTTGTCTGCAATATACGGTATTGGTATATCGGGCTGAAAATAGCTTATAAACACGTACCACACGGACGGCCGCTGCGTTGTGCTGGCTCGCAGAGATAGGTTCGAGGGGGACTTCATGGGAACTGCCGGATTTCTCCCGCATACTTCTCCTGTAGTTTAGGCTGAAATAGGTGTTAGGAGAATGCTATGACAGTGGGAGTTCAGCTTTAGGCGTACCTGCCCACAACAGAAAGGACATAAACTGTAAGGAGATTTCCATCAACGTTGATCGGATAGACAGAATTTCAAACACGTACATTGGCAACTCGGAAGAAGCGGGATCATACTGTATTGAGACCGCTGGTCAACCAAAGGTTATATCGAATAACGAAATCACACACAAAATCATTGCCTCGGGCCGCCATACGAACTTGCAAACGAGTCATTGTCAATTTCTGCGCTTTGGATTCGAAAAGGAAAGATCTGCATACCAGAATCAAATTCATCAGCGCCGCCAGACTGGTTATCGCCCCCCGGTTTATGGCGAGGATGATCAGGTTGTCAAGGAGGTTGTCCGTTCTATTGATAACGTCAAAAGCTATCAATAATTGCGGTACCGGGAGCACTGACGATTTGATACCCGTTCGTTTGGTATGAAAGATCCAGCAGAGGATGACAGTGATCGCCATGTCACACGCGGCGGTTGATGCGGATTGAAGACTCGTAACTTTCTGTTGGAAACAATGAGAAGGGGAAGGGAAGAAGTAACATGGGCTTACCTCTGTATGAATCAGATGGCTAAAAGTACCGCCTATACCGCTAGAGAAGAAAGTTAGCCGTCAAAGCCACCGAAGATTTTATGGAACGCCGTACGCAAGAGTCGTTTGGGCTGATCGGGGAATATATGTGAGTTCCGTTCATTTCATTCGAAAACATATATGCCGTACCAAGTCCGGCGCCTATGAGGGATGTTAAAATCCGTGTATGTAAGCTGGATCCGTGAACGCACTTATATTGGTCAAGGCAAGAAGACCCTAGTACACAAGCAATCATTAGCGCCCATAAGCTTCCGTTCCATCTAAGTATTTAGGATGAACATACCACAGGTGCAGCGAGAAACCAGTTGTGTGTCACTGGACTGGAAATCAATGACAGTGGATAAAGATGGAAACCGAATGCGAACAGTAGTATATCCGAGACGTGAAGAACCTACAGTAGCGTTAGGTCGCAGGATAAACATTCGCTTCGAGGACTACTTACACTTGCGAGATGAAAGATACCATGTACTAGGGTGAGTCTTTCAGTGACAAGATGAAAATTTGACAAGCAGTCCTCCTTACGATAGCTAACAGTTGAACCTGGCGAAATTGAGCTGCTGGTGTCCTTCTCGCCAAAAGTTTGACTCACCAGTGCTGTCCTAATAGGTATAATAAGCTTAACGAACACTCGCGATCAGCTACGACGCCAACACACCTCGGCATACTATCCAGTCCCGCGAGGTCCCCAAACCGTGTTATCAGATCCTCATACGCCCATGCAATAAAAGTCACAATGTGGGTTGTAGCCAGCACTCTGTGGGTCTGTCAGAGCGGAAATTGTCATAGATATGAATATCACCAACGCCAGCGAAAGCACCATTAACTTGACCGCGGTTGAGTCCGCCGACCATAAGTTACCGCGGAAATATTGGAATACTACGAGCTAGACGGGGAAAGTTCTTAATGCGTGGAAAGAGAGACTGAATTCGGACATACCATACCAGCGCCGTAGCACCTACCAATGAGAAAAGTCAGTATACGCCTCGAAAAAAGCAGAATGATGTTCTTACATCAAGTCTATTGTGAAAGCGATGAACATACAGCCAAAGGTCGCATTGAAACTCTCCACCATGGCGACCGTGAGGAAGGAAGGGCGAGCAACATTGTGCGGCGACGGCCCAGGACTTTTTGAGTCGGCAGAGATATTAGAGATCTGTAATTACAATTAGCGATCCAGTATTACAGGAGATCTCCGGAGCAGGGTTGCATGAAAGTTAGGATACATGATCAAAATCTGATCGCAGAAAGCGTTGGTTACGGGCCTTTACCTTTCTGCCACTTGATTGCCTATCCCTGCGCGTAGGGTATTTTTTTTCCTGTCATACGCATCACTGAGGTTGTATTCTTCACATGCGAAAGCCCAATGACACCGTATATGAAGAGCTACTGAACATCGTTGATTATGAAATTGCTTGTGAACCTGTGCTATACTCCAAAATCAAGCGGAGTTCGAAGCCGGCTAACTCGGGAAATATTCGGTTTTCTTTCCTGCCAACCCTGGTGTACCCTCGCAGAGACTAGAACTCCTACTGTATCGTGTGCTGCATCCCCCCTGATATGCGATGGAATAATCCATGGCAGTGTCTAGGGAAGACTAGTTCCTTCCGGCGGCCCATTTTGACCTGATTGGAACATTTTCGCCTTCCATCTTCGAGTGCAACGCAAAGGAGTTACATATATTAGCCAGGCCAAATCTTATCGAGGTAATTAAAATACCAACGGTAACCGCTGATCGGGATCCCTATGTAGTTCCTGACGTTTTCCACTTGGCTACGCATATTTTAGTCGACAACAGTCATGACTTATCACCAAATTCGCATCCCCCTCCTTTGCTCTTCATGTCGTATACAACTGGTGTCGGTCCTGTGGATGACAATGGCACAGTGCTGTTCTTCACCGACAGCGGGCCAGTGCCGGGCTCGACCGACTATACTACTGTAGTCATCTTCCACGGTAGTGCTTTCACAGGCCGTAAGTTTTCCTTCTGATGCTCGATGTCGCGTACATCTCATTCTTTCGTCGTTTTAGACACCTTCCATAAGCTCCTCCCGATGGCGGGGGAAAATAATCTGCGTCTTGTCATCCTGAACAGACGTGACTATGCAGGTTCAACGAAGTATACCGATGAGGAACTCGCAGAGTTAAGGGAGGGAAAGACTGAGTTTTTACAACGCCTGGGATCCGAATCAGCATACTTCTTGGCTTGGTTTGTCAAGACTCACGACATTCCCAAGATCGGCACCGACGGGAAGTCTGGAGGATTGGCTACCGTTGGATGGAGTCTTGGTACTACGACGTGCGTTCACTTTTCGCTTAAGTTTTGCCATGATATTGATGTTGACTCCGTTTCAGTCCGCTTTCCATTCTCTCCCATCCGGAGGTTATACCCAGCGAGACCTACGACGCACTGGAGCCATACTTCCGACAGATGATCTTCTACGGCTAGTTCTCCCCTTCTATCCGGACGTTCAATTTTTCTCATATTTACGTCAGACCCACCCCATCTCGCTTTCGGATACGATCAACCCCCAGAAGGGTATAACCCATTCACCGATCCCGAGCTCAAGACGGCCGAAGAAATCTTTGCTAACTTTGGATACTGGGTCAGCACGTACTACGACCATCCGGATCTCGCGTCGCGTTCCCCCAGCGGGCTTGACTTCAGCAAACGTGGCACACGCCCGTCAATCGAGAACATGACACCAGATGACATGAAAGTCACGTTTGACGGCGAGGCGGCTGGAAGAATGGAGTTTCCCATGTAGGTCTCTATCGCCTCTTTCCTCGCCCTCGACTCATTAGCATTTTTTAAATTAGGTATTTCCCTCCGATGCAACCTACCATCAGGAAGCAGACCGAGACCGCGTTATACGATGAAGAAGCTATCAAGAAGATTCTCCCCAAGCTGGAAATCGTTCATCAGTTTTGTACCGCATCCAACTGGTACTGTGTGTGGGGATTCTTTGGGAACGAACTCTTCGCTCCCAAGCGGCCTATCCGCTTTATTGAAATCCCAGGAGCAAATCATTTCGTACGTCAACCCTCTTCATTATTCAGGTCCGGATTATATTTATATACACTCACAGGTCCACTGGGATGACCCCAAAGCGTATATGGAGGCGACGGTGAAAGGCCTTACGACATGATAGTTATTATGGTTCCTCAGTAAACAACATTTATGTATACTGATACCCTCAGTGGCGGGTGGCGAGTTGAATAGTGTATCATTCCCAATGTCCCTCAAATGACACGTATGAGTTTCAGCTCATTTGAAACGCTCGGTCCATGGGGAACTGATAGAAAAACAAGCTGCCCTTTCCCTGCTTTTGCATCTGCTACATGTTGATCCCAATTGGGTTTTCCCCGATACACCGATGCCGAAAACACACTGAACGTCCTAGGCACGACAAGATAGTTGACGGCGACTACAAGGGGAAGATTATCAGCCGGATGCGATTGCCTATACTCTTTCTTCAGAGTTTTGATATGATTAGGATTTTTCCTCATGTCGCACTGCACAAGGTACAAGAGGAAAGCGCCATCTCGTGGGTTCATAGGCGGCAGTAGTCCCTCCTTGAGCAAAACGAGATGAGTACTGCGTTTAGCTTGACGTATGTAGCCTTACTTTTTCGATTCTTTCTTATCCGAGTGCAGATCTCTCGATGCTCGTTGTTCCATGCGTCCTTCTGGCAGAGCCTGGAACAGTAAAATGTTTAGTAACAGCCTGCGCACCTCTTGAGTGGAGGAAGCGTAGCTTCAGGGGTTACTTGCGGAGGCAGAGTACACTGAAATTATTCTCAGACGGGCTAGCCCAAAAACCTCGCGAAAATAACGCACCTCCGCATTCATGCACTCCGCTTTGTCTCGCCAAAGATAATGTTTCCTCATTTCCATACGAGTCGCTATGACCTTCTTCAACCTTGTCCACGCTTCCCAGAGCCTGGGCGCGCCCTTCTCAATACCCTTCTCTATCGACAACGGGTGCCATTCGACCTCTGTTACAGCTCTAGTGGCCTGCCGTAGAACTGCCCGAATAATAGAATGACAGTTGACCTCGTTCAAGAGATGTACCAGTACATCATTGAGCGTGTTACCTGTCGTGCGATCAGGCGTATGTCCTCCTCCCGCGAGCATAAAGTACGGTTGACATTTCATGATGGATAAGAGCAGATGGTCCTGAAGAGCCTCTGCTACCCATGTGAATTGATCCGTGAACGCTCCGGAGAGATAGGACGCACAAAGCGAGATGATGCCTTTTGACGTCTCAAAGTCATCCATCGTCATCGATAGCACGAGCTTCCGAGACGATAGACGTCGTAGAAGTTGACAAGTCCACCTGACACCGTCGGCAGCCAGAAAGGCCCGCTTGACAGGCGGAGAATTGGCGGAAAAATTGAACATGGTCATCATGCAGCGCTTGAGCACGTAGTAATCCGGTTCTCGGGAGTGTATTTGGAGGATGAGACGTCCGAGGCAGGGATTAGCCACGCTGATGGATGTCGTACGAAGGACTTGATCAAAATCATTGAGCCAGGGCTCGTTGGTATCGAATGTCATATTCTGGACGGCGCGTCCCGTAGCTTGGGCCATGTTCAGGTCGTTTGCAGAGGTGAGAATCCAGACTTCCGTGATGACACGCATGAAATCTGGAAAGTGGCCCAATATCTGAACGAATGAGGGTATTTCAGAGAGGTCGGCAATGAGTCTCATCGTGTTGAACGTGAGCTCATCCTCTGCAGAGTCGAACTCGGGTAGCGCGTCCGCTTTGTCGAGAAGGTAGAATTTCATGAAGTACATGAACCACGAAAGGACATTAGGCAGGACCTCAGAGATCTGAGGAATTAGATCAGGCCGCAGCGGAGTTTTGTTTTTGATCTGGAACCCGAGTGCAATGGCTTTGAGGCAAGATCTGGCGACGATGATAGACTGATGAGGCTGATCCGGATCAAGCCACGAATTAGGAACGCTGGTATTACGAAGACGATATCGAAAAACGGAGAAAATTTGGGGAAAGGTGTTTTCGTCGTCTTCAACGATGGACACGAGACGCTCTAATGCTGGTAACGAGCCCTCTTTGGCTATTTTCTAACAAAGAGTTCAATTCCGTATGAGAATCAAGCATGAGATACCAGAAGAATACCAGCCTTGATGGTGGTGTACGCCATCCAGATATTTGAGAGTTTCGTAGTTTAGTAAAACCTAGGAGCGAGAAATCTTCAATGTGGATACAAGTGAAAAAACATCATCACGTAAGGTTGCATTGGGGAAACGAACAGCGGTACCGTGAAATGCAAATGATGGTAAACATTTTGATGGAAGCGGGGTCGAGACACGGTCACCGGCTAATGACTTGATGCGCGTTCTTTTAACGTTGTTTCTCTGGGAGATGGAGGTTTAAAATAAATTCATTGTGAGGCCTCCCCGATCGGAGGAACCTTGGAATAATCTAAAATAGTGGGCACTTGGCACAGTGGTAGCGCGCACGCTTCGCATGCGTGAGGTCGTGGGTTCAAATCCCATAGTGTCCAGATATGTTTTCCCTCTGCCTGGGATTGTTTTTTAATGCTCTGAACTGCGGCTTCTCTGAGGACTGAGGACTGCACAACGCAGAATGTTGTGTCCCAGCTTTTGATACACCACAAGGTTAGGGTTGCACATGAAACCCTAGGTTTTGATACACCAGAGTTTCAGGCCGGTAAGTTACCAGTTATTTACTGGTATTTTACCTCCCCTCCCTGTAGGGTTTTTTGTCGAGGTAACTTACCTGTCATGTGACAGCTAGTTGAGCACAATAATTCAATGATATTATATGTATACTTCAATTTACAAGGTACATTGACAGATGAGGGATCTTGATAAATAAATTACAAACCCTTATGTCAAAAACATGTTTAAAAACATGAAGATGCGAGTTTTGGAAAATTTCTGCAACTGTGGCACATCAGTCATGTGATAGGTAAGTAAGGGTAAAATACCGTATCAAAACACCCCCCTTGGGGAGGGGTTGGTGTAAAACCATATCTTACCCTCCCCTGGAGGTTTCGGGCGCAGCGCTACACAAGGTCAAGAATCTGTGCAAAACGAGAAGACAAAATTCTGAGAAAAACGGTGGAGTCAGGCTGGCATAACGACACCAGCAGGATTTGAACCTGCGCACTCAGAGAGTAATAGAAGAACGCGAATTCGAATCTATCGCCGTAACCACTTGGCTATAGTGCCGTCTCACGGTGAGGTTCTCTATAAATATCTAATCCAAATAAGCCTAAATAATAGAAAAGGGCCTAGCCCTTCGACAACGCTCTCCCCTTTACCACATACTGATCAACTGCAATCCTGGCTCATATTTCTCTAATTACTACGGCACTGTCTCAGTAAAGGCGAATTGCTTTGGCTTCTCTCACGTAGTCTGCAGACTGGTTTGCGCAGCACGCTACAACCGATTGGTATCTTTCACCACCGGAGTTATTCATCCATCTATGTCCACCGGTTCCTACGAAACGCCTCTTCGAACTTCGCTACTCCATGTTTCATCATATATGGGTTGATTGCTGGTCCTTCACACGATACATCTCTGGTCCGATTACCAGATGCTACTAGCGGAGTAATATCGCAACAAGAGTAATCATGTGCCCTGATGGACCGAAGTTTACATGGGATCATCATTCGTACGCGCAAAGTGGCAAAGCAAAAGGCTACAGCATAAACTATTTCCATGTTCTTTATTTCAAGTCAGGGACCAACAGACCGAGATCGATTAGTGCGCCCTCACTCTTCAAGGCAGCCTCGATAAAAGCGACATCCTTCAGAGCTCCTACCGGATTTCCAAATGGTTCAACGCCTTCCTTACCGTTTGTCGCGTTGAAAAAGCTACCCAACTCAACTTCAACGCCTCTCATTCTCTCTTCCACGACCGTTTCCTTCTTCTCCGTCGTGAGAACAGCTTTGACGAATCCCCCTTCCATAGAAATTGACACATATCCTTTTGTCCCTGTAACAACGTATGCATCCTTCGCCGAGACTGGCTTGGACACTGTTGGAAACGCAAAAGACATCTCGATGGTGCCATTGTAATGCTCCGAGGCCTTGGCGATGGCGTGGATCGTGTCATGAGGCGCGAGATAATCCTTGTTAAGCGAAGCAAAACTTGAGAGGTGTGTAATGGGCTGAGGAAGCAGAACGCGCAACACGGCGATAGTATGCTACAACGTGGAGCGTGAGTATCCGTTTTTCTCTGAATGCAAGTCAATATACTCACGACGCCGCCATCCAACTGACAGCCGGGGACATTAGAACTTGCAGAACCACGGAAGAAAAGCACGCACTAGAAAGCCTCCTTGATACTACAAGCCAATTGTCCGTCAAGAAGGCAGGCAAGCAATGAAAGACCGGCGTACCTCAGGCACAGTTCTCCACGGTGTCTTGTAATACTTGGAGTCCTTGTCTACGTAATTCAAAACGCAAGCTTTGAACCCTATAACCTTACCAATCGCTCCATTGCCAATAAGTTTCCCAACCTCCTGGATCCCCGGTTCCACTTCGTAATTCTCCGCGACTCGCCACACGAGCCCCTTCCCTTGGAACTCGGACCGATATTGTTTGATCAGAGTAACCCCGCTTGCGACATCAGGGGCAACCGGTTTCTCGCTCAAGACATGCTTGCCTGCTTTCAGTGCCTTGAGGATCACTGATGGCTGCAGAGGAATGGGCAAGACGAGAAGAACCGAGGCTATATCCTCCCGCGCCAGAACAGCGTCCATTCCTCCGCCGTTTTCGCCGTCGTGGTAAACATCCGGCGCAGGGATGCTCAAGGCTTTACCAACGGCAGTCGAGAGACTCTCGGCGCTCTTAGCAGAGCGTGAGTACACGGCTTTGAGTGGGGGCGCAGCCTCTCCTAGAGCTGCGAGGGCCGGTATGTATGCTACATGCGGGGGAAAGGTGAAATATCGGATGTGATATTGTAAGCGAACGGTTAGATATCTCAAGATATGAGCTTACCTTCAGTTGCGAAGATACCGGCACCGAAGATCGCAAAGCCTTGTCTCGCTGGTGGAGTCATCGTCGCGAGGCCAATCTTGACTGCGGGTTCTTGTAAGCCTGGTGCTTGAGAAAATCTGGAGCAACGCTGGAGAGGGAAGTGGGAACCAATCACGTGCTCGCCGATAATTCTCCGCAAGAATAACACGCCCCCTGCCTCTTCATCAAAAGTCTTTCTTCATCTGGTTGGTACCAAGAAGATGAGATGGAAACAAAGCGATTCAGGGCTGAATCTCAATAAGATCTGTATGCGAGCCATTGTCTTTTCCCGAGCATCCGGCAAATCTCCTTTACCTTTTCGCAGCGTCATCTTCCCCTACGGAGTATTCTCGGAGGGCGTGTCAATACTCTTTCTCTGATATCGGTAAATGATGTAGGTGGACAGGATATAAAGGACAGCGCGATGGCGTTTTGAAAATGGTCCTCTTACAATGACAGCTCCTTCCATAAACAAGCTGCCTAAAGATTTTCTGTGGGGTTTCGCAACGGGTATGTTCAGTCCTAGTCGGTGTGTTACGTTACTAAAACGTATTTGCTCTGGGTTAGCGTCATTCCAGATCGAAGGTTCTACGTCTGTTGATGGGCGCGGTCCTTCCATTTGGGACGACTTTGCCAAGACACCAGGCAAGACGCTTGACGGACGCGATGGTGAAGTTGCCACGGATTCATACCGTCTGTGGAAAGAGGATGTAGCGCTACTGGTCGAGTACGGCGTCAAAGCCTACCGTTTCTCTATCTCCTGGAGTCGAGTGATTCCTTTAGGCGGCAGGGATGATCCGATTAACGCGAAGGGCATCGAGTTCTATAACAATTTGATTAACGAGTTGTTAAGGAATGGAATTGTTCCGTTCGTCGTATGTGACATTTTGGGTGTCGTTGAGAGATGGTGACTAATGCTTATTTTCTAGACGCTGTATCATTGGGACCTCCCTCAAGGTTTGCATGACCGCTATGGCGGATGGCTCAATCAGGCGGAGATTACGAAGGATTATGCCCGGTACGCTAGGGTGTGCTTCGAAGCATTTGGCGATCGCGTGAAATACTGGTGCGCAATTTTCTAAAATTTCCATCTCTACTCAGCACAACCGCTACAGGCTTACTATAAACGAGCCCTGGTGTGTCTCTGTTCTAGGATATGGCCGAGGGGTTTTCGCTCCCGGAAGATCCAGTGACCGCGAACGCTCAGCCGAGGGTGATTCTAGCCGAGAGCCGTGGATGTAGGTCTTCAGCATATATATCAGTTTACCCTCGTTCAAACCTATTCAGTGTTGGCCATAATGTACTTCTCTCCCACGCTGCAGCTGTGAAGCTCTACAGGGAAGAATTCAAGCCGAATCAGGGCGGTCAAATTGGAATAACTCTCAATGGTGACTGGCAGATGCCTTGGGATGACAGTCCTGAAAGTGAGTCTTATTCTAGTAAAACCGTGCATGCTTATCTTCTTTTCTGTCGGTCAGATGTGGACGCAGCTCAGCATGCCCTTGACACCGCCATAGGATGGTTCGCCGACCCAATTTACCTGGGCCATTACCCACCGTACCTGCGTCAGATGCTTGGGGATCGTCTTCCAGACTTTACGGATGAAGAGATCCGGTTGGTCCAAGGGTCATCAGATTTCTATGGGATGAATACATATACAACAAATTTGTGCCGTCAGTCGCCCTCTTTCCTTGTTTGGGTGACGAAGAACTGAATGATATCAGGGGCGGGCGGAGACGACGAGTTTCAGGGATTGGTCGATTACACTTTCACGAGACCAGATGGGTCGCAGCTGGGAACTCAAGCACATTGTGCGTGGTTACAAGATTGTAGGCACCGTCTTCTTTTTTTCCATTAGTGCGTGTCGATGATTCCAACGTTCTCAGACCCGCAAGGATTCCGATCTGTAAGTCGTCATTTATTCGCAGATGAATATACTCCATCTCATGACCATCAAGTTACTCAGTTATCTATGGAATGTACGTACTCTTTTAAATAATACTCCCGTTTTGTGCATTGAAGATCCGTCAAGCGGTACCACATGCCCATATAGTACTGTTTCTCTCTTTCTTTTTGTTGGATTTCCTGTTCACGTGTCTCAGCCTCACAGAAAACGGGTTCGCCGTCAAAGATGAAGATGCTATGCCTTTAGAGCAAGCGTTGCTAGACCACGACCGGGTTCAGTACTTCCGCGGAACAACATCGGCACTTCTGGCTGCTATTCATGAGGATGGTGTAGATATACGAGCGTATTTCCCTTGGAGTAAGTCCTTTCTGAGCCTTGTATCAACCTTCTGACAACGTTCCACGATAAGGCTTCCTGGACAATTTCGAATGGGCTGATGGGTACATCACGCGCTTTGGAGTGACATATGTGGATTACAATACGCAAGAACGGTTCCCAAAGGAGTCTGCAAAAGAGCTTGTGAGGGTACGGTATCTTACAAAGAACGCCTGTTGCCCTACTGACCTGCTCCAAGTGGTTCAAAGAACATTCATCGGACGAAGATACGTTGACGTCGAAAGCTGGCAGTGTCAAGTCGAACGTGAACGTTAAGGCTTCTAGTATCAACGTTACGGCGAGTCCTGACACGCTGCCGAAGCCGAAGTCACTGATGAGCAGGATTAAGGCGTATGTGGCACGATGGGTTGATGCCATCGTGCGCTTGGTTCAGGTGAATCGTAAATGAAGCTCTTTCTTGTTTTTCTCACAGATGTACTCTTATTTACCCTTGAATTTTGATACCTTCACATCATGCAACCTGGAGTAATCTGCAATTTCACCTATGTCCTCAATTCCGCAGTACCTCATATATTGATTTTTCAATAGGAAATACAGGGCCCTTGGCACAGTTGGTAGCGCGCCCGCTTCGCATTGTTTGGTGACTGCGTGAGGTCGTGGGTTCAATTCCCACAGTGTCCATTACTTTTTTTTTAGTCTCACCTCACAAGAACCTATTTCATCTGATTCAAGTTTGTCATTTTCAGGCCGTTTAATGTTGACTACAACGAAGTCTGGCCTTTCAGCTCCAGAAACATGATAATAGTATCAGGAGAAGCGATGAGAGTGGAGTACATCACGTGTGGCTTGTTTATAACTCATCAACTTCGAAGTTCGCTGGCGGCTTTAGACCTCTGCTTGAACTCTCATCGACAAAGATATGCGCGGACTGGACCAACTGTCTGCGTTCACTTTGCAGTTTCTCTCATCATTTCAGGTTCACTCAGCTCCTGAAGTCCGGCTTCCTGGTTCTACATTCATTGGAAAGGAAATCCTTTTCGATGGAGCTCATCAAGAGTTCTTTGGGGGTGCGTTGTAATGATCTGATTACTGGGTTACCCTTGGTTGTAAAGACTTTGAACCAAACGAAGTACTAATCGATATCCACACTCAATACCAGGCATACCATACGCAGAGCCACCAGTCGGCCCATTGCGACTGAAAGCTCCGGTTGCGAAGACGGATATCCAAGCTAAACATAATATCATTGACGCAAGTGAATACGGATACTCGTGCATACAACCTGTGAGCTTCAGACCTTCGTACAAGTAGACTGCAACTCAGACAATTGGTTGAACTTTGCAGGGTATCGAAGAGCACATGGTATCTGAAGACTGCCTGACTGTTAACATTCTTCGTCCTGCGGTTCTTCCCGAGAACGCTTCGTTACCAGTGATGTTCTGGTACCTGGACCTCTTTCTTGTTCGGAATCATTCTGACTAGGCGCTTCGACACAGGACGTACGGTGGCGGCTTCAGCGCAGGAACGTCATCCTTCTATAACGGCAGTGCTATTGTCGCCAGAAGTATCGCCAGAGTATAATGGTTTTACATGAGGCTTCGTCCGTCATTGCTGACGAGTAAAACAACTATAGGGCACGCCTATCATCTATGTAGACTTCAACTACCGCCTTGGACCTTTAGGTTTCCCGCAAGGAAGCGAGGCTGCTTCAAGAAGATATCTGAATCTCGGAATGAAGGATCAGATGATGGCGCTGGAATGGATCAACAAAAATATTATGCATTTCGGTGGGGACAACAAAAAGGTAAATCTGCAGCCTCCTAGCTGCAAGGTCTGACCAAGGTCGGCCAGGTGACCATCTTTGGGCAGAGCGCGGGAGGAGTTATGATATCTGTCCTTCTCTTGCAACCACACATCTCAAACCTGGCAGCTGGTGCGGTACGAAACCGCTCGAACTGAGGAGTAAACCTTTCATGACTAAAGATACGCTAGATTATTCAATCAGGAGCGGCGGCAGCTCTTCCCTTCTTCCCCGCGGAGCGTAACGAACAGGTTTGGAATACCTTTGTCTCGTTCGTTCCAGGATGCAGCTCCTGGGTCGGGACCTCGTTCTCAGTGAATTGTCTACGTAAAGCTAATTCGTCCGCCATTATGGAAGGCATGCGGGAATTATACAAAGATCCTAGAGCAAGCAATGAGCTCTGGTTCTCTCCGAATGTCGACGGCGAAGGGGGACTGGTTCCCGATCTCCCGAGCCGACTTCTCGACAATATTCGACTCCCCTTTATCGCTGGCACTGATTTAGACGAAGGCAAGTGCTATGCAACAATGAACAGACACGCAATAACTTATATTTCAGGGACTATATTCGTTCCTTCCGATCGTGATCTTTCCGAGGATGGAATCAAGGATATTATCAATGAATTTTATGGGCCGCCTATGATACCCTCTGCCGTTATGGATGATTTGATGATGCTTTATCCTGACGACCCTGCTCTAGGATCACCATATGGGACCGGGAACGATACGTTTGGCTTTTCATCTGGCTACAAAAGGATGGCCGCCATGAGTTCGATTCCTCTTTCGATATGTAGCCCTATGATCTAATCATTGCGTTTATTAGATGGCGACCTGATGTTTGATAGTCAACGGCGCATGATCTTGCAGCACGCGGCGAATAACCGTGTTAAGACATTCGGGTATCTGTTTTCTTGTGGTTTGCCTACCTTTTCACCTCAGTCCGGAGGTTTGTTGGCCGTACTTCTTGGCAAGCTGTGCTAGATATTAACTATTCATTTAAGTGCTGCATTCTGCAGAGATTTCTTTCGTATTTGGCGGGTTAGGAATTTGGGAGGATCGTATGAAAGGAGCTTCGGCTGCCCAATGGAAACTGAGTGAAACCATGCTTGATTATTGGATCTCATTTGCGACATCTTTGGATCCCAACGATGGGTTGGGTCATGCTCGTTCGTGCTATTCTTGTCTGTGTCTTGCGTAACTCGTCCTTATGATGGACGTCCCACTTAGGTCCAATCTGGCCGCAGTATTTGCCAACCAGCGAGGTACACCTTATTTGAGATAAAATATCAATTGAGCTGACGGGCTTCCCTGATTAGGTTTTATTACAGTTTGAGTGCAACAATACGACTGTTGTCGCAGATGATTATCGGCGGGAGCAAATCGATTATATCAATTCTAAGGCTCATGTATTCCATCACTGAATTCATATCGTAGCAAGTTTCGGCGGAGAGCAGTTTAGAGGTCAAATACTGTAACTGTGGTATTGGTAGTCCAAACATTGCTGTCTACATGCAAAAAGTATAATACTGGGTTGAGTCCATGGGCAAATAAACATCTGACATATAATAAACACGCGAAGACGAAGAAACATGAAAATATCGAATATAAGTTGGCCAGTTAAAAGGGAGTAAGATTTTTTCCCCTCAAAAATGAGGGATAGAATTAAAACCGGATTACCGGTAGTTAGGTAAGTAAGTAGGCTGGGATTTAAATGGTGGGGGGTGGACGCCACTTGCATTGTAGAGGGGACACAAATCGTTCCAGGCTAAAGCGACGAGTTGAACATTCAGAACAAATATAAAATCGATTGTAGCTCTGGGCTTACCTGGTACAGGATGGATAGCACTGCTAACATTCTTGATTCCCTCAGCTAGGACGACGGCTAAGCCACTATAACAGTAACAGTGTCAGTCAAAGTACGGATTTGGACACAGGGTACTCACGCGTTAAGGTGAAAGTCGATATGACTGGCGTTGGAGTTGTCAATAGATGTTCGAATGATATCCACAGATGCGCGTACCAGTGCAAGAACCAAGGTCCGGTATTGTCTGTCACGAATCGAATTGTCGTGGTTCTCTGCTGGATTACTCCGGTTGTATCTCGACGAACCTATGACATGGAGGACATAGCCATCAGCACCGGGAATCAATCAGTGATTTCATCGTACGAACCGGATCAACGAAATTGTATACATCACTATCGGCGCTCTTCACCACATCGAACGCATGCTGAAACACTTGTTAGCACAGGACAAATTCTGATAGCCAGGGGAACATGCTCACTCCATGAAGGTGGAAGGGGTGCTGGATGAGCGTGAGCATACATAAGTAGACTAGACGTGAGAAACACTCACGGGATCCCCCAGTGCGTGGTGCCCAAAGAGATTGATTTCGATGACCTTTCCCAGGGGTAAACCGAAAACACTTCCCTGCGGAAGCAGATCCTGTGCGCGCTGAGCGCCACTAAGGATTTGGAGCAGCACAGGAACAGTGGGAGGAACGAATCGCACGCCGTTCATGAAGAAGAGCCCACCATCAAATCCGAGAGTGAAATTAAGCACAAGATCTGCGCCGTTTGGAACAGGTCTTCCCGGTGCGCCAGGAGATTCTAGTGGATGCAGATCGACTTCGAGAAGTGGGACAATGTTTGTCTGGATGGAGGTTGTGGGCTCCGCGTCTGGAGCGCCTTCATAACGAAGAATCGCCGAATTAATACCGCCCTCGAATCCTTGGGGACCAGCAGCGTCCGGCTCGGCGCGAATCCAATAGTTGTCTATTGGCTGACTTGCCTCCAAGATGACTGAATACCTTTGGGCGGCCAATATTTGAATTGAGTTTACCGTCAGCGGCTGTGTATTGATGCCGTCAACCTCGATGATAGTAAGGTTATGTCCGTCGATTGAAAAGGTAAAGTTGGGGTCACAAGAGATGGAAATGAGTCGGAATCGATAGCGCTTGTTAGGAGAGACAGTGATCACAGCGAGTGGGGCTGTGGGCTGTGAGCATAGCTTGTTAGCGATTCTGGAAGTTCAAAAATAGGGAGTGGCACTGACGTCCTCAAAGAATCGGCCCATTCCATTGATCAAGGTAGAATTCGCGAAGGGAGGGAGCAGAGTTTCGGCTACCTGCATAGCGGTAGGATGGTACCTAAACGGGCCTGAATAAAAAGCTCTCGGGAATAAGATGAGAAACTCACCAGTCCGCCAGAGTAATTATAGTTGTTTCTGAAACTTTGTCAATACTAAAATTATCGTAGGAGAAAAAAATAGACCTGCCATCGTCTACATCGTATAAAGCCCGGTAAGGATCGTTTGCGCCATTTGGACCGTCATACACCACCAGCGGGCCCCTGAGCCCTTCACAGTATTGAACTCCGATATGTGAGTGATACCAAAACGTTCCGGCTTGTTCCGGGACGCTGAAATCGTATTGGAATGAATGCCCTGGTGTGATGGGGCACTGCGTCACAGAACTAGTGCCGTCCTCGTAGTTTGTTCCATGCTGAAATATACCGTGCCAGTGCTACGGAGAATGAATGAACATATACACAGCAATTTGAACCTTAGCACTTACAATGCTGGTGTCGATAGCCATACTTGTATCGGTCAAATCGTTGATTACATTGATATGAAATTGATCTCCCTGAAGAGGACGTCAGACCTTATTACAATGGATCAGAAGTGCCCGACCTTGTTCCCGCTGATCAGGGGACCCGGGAATGTCCCACCTGCAAGTACAGTCCTGCAATAAACTTGAATGAGGACGATTTCAGCGAGCGAAAAGATTTATTCCTCACGAACGGGTGACGCCATCGGGCGCGAGATTCTTGTTAACGACATGAAGATCGCCAGAAGATCCAAACACTTCAAGTGACCTAACCGAGTGGAATGACAGAATAAGGCTCAAGAGAAGAATATACATTAGTCGCGAGAAAGAGAAGGGAAATATTAATGGAAAGGAAAGTGGGTTGTGAAGTGAGTGCTCGAGAAGCATACACCATGAGGCATTTATACTCTGCCGGGCGACTTAGCTTCCCGTTTGGTGTGGCGCGATGCCTGTGGGGGCTAAAAACGACCTTAAAACATGTTTCTGCGCGTCTAGTAGTGCCTTCGAGAATATACAGGACGGATAAAGCTGTTGATGCGAAATAGCGAGCGTATTCAGTCATCCCGGTTTTTGGGATTTTGAGCGGAAAGGACGCGTACCATGTCCTTATGATGCGTTGATGCGCTGACACAACTAGGTAACAGCTTTACGAAACGAAGGTATGAAACATTATAAGCTATGCAATAAGGAAGCGCGCGCACCGGATAAGATAAATATAGGTTCCTCAGCGACGATGCAAGTGCTTGAGCTGAAGTATCGGGGTAATGAAGGAGTCACTCTTGGGTTTACGTCACAGAATGGCAGTTTATCGCCGACAACGGGAACTAGTACTATGAGTCGCGCGTAGCAATGGTGATGGTGGTGCCGTAGTATGTCGCTTGACAGATGCTCTTGGATATCGATAGAGATTCTTATCGCTCTTGCATGCTGTTAAATAATGTCATAAGTAAACGTATGGTCTGAGCATCCGGGACCGAATGGAAGCGATGCATGCTTAGGCGGGTCTTGAATACGGCACTCAGTTAGCACTTTGTGGCTGAGAGAGAAAGTCTAACTGTACCTGATATCGGGTGGTTTTCTCCTGCTCCCGTGACCGCTTGGGCCTGTGCCTCCCGTGAAGCGGAATGACGATAAGGTTGACACATCATCGGTAACAAAATGTGTGGTATATTGAGTGATATGTACCCAAATACGTCGAGGTCAGATCGTGGATCATCGACATCTCGAATTCCGACTCAATTATAACGTACGTCGTTTCATGATGTATATGTCTGAGTGGAACACTTGAAACGCACAATCGCGTTGCGGTGGTTGGAACGCTACGGTCTAGTCGGCGTGGAAAGGGAGTACGCCTGACACCGAAGCCAAGACGACGGTCCATTAGGAAGAATTCAGAATTCGGCATGCTATGTATGCAAAGCCAAAAGACACGCGTCGAGAGAATAAATATCGTCCTGGCAACGCAGCTAGTGACTCGGACAGCTAGTGGCTCGGACAATCGTTCACTACAGGAAGGCTGTGTCGATCCACTTCATGTGTCTATGGAATCCAGGGCATACCACGAAATAGTCCATCCTCTGGACCACGCGAAGCGATATGGTCATAACTGTCACCCAGTATTTCTGCTCCATATCGAACTATCATGCCTCTCTCTGAAAGCTCGTCCCACTGTTAACGAGCAGTTTCGTCAATGACAAAACGTTCGTCCAACCGTAAAACTCGAAGGTGGCCGCTAGTCGAAGAGGCGATACCATTCGTCATTGTCCACCTGGCACGCATTGCCGAAGGACAAAGCCGCGACTCTAGCATAGCGACAAAACATAGGGCTTTTGAAGCTCAACTGTGGAACCACGGAAGTCAAGGCATGTTAGCCATGAGACACTATTGAGGAAAACTAGAATGTTGTGAATGTCGACGGAAGAGAGACGGAAACGGAACGTGAGCTGCAGAATTGTTATCTTGCTAGTGTTGGTACCCGTGGGGTAAATAATAGAAGGAAGTTGTACTTGGTTTGTGGGGTTAGAATATGCGAGCCTTAATTCCGGCAAGGACGGTAACGACAAAGCGGAAATGCATTGGGACAGCGACCCTGCAACTGCGGAGTAGCCCTCCTCGAGGGTTAAGTTCTGCAATCGAGGAAGATGAACACGTCCTGACGCAGGGATAGTCGAATCTCTGTCACGAAAGAGGCGCATACTCTCTAGAAGAGGCATCTTCGTCAGCGCATGCAAATGTGGCGTCTCGATGATGTGTTTGCTGTCTGGACTATCTGGCCCATCGTATATGGTGACCTGAGACCACGGTAGACTGAAAACTTGCAAGGGATCACCGACGTGAGAAAATGCGACATGTGTGAGTTTTGGAGACTGCTCAAAAGCATTGAGTAAAGGGGGTGCAGGGTTAATGTAGCCGTCTCCGTCATTGAAGTCGATATGAAGATAGCGCAGGATCCCGAACGATCCTTCAAAGAAGGAGAAGGATAGTATTTGGATTGTTCTCGACGGAACTGCGAGCACCACGACGTCTCTCTGCTAGTAGAACGAAGGAGAGATAGGGCAGAATGAGGGATGTCATTTTCTGAGCAAACGGCGAGTGTTAATTCGAGATTCTTGGACCTTTTGATATAACACCTCAACATCGACGTAAATCCCCATGTACGGCCTGTCCACATTGGAAAGATCAGGCTGATGCAAGACCAGAGCTTTGCGGTATTCGTTACGATGTCCCTCCATCTATGACAAACATGGGATATGACCCAAAGTCCTTAAAGAAGGTCCGTTCAATCGACGCTGAAATTAGAAAAGAGGCATTGCACTGGCGATTCAACCCATGCGGAGAAGATTTCTCCGAGCACGTCCGTCGGAAGGCGACGAATTGGATGTAGCAGATTTGTGGCAATAGCAATATTGTCACCTACTTTGGTTCTCTCTTGAAACAGCTGTTGATGTCAGCAATTTTAGCGTCAAGATCTGATAGCAGTGGCGTGCATTGATTCACAGCATCTCGAAGAGAAGCTTCTTCGGACTTGGGAGGTGGTTCATTGTTTGAAAGCAGCTGTTCAATACGAGGGATGTGAAGTGGGGCACGGCGGTTACTCGAAGGTTCCTTGCGCCACAAGTAGGGCAATAGTGGTCATTTGGCATCGAATTTGAGACCATCTATAAGCCACGGGTAAGCCAAAGACCTGAACAAACAAGCAGAATCAGAAGTGAATAACCTAGTCCTATGGATGTATGTTGCGAGAATTGGCGTGTACCTTGATGCTGAATTGCTGATCGAGGGAAGCACTGGAAACGCGGGTTACGTTTAAAAAAATCCTCCTGGAACACGTATCAATGAGCCTACCCAGAAAAAATGAGCGCTATACCATTCCTCCTTGGGATTTTCAACACCTTCGTATTTATAGAGTAGCAGAGGAGTGAATGTGGTAGTGTAGAGCTAAGCTAAGAAGAAAACTGCAATGCTGCCGAAGCCCGAGCTAAATGCACGTGACTTAGAGGTAGGCGGGCCGGGGAACCGTTCTTTGGCCAATAGAGAGATTCGTATCCCCTTTGCATAAGCTAAGGGATAGTATTCATTAATGTCGGTGAGAAAGACGGACCATAAGCGTATGGTCGTGTCGCGCATCACTGCAGTCGACAGTCCTGAGGCAACACCGGGATCTTCGGTTGTCAGGCAAGGAGACGTTGTTCTTCTCCTCGGAATTGTTTACTACGTAGTATTATTTCCATTAGTGTACAGTTGTAGATAAATAGCTAGACAAATGATGATGACCCTCGCCTGTTTGCAAGGGTTCCCTGTCATATCCGGGTTAACAGCTGGAATATTACCGCTCTTGTACCGCTCATCTCAACACCGGCGGGGTCTCGAATACTGCTGGTACTCAGTTGGTACTTTATGGCTGAGGGAGGAAACGAGAATTGTCGCTGACATTGAGCGCTTTGTGCTGTGATCTTACAGCCGCTTAAGACCGTAGATCCTGTTAAGCGGAATGTCGGCATGGTTCACACAACGTCGGTAAAAAGATGTATTTATTCAATGCTATGTGCCGGAATATTACGAGGTAAGGTCGTGGATGGTCGACGTCTAGAAGCTTGACCGCATTATAACGTACATCGTTTCATAATGTATATGAGTGGAATACTTGAAACATACAGTCGCGTTGCAGTAGTTAGAACTACGGTCTAGTCGGCGTGTGAAGGGGATTATACCTAGCATTGACGGCTATACGGTGGTCAGCCAGGAAGAGTCGATAATTGGAGGCGCCATGTTTGCAAATAAGAAAGAGATATATGGAGAGAATTAAAGTTGTCCTGGAAACACAGCTAGTGGCTCGGATATTTGTCCACTCCGGGAAGGCGTCTACGGAATCCACGGCATACCACGGAATAGTTGATCCTCTCGACCACGCGAAGCGATATGGTCATAACTGTCACCTAGCCCTTCTGCTCCATATCGAACTACCAGGCCTCCCTGCGAAAGGTCATCCCACCGTTGAAGATCAGCCTCGTCGATGGCAGGACGTTCGTCCAACCGTAATTCTCGAAGGTGCTCTCCGGCCGAGGTGACGCTATTTGTCATGACATCCGTTGGTGAAGGAGGAAGTCGCGACTCAAGCATGGCGATAAAGTATGTGGGCTCGTCAAGCTCAAGTGTAGAACCACGGAAGTCAAGGCATCTTAGCGATGGTAAGATGTCTTGATTATCACGACGACGAGCCAACCCATCTATGACGGTGTCTGTGACACCCTCAGCCTGAATCATTAGATGTATCACCGTAGGGAGATCCGCGAGAAAAATCAGGATGCTGTGGATGATAGTCGAAGATAGCTTGAAATAGAATGTGAGCTGCAGAGTGGTTATCCTGCGAGCATCGATGCCCATGGGGGTGGATAGCAAATGGTAATCGCACTTCGGTCGTGGAGTTGGCGTATCCGAGCCTTAATTCCGTCAAGGATGGCAACGACAAAGCGGAAATGCATTGAGACAAGGACCCTGCGGCTGCGGAGTGACCTTCCTCGAGGGTTAAGTTCTGCAGCCGAGGAAGATGAACACGTCCTGATGCAGGAATGGTAGAATGCTTGTCACAATAGAGGCGCGCGCTCTCCAGAAGAGGCATCTTCGTCAGCACATGCAAATGTGGTGTCTCGATGATATGTTCGTCGTCTGGACTATCTGGCCCATCGTATGCGGTGATCTGAGACCACGGTAGACTGAAAATTTGCAAGGGATCACCGACGTGAGAAAATGCGATGTGTGTGAGTTTTGGAGAGTATTCAAATGCGTCGAGTAAGGGATCCAAGGAAAAGATGTATTCGTCTGCGTCATTGAACCCGATGTGGAGATATCGCAGATTCCTGAACGACCCTTTACAGAAGGATAACGTCCGGATTGTTTCAGATGGAGCGACAAGCGCGACGTCTTTCCATCGATGGCACGTAGAAAGAACGAGGGCGAGGGCAGAATGATCCGTGATGTCATATTCTGTATACACGGCGAGAGTTAACTCGAGGTTCCTGGACCTTTCGATATAACACCCCAACATCAATGTAAATCCCAAGGTACGGGTTGTGGGTGCTGAAAAAAACAAGCTCATGCAACACCAGAGCCTGGCAGTATTTATAGCAATGTCCCTCCATCTACGGCAAACATGAGATACGGCCCACGGTCCTTGAAGCAAATCCATTGAATCGACAATGAAATTAGAAAAGAGGCACTGCACTGGCGATTCTACACATGCTAAGAAGGTTTCTCTGAGCACGTCCGTTGGAAGGCGACGAATAGGATGTAGAATTTTTTTCGCAATAGTGAGGTTATCGGCTGCCTCGGATCTCTCTCGAAGTAGCTGCTGTAGAATATGGAATACAAGACTGGTACGCTCAATTTCAAATGAGATCAGTACCTTAATACCCTGGATACCTCTATATTACTTCATATAGAGATATATTTTTTATATGTAATCAATATTACTATTTTAAGATACCTCTTTGTATATCTAAATATAGTTGACATGCATAATATGACACTGCTCTGCTAGAATACTTGCATGATCTGCAGGGATTTTTTGCATTCAGATTTCCCTGTAATCAAGTGTGTCAAACAATAGTGTCAATAGTGGTATCGAGGTGTAGGATGGGTGGGTAGTGAAAACTAAGCTTATCAAGCGTTCAGTCATTCAGTCTGTGCTTCAAATCTTTGAGACATTAAAGCAAGATAAGGTAATGGAAGAAAATCGTTATATCACTCAATCACTATCTTGTACACAAACCCTGTTCTAAGACCTTACTTGTGCCTCATATATTCTTTGAAGGTCCAATAGTGTTAGGAATATACTAAAATCTGGATATATGAATATAGGATGAAGAATATTGATTAAAATACAGTAAGATTGAAAAGAAAGTATGTATATTATTAGAAAACACTATACTACTTCAATCAGATATTCACATGACATACAATGAGGTCTTTTTGAGCTTTTTTGTCTCTAGAATTCATTAATACATATACTATACTGTATTCATATCATGTCTCATATATAGGATTATAAAAGATCAGAATTTGTATAAATATGATGACAAAATTTATATTCCAAGCCTTCAACAGTATGGTACAGGCTCATATATATGGTATTCATATCTGCTATATATACAGATACAGTGGCTATTCTTATGTGCAGTGTTTATATACTAAATATCTGGCTACACTTATTATTTTGTAAAATTTGTGACAAGAAACTCCGCTCGATGTGACATATGTCACACTATGGCCATCCAGCTCGATGAGATGTGATGTGACAAAGTTCATCCAGCTGGATGGCACTCCTGCCACCGAATAGTTTCCATCTGAAGGAAATGATTTGCAGAGCTGAAAACGTTTCCGCAAAAGGATTTCCACTTGGCAAGAACTATAAATAATCGTGACATAAAAATTTGAAGAAAATTATATATTTCCTTGAGATTTACAGCTACCGAAAAGCCTAAATTTGGAGCGCTATTTCCATATAGGGGATATTATAACACAATTTTGAATTTTCTTCCTCTTTCTGGTAGATAACCACGACACGTTTCAGCCTCCGTTTCCGTCCGATGTAACTGTATCATTTTAAAAACACCTTTTTCTGCGCCTCTGAAATTGTAACTATTCATTATAAGGAAACAAAGGTAGAAATGAATATTTTCGAACTGGCTGAAATCAATCGCGCGCGCAAGCGAGGCACTCAATCACGCAATCATCGCGTCCTTAGTGCGTGCATACGCGAGCCCCTGCAGAGGGCACTGAAGCATCTGACGGGGTTTGATCAGCGTCTTAGGAGGCGGTTGCCTGGAATGACAGTTGCTAAGCGCGGCGCAGCAGCGCGTCAGCGTGTTGTTTCTTGAGGACAAGGCATTGATATGTGCGCGATACAGTGTCTTAAAACCGAACGACCATGACACTACAAGGGCGCCTCTCGTTCTCTCCCATAATTGGTGATCTTGTCTTGTAGGCGCCGAGCATGGAGAGGCTTCAGCTTGAGATAGGCTGCTACATGATTCATCTGATAGAGAAAAGCACCACAGAGGATGCACCATAACCAACCACCCAGCGACACAACCCCCTCCTTAGGTCCATACCCAACCGCCGTCGCTAATGATCCTGCCATATGCGCAGACTATTACTCGGTCTTTCCCCCACACGTAGACTCCATCCAAAAAGATCGTCGACAGGTCGAAACAGTACAGCGCTTACTGCAGATTATCCATGGAAGAGGAAGTGACACGTTTAGAAGAAATGGGCCATGAATATGTGGGGACGTCGGGACGCAGTACTGGCAGACTATGCACTGGATCAGTAAGTTGAGAATTCGCCATTACATATACTAAAATATGCTTACCAAACTTTCTAGATTCATCAAGCACGTCCAATAGAGAAAACGGTTCTCCTTCCCCAAGCACCTGGCATTCCGTACGCCCTAGTCGATTTTCCACCGTGTAGAGCTAGAGAGAAAGAGGTTGCCATGCGTATTCAGGTAAAAATATCGTTGACTGCACCAAATAATGGCAATGAGAGAGTGTGACTCGAGAGCGATGCACTGACCGAGGATGATGATCATGAAGGTCGCTGAGTCGCTCACTGCGTGCGTGACTGGGCTGCTGACAAAGCCAATGTTGCATGTTAAAGCCAATGTTGCAGTCATCGTCATCATATTCTGGTAGTTTTTGGTCAGGCATACTTCTCGCCTGAAATTGTGCAACGGAGTTAGATACAAAAAAATACACTATAACACCAAGCATCCAGTCCGACATTTAGTCCCCTGGAGCAGGTAGAAAAGAAGTGGTTGGACCCTTAAAGATAATGCCTCAGCTGAGACCCAATGACAAGCTTGTTCATGTACAGCATTCTCCGAGAGAAAAAGTCATACAAGTTCAAGCTTCAAGGCGAATGTAGTAGATAAATCTATAGCGAATATAGTTTCATCTATAATGTACACGTGATATTGATCCTCGATTTCCCTGCATATTCAAGACCTGTCTGTTGCTAACAGGACTCTTGGGCATCGCTGAAACACACATAAACAATGGACTACCTTTAATACCTATGATATCAGATAATGGAACTGGGAATTTTTGATACTCACTTTGACCGGAGACATATTGAACAGGTACACAAGTCTGCCCGCTCTTTGGCAGAGTGCGGGGAATTTAGAGGGGCCTGTGAATATTGAGGCTTTAGCTGTTGGCTATACACTGACAAAGAGCCACGCTACGTGATCCCGAACGCTTCCAGAAGTCCCCTCGTTGCTACTTTCGAATTGGCCGTGCCTTTCTCGATAACTTGCGATCCTCTGTCTTAAACTGGCTGCATGTGCAGCTTTCTCCTGAGCAGCACTTTTCTTTCTGTCCTGAATCAAATCCCGACTAATTTTGAGGACTACAGCGTATCCTTTCTCTGAGGTTGTTGCTTCGGAGAGCGCACGCGTGAGGTCGCCTTCCATCGCCACTTCGTCTTGATGACATTGATCAGTGAATTGTGCGAATTTTTCTTCAAGCGAGGCCCGCATAGTGTTGAGTGAACTTGCGCATTTGCGTTGCCGGGCTAACCATTCCCGTTGAAAGCATTCATGGACTTCGTCCTCGATGGAAGTATCTAGTCCTTCGCGCAATTCCTTCACGTGATTACGAAGTGGCGTAAGTTGATTGAGAATCTCGGTTACCCTCGCACCACTATCCTCTTGAATCTGGCGGGTGACACCGTCCGCGATGGCCTGCTGCCGTTGCTCTCGTTGACGTGAAAGTTGGTCGGAAACACTCTGACAGCCCGCGCTCGCATGCGTCATTTCCGTCTGTGCACGTTCCTTCATGTCCTGTATTCTGTGGTCATCAACCAAGCGCGATTGGATCCGAGAGGCCACTATGTCATCAAAGGTACACATGAGATTGGCCAGCTCCTCGACCAGTCTGGCATGATCGCCCCAAGAAGTACGCAGCTCCTCGGCTTCCAGAGAAAAACGCAGCTCATCGACTTTTGCCTGCACCTCAGCTAGTCGGCGGGCAGCCGTTTGTACGGATTCCTCGACTAGTTGGACCTTGCTGGTCTGCATCTTTAAAAAAACATGAAACTCCGAAATACTATTTATGAAGTGAACACAAACAGGTATAACCTCGTCGGGCTCCAGTCCACTCGTGGAATATAATGAATCATTCGTCCTCTGGAAAGCATACGTAAGGAATAAGAAAACTATATGAATTAACACATTCCGTAAACGAACCTTTTCAAGTGGCAGACAGGCGGACTTAGGTTTGTCTGGAATGGAGGCAAGAGCATGACGTTTAGAAATCTCAAGGACCGGTAGCATCGGATGCATCTTTGTGTGAGGGGAGAAAGAAAAATGGCCATTGCTAGGCATGAAAGAGGGGAGGACATCTCGTACATGTGAGGGAGGTGAAAGAGGGGTGGGCGATGCAGTAGGCTAAGTAAAGAAAAATAAGTTCCAGGGACTGGAAAAGAAGACCGAATGACCTGTGTGCCATCTGACATCGCTTGTGATGGGACCGGAACGGTGGAGGAGGATGGTGAATGCTGGATAGAGAAAAGTAAGTGAGAGAGACATGGGAAGAAGAATGTAGCTACCCGTTTGTTGTCGACGTCCGTGACCGCTGGGCTTTCGGATGTAGTTGTATCCAACATCAAGGAATCCGCCATCACGGTTTGCAGGCAGGAGGATGAAGAGATGGATAGTGCAAGGAGTAGATGGTCAAAACGGATTCGGAAGAGTCCGACCAGATTCCTTTGTTGCGTTACGCGCCTTTGTTCCCATCTGTGACAGACACGCTGACAGTGCGTCGAGCATCTTGAGCACGATACACCACCATTAGAGCCTGCTGCATGATTCATCACTGCCCAATAGCAACGGCAGCAAAGAAGACGCACCATAAAGTCACCATTCACGACACACTCCCTTCCTTTGAAGTATTCTGATGCCATCCAGACGACAACGGCCATTTGTTGTGATGAGAAAGGTAAGGCGATTTGGGATACTACACTCAACCTCTTTTGCTAATGATCTGCCTTGCACCCAGACTGTCACTCGGCCCATTCTCGCACGCATATATTCCGTCCAGCAAGGTCGTCGTTGGGTCAAAATACCGACCTTGGATAATGGAAATGGGCAGGATCCTATGTGCACCCACGCACTTGACGGCCCTTGGACCCAACCCCACAAACACAACTGCGAACTGCAGATTATCCACGGAAGACGAAGCGACACATTTAGAATCTTCTGTAAGAATCACATATTCCTGAGGGAGAACGACACTGTCAAGGCCATCGTTGGTGAAGAGTATCGTTGGTGTGGATCAATTGTCGTCATGAGAGCAGGCAAAGGCGAGAAGAAATGGGTCGTGAATATGCGGGGATGTCGGGACACAGTACTGGCAGACTATGCACTGGATCAGTAAGTTGAATATTCGCCATTATATACACTAAAATATGCTCACCAAACTTTCCAGATTCATCAAGCACGTCCAGCAGAGAAAACGGTTCTCCTTCCCCAAGCACCTAGTATTCCGTATGCCCTAGTCGATTTTCCACCTTGTAGAGCTAGAGAGAAAGAGGTTGCCATGCGTATTCAGGTAGAAATATCGTTGACTGCGCCAAATAATGGCAATGAGAGAGTGAGACTTGAGAGCGATGCACTGACCAAGGACAATGATCATGAAGGTCGCTGAGTCGCTCACTGCATGCGTGACTGGGCTGCTGACAAAGCCGATGTTCGGCCTGAACCCTGTCATGATCATTCATCTGTCTTTCCCTGATTTTGAAGGCTGAACGTGAACGTTGGATTATAGAGATTACGTTGGGTCTGATTAAATTTCTCAGGTTTAAAAAGAATGTTACTCTACTTTACAATAGCTTGATAATACGTGACATTGATTATAATAATATTACGTGGTTCTCAACGCGGACTGGAGGCTTAACCAAGAAGCAATCCATCGCGTACTGCACCCAGCTCAGCACCCAATCCAACACCTTCACAGTCGTCAGCTGAAACATCCCAGAAAACTCAATGAATACCTATGTCATACAAAGCCGGAAGATGCGACCACGATGCCCAGATAATGAAGGCAAAAATAAGGAACTGAATCTTGTCTTTGGCGTCGGCCAGATCACGTTCTGTCTTGCTCAGTTGTTTCACCTCCAAAGGTCTCAGCTCACGTAAAATATTTGAACCATCAATTTCAAACGCTTACTGGCTTCTCCCACAAGACGACGCTCCCGTTTCTTCCAGACGATCCGGTGGCAACCATATGCCGATCTGATACCGTGGCAGCCTGTTTCGCGGTTTGTGAGTGCGTTCAAGTATGTCACTGCTTTCCGCTCACATCCAATACCTGCAAATAATCACGATCTGAAACAAATGAGCAGCAGGTAGTACCAGGATCCTGACCAAAAACTCACCTTTGCCATGATACATAATCTGCAATGGCTTCTTGCCTCCGTTCAAACACGAAAATACATATGCAGCCCCATGGTCGCTTCCACAAACCACGACTTGACCGTCTTCTGCAAAAACAGCATCTTTGATGATGCTGCGCTCCCGAGTCATCGGAACAGGGAATGTCTGGCTAGTCGAAGAATGAGGAAATGCGTAGAGATCAAATCCGCTCGTCAGATTGTCAACGAGCAAATGGTGGCCTTTGTAGAGAGCGGCGCTTCCACTTTCGAGTCAGTTAGCATTGTCTTACTAGTCCTTACGAAGGTAGGTGATGCCTACATGGGTGATTTAAGGGTTCATGACCATTTTATATTCGGTTTCCCATCTTCAGTCATGATACATAACCTAAAACTGATGGTATATGAATGAGGATAGCAAGGAATCTGGGAGAACATTAAACCTACATTTCCTTTGATTCCAAGCAGAAGACAATGAGCTGTCTGCCTTCGTCAACGAAACGCAATGACCTCGGAATGGTGTTCTTCAATTTAGTTGTCCATATGACGTTGAGAGTGCAAGCTAACTGAGGTCAATAGGACGACGCTGAGAGACGGGTGCATGCCTACACGTCCAATCTAAATTGCACAGCTTGATTTCACCATGTTGGCTAGAAACCACGAGCTGCGTATCCCGTGGATCATAAGAAAGCGCTTCCACACTGTCAGAAGAGGGAAAGGGGGATAGACGTAATGCTTCCTGAAATTTGCGCTGCTGCCGTTAAACGAAGCTCGTTGCGAGCTAAAAGAAGAGGACACACGCTGTTCTTGGCCCTGTTATAAATAGCCACTATTCCCCTGCCGGTCCCAAAGGAGAGTGCCAGAGATCTGCTGGACCGGTTTAAAGAGGGCAACCAAGTAATACTGCTTATCTGCCCCCAGCTCTCGCCGGGGTTTTGAATAAGATGTACTCTCTTTCCGGTGTGTGTATCGTAAATGTGAATTGACTCCGCGTCGTCTGGATCGCGAGGCCGTGATCAGTAAGCAATCTGAAAGAGAAAGAGGTGGGCATACCTCCACTCGCCAATAACTCTCCATCCACCGAAAAAGACAAACAGTTTACTGAAGCAGAGGACCCAGTGAGTCACGTAACGATATGATAGCGCTGGAAAAGGTACATTAAATCCGACCCAACAAACTACTTGGACATGCGAGCTTACCTCTTCTGGCGGCGAGAGCCAGCTTTGCAGGAAATCGTGTAGATGGACAAGTAGAGACGCCATTGAATGCACTGAGGGCACTTGAGAAGAGACGAAGATGATGGTGTCTTTCAACTGCGCACGCGCAGGGTACGTCTACGTGCCTTGATATTGCTTCCTTTGTTTTGCCAAATAGGGTATTATGGTCACCGGTAAGATACCGAGACGTGCGAAGAAACATCTCCATCGTGATGAATATGTTTGTGTGCATTAACGGGCTACTGAATGAATATAATTCTTGAATCACGAAGGATGATGACTGTTAAGATTGATCATACCATAATATGCACTCTCATAGACCTCAGTGCCGAATATCACCAAGCCTTGATGCGTCACGCTCCAAGCGTGCACAAAATTCGGTCTTCCCTGATACAAAGTCTTCGCTGAACGGCAAAGGATGGGGACGATGAGCACTACAACAGCAATGAAGGGGGAAGTCGATAAATGACAAGCCCATCCAAACGCAAATGACTACGGACGACAAATTGAGGATAATTTATTGTCATGATGAGATTGGATACACACCTGGCAGCGGCCTCGCAGCACTGGCAGATCTTCTTTCCTTGGAGGCGGAGGCCACAGTTTCGGTTGTACATCGAGGTCCAACTCTGTGCGGTTCTTATCCCGTTCCTCATCCTATTGCACGGTGCCCTTATCGTAGCCTACCGAGAGCTAGCCTATGGAAAATCATAGATGAAATCTGCGAGAACATCAGAAGTGTCGATTTTCTATGGAAGACATGGGACCATACCAGTGTCCTCAGCCTTAGCATCCTGCCTCTCTTCTGAACCCTCTTCATCTTGATTCGCCTCATCATCAAGGAATCATCGGATTTTCTGTATTTGTTTGATGAGCTTGGTCAGGTCCAAGACGAGTTCCATGGCGACTTGCTTGTGGGTAGGGTGGTTGCAGATTTAGATGGGTCGGGTCCCCTCACTGCATTGGCTTTACGAAAAGGATTTTTGGGTAATATAGCGAGGACAGGGAGGTACCAAAGCACGCACTGTGGTCCGTGGGTGCAAGTGACGAGTGTACCAATCGGAGGAATCGGATGAGTCGCATACAGATCATTTTCCCATGTGTTCTAGCTGTCAGCCATCAAACGGACTTCGCGTGACACAGGTTAGATCTCCTTGTGTTTTATTATTACGCTCTTGGAAATGCATCTACAGCGTGTATGTACAGTATGTGACGACGTGCTGAATAATTCAATAATGTAGGTGTGAACATCTTTCCGTTCATACTCTTTGCGCTCATAAAAACATCTAGCTCTGTAAGAACGCGTCAAGCGTGTTTACGATGCAACCATTGTCAGGTTCGCTCAGAATTGCGCGCGTATATCATACTCAGTATACCCATATATTGAATGAAATCAGATATCGTGGAACATTGATACAACACGATTATATGTAACTGAATGAGATAATTTAAACTCGAATGCCTTCATTCAAATCGCTGATTCGGAAAAAGATCAGCCATGCTAATAAAAGCAAAGGCAGCAACTTGATAAACTTACAATAATCCGGTTGCCTCAATGCTATTTACCAGCCAGAGTACCACCAGATGGCAGATATGGTACATGACTGTCACGATGAGCTGAAAGAGATGGAGAGGAAGGTGCGTAATGGGGTAGCCATTCCTGCGGTAAAAGTGAGAATACATGAAGAAGGAGAAGTACAGGTCAGACGTACGAGACAGAAACTACCATGACGGCGACAATTAAGAGGAAGAAGAGACCAATGAAAGGGTGGGAACCCTTCCGTACATCGAATTCGACAGATGTGACATATGGAAGCAAGTTGGGCAAGTATTTGAGGGGAATGTAGACTATGGTGCCCTCGTGCCCTCTGAGTCCTTTAGTCTTATAGGAAGATTGAAGGATTTTATCAAATGTCAACTCTAGGATGGTGATATTGTCCTGAGAGAACTGATTAAGCACACGATACACACAACCCAAGCTGCAAGATAAACTCACAGCGTCTCTAAAGATGAACTTTGGAACGGCAACCCTTTGACCTCCCTGACAAATGATGACAGGACTAAAGTCCCTCGTAGAAAGAGTCAAAGTGTTAGCGACCGATACAACAAACCAGATCAAACAACTAAGCGTGACTCGCACTTCGGTCAGGTGCTTTATGTTGTCCGCAGGTTTGCGTTAAGGGAGCTATCGCTTAGTTGAGCGAGAGTGAGTTCAGACTAAGTTATCGGGTGAATAAACTTTAGTTCGAGACTGAGGTTTAAGACCTGCAGTCGAGCTACTTAAATACAGTTTGGGTCGTGCTAAATATACTACAAGTGTCTGCAACGGTGTGTTAAACACACGAGACCCACATGGTGAATGCGATCAAGTCCGGAAAACTAGCATAGCAGGATTACGATGAAGGCGATAAGATAAGATAAAGCATGAAATCGTAATATTACCCCCCTGTTAAGGCAGTCGTCCCGACTGCACAATAACTTGGTTTCGGAAGGTAAGCTCCTACGAGAGAGGGTGCATTCGGTTTTACCAGGTATTCTTGAATTGCCTGGACCAGCGGGTGGTCGGTTTCCGACTCGGTTACCGATTCGTGTTCGGACCACGAGTCGGATTCGTCTTCGTCTTCCCACCAGTTTGCTGGAGGTCGAGTGATGAATGAGACTTGTTCGAAGTCTTCGATTGCGTCTCTTGCGTTGTCTAGGTCTTGTTCGTCGACCCAGGAGTTCTCCTCTCGTGGATACCCTTTCCATTTTACGAGGTATTCGATTCCAGTGCCTCGTCTTCTTCCTCCTCTTCGTGGTGCTCTTTCCCTCCGGTCTACTATCTCTTCAACTTCATACTGTTCTTGCCCGTCTATAAGGTCTGGCGGAGGTGGTGAGGGCTGTATTTGGATTGGGAACTCCGGCGAGTGATATGGAGTAAGGAGGTTCTCATTGAAGCGGTCATGGATTTTCCATGCGGGTGGAAGTCGTAGTTTATATGCGGAGGCGCCATGTTTGGAAATTACTTCAAATGGTCCGACGCGCTTGTCTCCTAACTTCTTCATTGGCTGAGGAAGAGATAGGTTTGTAGAGTCCAACCATACTTGGTCTCCTGGTTGGTACTCTATTGCCGCCCGTTGGTGTTTGTCGTATTGGCGTTTCATTGTTTCCGCTGCCTTTTCTAACGCCTTTGCCGTTTGTTCGTGTACTTTTTGTATATCCGCTACGAATTCCCTGGCAGCCGGGTTAGTTCCTTCCTTAATCGTGAGTGGGGCAAGATGAGGCTTTTGTCCATGGTTGACCTCGAATGGAGAGTACCCCGTTGCTGAATGCTTCCGGTTGTTGTGCTGGAAGGCCGCAAGGGGCAACCACTCACTCCAGTCATTTTGTCGGTGATTGATGAAGATGCGGAGATATTTTTCAATCTCCTGGTTTGCCCGTTCGGTTTGTCCATCGGTTTGGGGATGATATGCCATGGATGGGTTCCCTTGTATGTGTAGCATTTCATACAGCTCCTTCATGAATTTTGACACGAATTGTGGTCCCCTGTCCGAGATCACCTTTTGGGGCATCCCATGTTTCGCCCATACGTGATCTCTGAGGATTTTCGCCCATCCCTTGGAGGTTAACTCCATGGAACATGGTACGGGAATGACTTCCTTGGAGAAACGATCCACGATCATTAGTATGGCGTTGTACCCGTTGGAGTCCGGCAGCTCTCCTATCATGTCGACCGTAATGTGTTCCCATGGTCGAGAGGGGATCGCGTGCGGATGTAAGGGGGCCCTCTTTTTTTGCGTGTTCGTTTTGGTGCGTTGACACGCCTCGCATCCTTTTACGTATCGCTCTACATCACTCTTGAGTTTGGGCCACCAGTACTCTCTTTGGACGAGTTCCTTTGTTTTTTCAATTCCCGGGTGTCCCGTGGTGATGTGATCATGGTGGTAGGCGATGAGCT